GAGAGGAGAGAGAGCACAGCACAGGGCACCTCAATGTAGACACAACATAATGGCGTCTCATGCAAATCAACAAACAAAAAGAAACCTAACACTGTGAGTACCTCTGTACTATGTGTAGGAATTATGCGAATTAACCTTTAAGTGAAGAAATGGGTGCACTACCACTACGTGTACTGCAAAAAGATGGTGCTGAAAGCATCAAATTAATCAAACTCTATCTGGTATGAGAGAAATCACTGCACTAAATAAACTCTGTATAAGACTGAAGGGCAAAAATTGGTTGTAGCCCTTTAAGGTTAACTGTCAATCATAAAGTTCTCAAACTTCATCACCCTAGCAAAAGTACTATAAAAAGATAGTTATGTAAGTGTCAAAACACTAAAAATGTAAATCAATGAAGTTAGTAATCCCTAACTGTGAATGTACCCATAAGGAATTATGATTAGTGAAGACAATAAAATTTTTTGGGGGGATAACAGTAATATGTGGACTAAACCCATCTACTGTTAACTTCCTGATTACCTGACTTCAGGAACCCACAGCATGTTCATCTCCTATCACCCAAGTCTCCACGTCATGTATAAACAGGAAAGACAACCATGCACACACACAAACATACAAACTTGTGTAACTCAAGACAGAGAGCTATGGAACCGACGAGGCGCGAAATCACCCCCGTTTCGAAGTCGGTAAGTTGTTGGTGGTAGAATTGACCAAATTAGTGGAACCCTTGTGCAGTTTGATTTGGTCCCTGTGGACCCATTTGTAGACAAGCTCCTTGTTTGTTTGGGTAATCTTGATCTGATACACGACTGGAGAGAGCTTATCAGTTATCAGGTATGGGCCTGACCACTTGGGCAAAAGTTTCTTAGCCAGCTTCCCAGAGGTGTTCTTGTTAGTACCAGTTTTAGGAGCAAAAATGTAGAACCAGGCCTCATCACCAATGTTGAGTTCAGAATGTGAGGCCTTCTGATCATAATAAGCCTTCCTGCCTTCAGCCGATTTCTCCAGATTTGTCTGTGCAAACGAGAACGCTGCAGGCAGATGGTTCTTCAGGTCCTGCAAATATTGTTCGCTTGTGTAAGCCAGGTCGGCCTCGGACTGAACAGGTTGGTACAGCAGGTGAAGTGGCAGGGTCATTTGTCTACCCGTCATCATTTCAAACAGGGAGACACCAGTAGACTCGTGAGGGGTGGCCCGTATGGCCATGAGGACCAACGGGAGCTTCACATCCCAGTCTCGGTGGTTAGAGGACACGTACTTCTTCAACATGCAGACAACCATTCGGTTCATCCTTTCGACCTGGCCAGAAGACTGGGGGCGACGGCTAATGTGGAACTTAGCCTTCACACCCAACAGTTTCCAAAGATGTTCCATCACTTCAGAGGTGAAGTGAGTACCCCTGTCCGAGCCAACCCGAGTGGGCAGACCGAACCGGGCAAAGACGTGATTCATCAAGAGAATGGCTGTTGATTTCGCCGTGTCATTAGCTGCTGGTAGACATTCAACCCACTTGGTGAATGCACAGGTCACGGTCAAGATGTATTTATTACCCCTGCTGGACCACCCGGTCAGAGGCCCCACCCAATCGAATTGCAAGTCCGACCACGGTATGGACGATTCCTTTTTCTGTAAGGGAGCTCTGTGTGCGGGGTTGGATGGCTGAAACTGACAACAAATCAAACAACGCTGGACGTGGTCTGAGACGTTGCGACGCATCCCCGGCCAGCTAGCCCTCCTCAGACTCTTCTAAACCCCAACCACCACTACTTCGAGCAGACTCTCTGTGTGGACTTGCCGACGGTGTACAGCGATGGCAGTTCTTTTTGACATGGCCCTATGCCTAGGGCAGGCGTGGGTGTCATCTGGTTGAACGCTGACCAGAAGGACTCCCAATGTTACTGGTTGGGTTCTAAGACCTCACAGTTTGCAGAAGTGGCTGGGATCTTGATAGTACTACAACATGCTGCGGACCACGGCATCCATGAGCTGGTGATTTGCACTGACTCGGACTACCGTTACAATTATGTTCCATATATTGTTTATTTCATTAAGAGTTGAACAATATAGGTCTCAGGATATATATATATATATATATATATATATATATATATATATATATATATATATATATATATATATATATATATATATATATATATATATATATGTGTGTATGTATTAGTTCATCTATGATGTTACCAGTTAAAATGTCATCCATAATGCTTACTGGTGTTAAACAGAAAAGAAAATGTTGTACTAGTCCTTTAAGAGAAGAAAGAGAAGAAAGGTTGGATGAGGCCTTTTGAAGAAAAAAAAAGGATGCTTGAGTTCTGAACCAGGGGCATTTTTCTGTTAATAAAAGTTGCAAAAGTACGAAGAAGAACGTGTCGTCTGGCAGTTCGTTCAAAGTGGGCAACACAGTCACATTAGAGAAGAACAGACAGGAAGAAGAATAATGACAGGTAGAGAAGAGAGTGATCCGTGTGCACACAGTCATCTTTAGCCTCCAAGGAAGCTGTGTAGCTCCATAAAAAGTCCATTGTGTGCGCTATGGGCGTTTGTGCTGTCCTCTGGATTGTGTCCGAGGAAATGTCAGCGCTGCTTACGTTAACATGACTTTTAACAATTAACAGTTGCACTGAGCTGCAGAGTGTTTGTGACTTTGACCTACATAAAGCTGATGGAAATTTGCTCATTAGGTACTTGTGACATTTGCAGCAGGAATTTCAGAAAGTTTTAGAAATTTCCCAGGTCAGTTGATGAGGGTTTGTTTTGTGAGGTATCAGGTGGCGCAGATTCAGCGTAGGAATGCCCCCCCCCCCCACCCCATAATGCATGTTGGCAGAAAATGACAAAAGATATTCTGACAATTACAAACCCTCTTATTGTTTTTATTTTCTGTAATCAATTTTTTATAAAATTTCATTTAATTTATTTATCTGAATATGTTAAGGCAGCCAACATGGATGCTAAATCCAAACTTTTCATTTTTGAGTCATAGCAGGTTTTTTATATTAATTTTCCTGTTTAGTTTTAGTGTTTAGGCCAGGAAATAGCCTGATCCCATACTGCTGAGCCTTAGCTTGTGTGTTCAACCAGGTAAAGAGGACCGTTTTTTTCCCTTTTCAAACATTTTCAGTGTGTAAGAGTTGTTTTTCCCTTAGGGTATGAGGGCCCCCCAGTTGGGGGAATGTCATGCCCCATTCATCAATAAACAACATCAAGCTGCACATCTAAAAAAAACTGCAAAACCTTGGCTGCAAGACCAAATAATGCTTTTCTACACGCTCCAAACACAACTAAAACTAGAATGAAATAAATCTCGAGAAGTCGCTCTTTATGCAGCACCACTGTGTAAAAGTTTTTGCCACATTTCTGTCTCCAGCAAACCCACCATTTTGAAGCTGTTTGCTCTGTTCTAAATAACTTGGACATGTCTTTTAAAACCACAAGAAGAAGAATTGCTAAAAGCCTTTCTAGAAGGATGTTTGCACCATCGCCAGACACCATTTACTCCATACTACAGCTAAAAACTGAGTCTCGCCATACAGTCATCATTTACGCCTTTTTTCTGATTGGTTAATTTTGAGCTGGCTAGTCTCCCCCCTCATGGTGCTCTTTGCCTCCGACTCCTCCTCTGTGTAGACAGAAGGCAAGTCTGGCAGGCTAGGCTACTTTTTAACACCTTAAACAGCTGAAATGTCTCCACAGCCTTCCTTACAGGAGGGTTTCATCACTAAATTAAACAGATCCGCTGTGTTCATGATCTAAAACATGCAGGAAGCATGCTGGAACCAGACCAGCACCAAGTATGCCAGCTCCATTTTTTTGAATGTCCAACAGACCAGACCAGCAACTCTGAATTTGCAAGTGGAAATTTTTGGCCAGTTGGGGCTGAGTGGCCTTTCAAGGGTCATTTTAACACATGCTGGCTCCAGAAAACGATTAAAAAAGATGAAAGGGTTAAAGTATGGCTTCAAAACTGAGTTCAGTTTCCATAATATTAATAAATTCAAGAATAAAGTCCAGTTTGTGGTATTTAAAAGAATTTCTGAGATTATTTTAGGAAATAATGTGTTTTCATTTTTATCCTCCTAACATATGAAGATGGAGGAAAAGTTGTAGGATGTTTAGGATGTTGTTAATTTCTTGGAAATTCAGAAAAAAAATATCCTTTAGCAAACCAGACTGCTCCAGTGGCCCAGGAAGCCAAGTTAGGACTGGGTGGGAAAAGGGCCTCGGGAGTGTGTGTGTGTACCACTTTCCTGTCTGAAGCTTCAGCCTGTGAACGAGTTTCCCTCCTCCTGAAGCCCAGAAACGAGCCACAGCAGGAAGGAAGGGGGAAGATGCGGCATCCTTCAGTATGTGGGAGGGAAAATGGCTCCGCAGCAGCTCCATCACTACAATTTCCCCCTTTTCATTCAGGAAAAGCACTATTTCATTCATACGATTTCCGTTCATTCATCAGCTGGGGCCAGCCTAGACTCACCGCGCTATCTCCCCACCAACATTCTTATCAATGGACGTGACGTCAGCACTGCCTGCAGCTGGGGGGTGCTGCTGCTGGTGGAGGGGTGGCGGTCACGTGGTGCAATGAGGGTATATACAATAAAGTTGCGCTGACCGTGGTGCTGAAAACATTCACACAATTGTACATTAGAGGCAGAGCCGCTGTGATCAAATCAGCTTCAAACTAAACAAAGAACGTCAGTGTTTTTTTTTCCTTCTTGATGTTGGTCAGAGGCTGAAGCAAGAAGGGGGAAAAGAGATTTTTTATGGTGGTCCACTATTCATGATATTTATCTTGGCTTTTCCTGTGCGTTGTGTTTCACCAATCCCCACCCCCCAGTGGGACTCCAGGTAAGTGGAAAGAAATCTGCTTTACATCAAAGCAATCTGCCCAGAGAGATGAAGGCTTTATTATTATTATTATTATTATTATTATTATTATTATTATTATTATTATTATTATTATATTTTTTGTATTTTTTTATTTTATATTTTTAAACCGCAGAAATAACCTGGTAACATGATGTAAGTAGAGAGTTTCAAGGTTTCTTTTTTCAGTCGCAGCCTAATGCTGCAACTGGTGCATGTTTATTATTTAATTATAAAAAAAGGCACAACATTTCTGTTTTAATGCGATTTCTAAGTGGGGGGAAAACAATGTTTTATTCTGAATGACAGGAATATATACATTTTCAAATGTTTGTCAGCTCGTTTAAAAAATAAAATGTGTCCTCTAAAACTAGAAAATACTAAATTGGTATAGTTTTAATTTTCTGGCTATAAAACCGTTGATAAAAGACATAGAAAATTTAATTGTGTTTTCAAAAGATGGTTGGAGCCCAGCTTTTTATTTTCATTTACTTTTTTATATTTTTGCAGCACGATTTCAGAACTTCTTGGCTGTAAAATTTCATCTGAGATTTTCAACGCAAAAAGATTTTAAAACGCAACCTTAAAATGCGCTTTAAACCGTTTTCTGTTAATAATCCCTAATAATGGGAATTTTTACTCGTTTATGTAACAAACGTTGATTTCGTTTTGCTCTTTTTGGGTTTAAAATAAAAACGGGACAAATTAAATTAACGCTTTGTTGCAAAAAAATAAAAAATAAAAACCCATTAAATCTCGCGCTTGCCTGCATTCGGCCACCGCCACTGTGAATGACTCCAAACAAAGAACAAACGCACGTTTCCTCACTGGCTGCACCCTCGGTCGCTAGAGCAAAAAGGCTGTGATCAGGAAGAAAAAAAACGAGCATCCAGCTCATTTACAATTTGGACCGACCGCTCAGGAACCGGAGGGTTAAACGTCTCATCCGCAGCCAGAAGCTTTACGCATCGCTCCCCGGCGCGTGCCATCTTTACACCAGTGTCCAGGCAAAGCGCTCTGATGCACGGAATACAAAAATATTAGCCTTTAAACGGAAGCAAACCTCGGATCTGTTTATTTTCTATGATTCATTTGAAAGTAATCGGTGCCTGAAATGGAGCGTGTGCGCGTTTTGGTTGCCTTGGCTTGGATGATGAGGAGGAGGAGGATGAGGATGAGGAAGAAGAGGAGGTGAGACTTTTAACTTAACATGCAGACAATTCCGTCTGTCTGTAGCTGGAACAACATGCTGGGTTAGACCTGGGCATGTAGAAGACATGTATGCATATTTTTAAGTCAGTTTCCGGAGAATAAATATATTTTACGCACGGACTGAAAACAAAAATTCCGTTTTTGACTTCAAAGCGCAAATTCTTCATTAAAAACGCGTTCTTATTAAAATGGGTGAATAAACGGTTTAGGTGAATCTTCATTTTCAGGTTTTCTGTGGGAGAACATACAGCTGATAAATCATGAATTAGGTCCAATATCTATTCTTAAATCATTGAGTCATTTAGATTTTTAATAGTCCCTTTTTGTTTTTATTTTTAAAAAAATGGCTTAACAAAGAAATAGTTTCCAACGGCTTCCTGTGAATTCATGTCTTCTCTCCTTCTGCCTTGTTTTTCCCATCTCCTCCAGGTGCTTCACCCCCCTCCTGCCAGCTCTGCGTGGTCATGACCTGTCATCACGCTCAATCCTTAGCCCACCTCATCCTATTGGTCCTGCTCATTGTCACTCCACAGCTTGTGGGCGCCACCCCTGTGCGGGGTGAGGAGGGGGAGGGACGGGTGGAGGGGCGCACTTGGACAGACCTGAAAGAGGACAGCCTTGCCCCCTTTCTTTCGTCCCCACCCCAGAGCCTGCCAGGCGGAGACAACGCATCGCTGGACTGGGGTCAGGCCCCGGGTCAAAATAACCAATTAGATCAATTGAGGGACCCTGGGCAGGTGCTTGCTGTGCTTTTGGAGTCCCTGGACCACCCAGGGGATGGCAAAATCTTTGCCAGCAGAAGGAGAGACTGGATGGAGGACCAGAGTCAGACGCTGCCCTCCGCTGAAGGCTTGGAGGGTGGTGAGATAAGACGAGAGCAGACAGAGGGGGAGAGGGGGATGGAGGAGGACAAGGAGGGGCAAATCGCTGATAAGACTATTGAAAAGGTAATTTTAGGCCGTTTGGCAGCTGTTCAGGGGGATAAAATGAAAGAAACGGAGGAAGAGGAGGATAAATCTACAAGGTCAAAGGAAGATCAACAGTGGTCCATGAAGGATGTTGGTCCTGATGGTGTACATGAGGAAGAAGAGCCGAAAGGAGACGAGCTGAGCGAGGACGATGGTGTAGAAAATGTCTTAGACAAAGGCAGAGCAGGGTCGGCCTCGCAGGAAGAGGATCCCTCTTTGGAGCGGAAAATCAGAGGCTACTTCCAGAACATTGACTTGGGTCTCCAAGACAACGAGATCCTGCCTCCTCTGAAGGGCTACAAGGCTTATAACACTCAGCTGGCAAGAGCGGGAAAGAAGCAGCACTGGCAGGACAACATGTCTCGCAACAAACCAGTCAAGGGCGGCAATTTTATGGATGACTTCGAAGACGAAGGCGAGGAACTGGAGGAGGAGGTGGAGGAAGAAGAGGAGAGTCTCTCCCATATGGAGGAGGAGGCAAGGGCACGTGCGGAAAAGCAGGAGGTGCTCCGGCAGCAGGAGGAGGCGGAGCGAGCCAGAGAAGAGGAGCAGAGACTGGCGGACATTGCCTCAGATATGCTGCTGCAGTACATGGGCAAGAAGCAGCAGTCCTTCATGAAGCCACGGCAGAAGAGCAGCAACGCCGCGGAGGACAAGAGATCAGAGGAGGTCCTCCCCGACGAAGACGACCTGGACCAGCAGATGGTCGACAGGCTGATTGAGATCAGCAGTAAGCTGCACCTGCCTGCAGACGATGTCATCGAGATCATCAGTGATGTGGAAGAGAAGAAGAAGAAAAGGAAAGAGTTGCAGAAGCAACCCGTAAACAGTAATCCGGTGGTGCCTCGCTTCAGGCCGCTGGTGCCCCCTCCTCTGGCCTCCCCACCCATTTACCACTACACCGCCTCAAAAAACCCCAAGAAAGCTCCTTACAAGTACAACAAATCCAACAAGAAATGGCACAAGGACAGAGTTAAATCATACAAGCAGGACTACTGGTATAAACCCCAGAAGCAGTTTTTAGCCTTCCCCTCCTATCCCTACTACCAGAAGCCATATCGGGCCTACTACCCCGTTTACTTCCCCTATCCTAAAGCGCAGTATTACGGCAAGGCCCCCCCCTCCAGAGACCAGCCCTTCGGCCCTCAGGAACTTGATCTCCAGGTCCCAAGACGCAGGCACAGGGGCCCGGGTAAGAACCGTGGACAAGGCTGGAGGCAGCAGCCGCCACCGCGCCTGCCTCTGTCCCCTTATATCTCTAACTATATCCTTCCTCACCCACGGACCTACCAACCTCTGCCCCCTCCCAAACAAATAATCACACCCAGGAGGGGCAGACGACCCCCGTTCTACTACCCACAGGCCACACCGGCAGACGACTATGAAGAAGACGGACTGGTGCCTCAGATGGACAGCGAGGAGGAGCTGGAAAACTTTATTGAGAGGATCTACATGAAGCGCAGAATGTATTGAAACTCTTTTTGGACACCCAGCTCAGCGGGACTGAAGGAGGGGCAGATTCAATGGGGAGAAGCAAAAACAGATGTGAAAATAAACAACTGGAAAATGTGTTTTCACTGATGGAAATTTTAAGGTTTGATGAGTTTTAAAAAACGAGTAAGATTTGTTGTTTTTCACTGTAACTGTGTTGATTTTTCTCAGTCAGGGAGAGGAGGAAGAGTTGCCACTTGAACTCCCTGTAACCATGTTCAGCCTCTTGCTCGGTTTACATTTTACAAACAGAGTGGTGTACGTCTGCCTCCATTCAGGTCAGTCTCTGATGTTCTCCTGTGGTTTTCAGAGAATGATCGAGGGGACGCGCTCACAAACACACACACATAGAGGCACGCATATGCATCAGCACTTATATGACATCATGTTTTTACACCTTCCCATGCTCATTGCATAAGGACTACAATTACGACCCCACTTTGTATCTTCTGTTTTGTATTTCGTACGGCACAAAGACAAAAAAACAAAAACTGTTCAATGTCTTCTTGGCGATACAAAACCTGCTGTTGTCAAGTGTTGACGGTATGTTTTTGTGTTTGATGTGTTGATGCTTTACTTATGCCAGATTGGATCAACTAGGCAGTTCTAATGCACAAATGTCAGTTTTTTGCTCCAAACTCAAGATTTAGATTTTCTGCCTTATGAGCGTAACGATTCTACACTGTAGAAAATAGTGTTCAATTAACTTTACCAAGTTATGTCAACTAGTTTCACGACACCTACTTACTTAAATATAAAGAGTACTATATATTGCATTACCCTTTATATTTAATTGACCAGCTCCAGTGAACCAGTTTAAATAACTTGGTTAGGTAAGTTCAACATATTCTTTCTTACAGTGTATAAGGGAATTTTGACATTGCATATTAATTATGTCACACGTGGTCCTGATGCGGAAACCCTGCGGGCTCCAAAAGCACAAACTTTAACACAAAACACTTCCAAACCTGGTGGACCAAGGGTTTTCAATCATTTTTGGGATCCAGGACCTTTTGTGTGCATACATTTTTTAGGGCAGATCCAGCATGATCGAAAAAATCATCCCAACCACACGATACAACTCAACGTTTCTTTTCTCCCATCTTAAACCCAATTTGATTTTTTTACCTCACACATTCATGTCATTTTCCTCCACCCCCTTAAAGATACATAAAAATACTTGAAATCTCACTGTGTTCTGCAGCCTTTCAAAAACAGATTTTCACCAAGAGGCTACAAGCATTTTGTTTCATTTTCAGAAGAATTTCACTGAAAAGCTTCAGGCCGTGGGAGTCAGGGATTGTGCGTAAGCCGTTAAAATGCACGTCTTTCTACTTGCATCTTAAAAAATGAACAAAAAAAAAGAACAAAAAAAGAGAAAAAATAAAACAGTATGGAGAACTCAAAATAGTTGTTTTCTCTGAATAAACTGTGAAGAAAAAAAATCAAAGGAAGAAGGCCACTGTATGTACAGTGAAGCCATCTGTCTTGTAAAAAGGAGAGTGTTGTTGTTGATGTCACCTTTAGCATTGTAAGATGTACAGTGTCAAATAAATATGCCTGTGCAATGTGTAAATAACAGCATGATGATTACTAGTTTTGCTATATGATCAAAAATAAAAGCAAATATTTTATTAAAGTTCAGTTTTTTAATGGCTTTTTGGAGAGTGCTATCTTCTATGTATACAGCAGCAGGAAGAGAAAACAGAGCTCCAAAAAAACAAAAGGACTGAGCTGCAACGACAACTCGTACAAGTCCATGTCACGTCAGGATAAAGACACACAAAACTACACAGGGAGCTAATTACACTCCCAAATGAAATCAGCCGCTAAAAAGTAGAATGAATGAGGAGGAAAAGATGTGAGGGAAGAATGAAGAATGGAAAAATTCAGAGGGAGGGAGGAAAATGGTAACTGCAGTGATTGATGAGTCACATGATTGGTGGATGAGTCATCCATCTGTACACTTTACTGCAAAGGGCCACACACACACACACACACACACACACACACACACACACACACACACACACACGCACGCACGCACGCACGCACGCACGCACACACACACACACACACACAGAGCTATATAGTAATTTAGCTGCTGGCATTCCAGATAAAGATTGAGTCACGTTCGCCTCAGCCTCGAGCCTCCAGTCGGCTGCTGGGAAGGTGTTCGGCAGATGGGTTTTGCCAAATCTCCTTTCCACACATCCCTCCTCGCTTGCATTCCACAGGAAACTCTCCTTCCTGCAGGAACTCCCTGAAGCACTTCAGGTTGGTTATCAAAACTAACCTCTTGCACACCATCGATGCTATAAAGAACAAATAGCCAACATGGTTGGAATCAAACATTACCTTAGCAGAATATTGAGTATTTGCGACTTTTAGTGTAATTCTCTGATATCACATTTGGTTTCTGTGATGAATTAAGGAGTAAGTAACATCTTGCCTTCAACAACCCTCAGAAATCCCACAGCTGCTCATGCAAGCGCTGTTCTTACCTTCACACCACAGTCACTGTTTTGGATTAAAAGGTTGTTTGCATGTCTTTTTATGGTTAAAATGAAGAATATCTACTGTAGGGACTCATGGTAGCAGAGATGGTAACATTGTTAGCTCGCATAAAGAAGGTTGCAGGTTAAAATTCCAGCTTCAGCCTTTCTGCAGGGGGGGAGGGGGGGGGGGGTCTCACCAGGGGTACTCAAATTCCTCCAATGTGCATTTTAGGTTCAATATTGACTTAGGTCTTGTTTGTCTTTGTTTCCCAGTGAAGGACTGGTGTCATATCCATGATGTCCCCCTCCTCATACTCCTCTCAAATCCTTGAGATTTGTTCTTTTTAAGTCTTCATTTGAGTCAACAAATCAGAATTTTAGGACATACTGTATTATGTGAAACTCACCTTTTACATCCATTTGTGTTGCCATGTAAGTCTCTACTGCTTCTATAAACACTCCGGACATGAAAAAAATCCCATCTATCCATGGTGTGTGAGTGCTTGGTTTCAAGAATTATGTGCTTAAAACAAGCTGTTACAAAAATGGCCAATTGTGATGTCACAAAGATAATTAGAATAGAACCACCTCTCGCGTAAAAGAAAACTACTGCTAGAGGAGCAGCGGCTCTACTCTGAGCCCTTCACCGATATCAGAGCTTCTCATCTTGTAGCAGCCTGAGCAGGGATTGGTCAGCGTGGCCAGCTCCAGCTTGTTTTCCTGAAGTGACAGAGCCCTGAAATGGCTCATTCTGAAAGGTACTGAAAATGTCAAAAATGAAACTGTCGTAATTGCTTTATGTGAGAGAGATTTTGTGCAAAGAACTTCATGAACGTGTTTAGGATCGACCTTAGAACTATTAATGTCTCTTTTGATATTTGAAACACAGGCTAAAAGGGTTTCAGTTTAGTTACATCTGTATGTGACACAAGAGGAAGAAAATTAACAAAAAAAATATTAAAACCTCACCAATCAAATTTAAAGGTTGACTATGGAACATGGACAATCTGGCGAACTCTGGTGTTCAGAGGTGGTATTGCAACAACACGACTAATTATCCAGTTGCTTGGATGTTGGTTCACTGCTGACATGTTCCAGCACCATGTTCAGACATCAGTCGTATAGGATAAGGAATGATTCATGCTAATGTTTATTTTACAACAGAATTTACTGTTGGAACATCTTCTAGGCTCAGAATCAGCTGCTTGACTTGTCAAGTCTGCCATTTTACACAGTCCCAACCTTGCCTTGATGAGCGGACTTTTTAGTGCAACGGTGCCCTCTAGTGGCTGGTAGATGTAAACATACTGTAAATCCTCTAATATTAGCCTGTATTTAATTAACTGTCGGGTATCATATTTTGGCCGGTGTCGGAGTCGGCGGAGGTGAATAATGGCCGTTTTTTTTTTTATTGTGGCCGGGTGGAATGTGGTAACAAGCAAGTACGGGGAGCGGTTGTGTCATCCGTCTCACTTTTGATTTGCCGCTGATAGACCACAAGGGTAACTTTAACCATGCGGAGACGAAGAGGAGGCAAAAATTTGATATCAAGTTCAAAGAGAACGTGCTGATTATGCTGCAGAACACTCTGGGGAACAGTAGCAGGGGTTGTATGAACTAGTCACTAGTCGACTTCACTGTTCTATGACTTTTATGCCTGTCATCGACTAGTTGCTATCACGTGATAATGACCGGCAAGATGCAGTCCACGGAAAAGACAACAGCCTGCTGTCAGCAGGTGACAAGCTCCTGCGTGTTGGGAGGCAACACGCTGTGCCAGAGCGTCGGCACTGACACCCGCCGTAAAACGGACATTTAACCAAATTGTGACCTTTTCCCTCTTGCAATTTAACCTTCCCCTCACCCCCATCCTAACCTCAACCAGCTTACGCATTCAAAGCTCTGATTGTTGACGCACTCCAGACATCTGCGTCCTGAGCGCGGCCACAGTAACATTATCAAATCAGGTGTCGCCACCTCAAAAACTAATTTAACACGCGATCGTTCATGTCGGCTCATTTCCTTTTATGCTTTCTGTCTTTTATTCTTTTATTTGTGCCTGATGCGTTTCGCTGCTGTGGATCGGGGCGCATCACCTGTTTTGTCCTCGGTGACGCACCTCACTGATGTGGCCGGCAAGCACTCCGCTGTTTTTGCGGTCGGTAGATCTTTTAGAACTGCAGTTCAGAGGTAACTCATAAGGTGAATATATATGAACCCAGGTAGCAGTTTTTCTTTAGGATTGAGAGGAGATGCAGGAAGATAATAAACAGACAGGACAGAAAAATAGTCAAATAAAAAAAAAATAGTTTTTGTACCTGGTGGTTGCAACAAACAGACACCATTGAAGGTAATCAGAAGTGAGGAACAGAAAATGAAATAATTATTTTAATGTTTAGAGCAGCAGGAACTCTGAGAGGCTGCAGGCACATCAGTGAGTTTGCGGCCGCTGCGCAGGGGGAGGGGGGGAGAGGGCTGAAGCAGAAACTACCGTTGTTAAAAGAGATGTGTTTAACTTTGAAAATGTGGGCGCAATTTTAATTGTCAAAAACTCCAGCGAACCGTTAGTTCATTTAGCTCAAATAGAAATTGAGGCCTGCCTCTAATTCTGGTCCTCCTTCCAATGGAGCCTGGAGCTTGATGAGCTTGAGTCAAATACAGGCCCGGGCCTGTATTAGAGGATTTACAGTAAACACATTGTCCTGCCCGACAGAATAAAAAATTGATAATTTATTTTTTTAATTAATTTAATTTATTATTAATTATTATAATAAAAATATTAATTTATTATTAATTAATATAATTATTATTAATTAAAATTAATTTTTTTAATATAGCTTTAAAAGGAGAAACTGTACATTCATTCTGCACATCTCTGAATGCCCCAAGGAGGCAATATTATTTTTAAATAGCCTTTTATTAAAATGTTCTGTATTCTAACTTTAAGTGAAATAAAATGACATTACACATTTTCTTCAGAGTGAAAGAAGATGGATAAAAGTGAAAATGATCCAGAAAAATGGGAAGTGTTTAGCAAAAATGATAAATGACCCACAGTTGTATAGCGCCTTTGAGAGTCAGAGGACTCCAAAGTACTTTACACTACGGTGTATCATTCATCCGTTCTCACACACACACATTCATACGCTGATGGTGATGAGCTCCTATGTAGCGACAGATGCCCTGGAAACGCTGAAGGTCAAAAAAGGCAGATGTGATCAGATGAATCTGGCAATCTCACCTTTTTATCAGAAGCAGAGACAGTTGAATCAAACTTTTACTCAAGTTATTAAAGAATTTTCATGCCTTTATTTTCTTTTTACTGTTCTTACACATCAAACCTGCCTGTGGCTACAAACAGATTTGCTTCCACTGTGACTTCAATCTTGCGAATCTCCCAACAATCCGTCTGCTTGTCCAGCTTCTGAGCATCTCACTTCTGTCATCATTTGTTTAAATAAGCAGGGATAACATGAAAAGATGTTCTTTCAAAATTCTCAAATGTTCCATTGACACAATATATAAACAAAAACCTGCTGTTGTACATTTCCGTTTATTCAATGGAAAGAAATAATTTGACAGAATTTTAGTCCCTTTACACCTACTATTTTGTGATGTTTACGTTTTTACATCAGAATTTATGCTTTTGTGATGAAACAACATTCAATATTAATATCTCATCTCAACAAATGGATCGGATAAGGTGGTCTACATCAGATCCTTGTTGCTCAGTGTGGTTCATGGAAAAAAGAAGTTTACTTTCACATAAAGCAGATCATAAAAATCATGTTAGCATGCTAATCCATTCTTAATCCAGTGATATTGCTGCCTACCACAACACCAAGACTGAATTTTCTCCACTGCAAATCATCACTCCGAGTCGGGCTTTGGATCACGTTTCGTCCTCCTAGTAATCGTTTATGTTTTGCCCACTGGGCGCGCTATAATTAAAGTGCTATTTGAAATTTTCAAAAGGTTCCAACTCTCGCAGGCACAGGGTCTGGTTTCCACACAACTCCTGGCACAGAGGAGTCTGACAGCACAACAATTCCTCAGTAATGGCCTCAAGAAGCTCATGCATTCACAGAAACAGAAACGAGGGGAAGAGTTTCCGCCATTAGCTGTCTGAATATTGAACATGTGTTCGTGTGTTTTGTTCGAGCACTGTCGGTTTGCTTTTGTTATTGTTATGCTCCTTCAGAGAGATTTTGAGATGATTATGGTAACACCTTCACAAGGTAAGAAAAAAAACTGCATGTGACTATTTTACTGTTAATTTTGTCTTTTTTGTAAGTGTTCGATATTTATTTTATAGCTGAACATAAGTCATGTTGCCCAGCTTTGTAAGCTATCACCTAAAACATTTACATATCTTTGTGGTGTTTTTAAGAATGACATGGAATTATTCTGTAATAAAAAGCCTTTTAATGAATGTGTTTCAAATGAAAAGCTCCAAAAATGGTGCAATGACCGAGCTTTGCTTACTAATTTCCTCGACCGACACATGTTGTCTCACACATTTCAGTGCGTCTGATCGCATGATGATGATGATGCACTTGCTTTGACGCCAACAGACACGCTTCACTTGGCCCAAAACATCTTTGAGCGACATGAAAATGATAAACGGGGGTGTTAGTACTTTCATGAAAATTTATACCATTTTCCAGTTTTTTTCTGTCTCTTGCAATGGATTATGTTTCAGTTAAAGTGGTACTAGGTTTTAAAACCACATTGACTTTGTTGAATTTAGGCCATGTACTAAAGTCTGTGCCGTCTCTGACCTGCTTTCATATGTAATATAGTAATGTTGTAAAGTCAACTAGAATTAAATTCAGATCAGTTTATTTATATAACGCCAAACCACGACAAGAGTCGCCTCAAGGCACTTCACAAAGCAAACATTCCAATACAGTTCACTCCATTAAGCCAATCAGTAGAAAGTTTCCTGTATAAGGAACCCAGCAGATTGCATCGAGTCACCGGCAGGCGTCAGCGTCTTTATAGCAATCCCAAAACTAAGCAAGCGTGTAGTGACAGTGGAGAAGAAAACCCAATTGCCGCTACAGACAGAGGAAACGATTAATTTTGAGAAAAGCTGATTTAACATGCCATGAGCATAGACACAGACATGCCCCCTTTAATTAACATGTCCCAACCAATCTCAACATTGGCTTAAGGTTGGTTTATGCTTGACGCGTCCGCGAGGTTCGCACGGCTCCTTGCGGCAAAATTGCATCATTTTAACAACCACGCCCCTCCACCGCGCCTCCGCACGGCCCAAACTTTCCGCACCGCGCACCTAGGAAATTTTCTAACCACGCGGACAGTCGGACGCGGAAAAACATGGCGGACTGGCAAGAACTAGTATGGCAGAGGTTCGTAAATACAGACATTTGTATGATTCAAATCAAATCAAAAATCAAATCAACTTTATTTATAGAGCGCTTTCACATGGCCAAAATGGACAAACAAAGCGCTGTACACCAATAAAAAGCACCACAATGGGACAGAGATATGACCATTAAAATACAAGAAGAAATCCATGTAAAATACAATACGAAAACCTGAGTGCAAGTTCACAGTCTAATATCCAGCCTACATCCCCCAACTTCAAAGTCCAAACGCCAGCAAGAACAGATGTGTCTTTAGTCTTCCTTTAAAGGTTTCTAAAGACTTGGCCTGTTTTACATCAGCTGGCAGCTCATTCCAGAGACTTGGTCCAAGTACTCAAAAGGCATGACTCCCACGAGACTTCAGGTTGTACCTAGACACAGTTAGTAATCTCTGGTCAGCTGACCTAAGGGAACGCACCGGGACATGTTTGTGGATGATTTCAGAAAGATATTTAGGAGCCCCTGAGTTTAACGCCTTAAACACAAACAGGATGACCTTAAACCTGATGCGATAAGAAACAGGGAGCCAATGCAAGGCACGTACGACTGGTGTAATATGTTCAGACCTCCTGGTAGATGTTAACAACCGAGCTGCAGAGTTCTGAACCGCCTGGAGGCGTGCTATTGGAGCTTGCCTAAGCCCCGCATATAGCGAATTACAATAATCCAGCCTGCAGGTAACAAAGGCATGGATTACAGTTTCCAAATGACTATGGGACAGAAATGGCTTAATTTTCGCTATGCGGCGTAGATGAATAAAGCAAGATCTCACAATACCGTTCACTTGAGCATCAAATCTGAGTTCTGCGTCCAGTTTTACCCCTAAGTTAGTGACCACCGCCTTCTGATGCGGTGCCAGAGTGGAAAAATCAAGCCCTTGGGCACCTCCTGGGGTCTTAGGTGGCGTAAACAGAACAACTTCAGTCTTGTGTTCGTTAAAACACAAGAAGTTCTGAGCCAACCATAGCTTGATGTCCTCCAGGCAGTCCAACAGAGGTTGAATGGTGCATAAGCCACCACGCCTAATTGGCAAAATGACCTGGCAATCATCAGCATATAGATGGAATGACACGTCATGTTTACAGAATAGTTCACCCAGGGGTAGGAGATATAAGGAGAAAAATAGTGGGGCCAAAATCGATCCCTGGGGAACTCCCCAAGCCAGCTCAGCCAGATCGGAGGAACAGTCCCCCAACCTCATACAAAAACTCCTCTCAGTCAAGTAGGATTCAGCTCTCAAAGATCACCGTGATCAACATGTTGTTAATAATTCTTGGAGAGAAATAGCTCGCACTGTCGGAAAAGACGAGGACGCTGTTAAAAAATGCTGGAATGGCATGTTGTAAACAACAGTAATTTTTACTTCTACGGTTTTAGTGTTGGATGCATGCCGTAGAGCTCCATGCTGCCATGCTGTTTACTGTAGGTCTTTCCTGTTTGAGTGAGACAGGTGAATATTTTATCACTACGTTTTAAAAACCAAACATCTGTGTTGCTCATCCCGCATCAAGAGAGGAGTTTTTCCATTTTTCTCACCAGATGTTCTTCAAATTTTTCATCATCTGGCTCGTTCATACGCCGTTTTACCTTCTAAGAAAAAAACACATATCTTCACCACTCATGAATGTAGTTTTAGGGTCGGTGAAGAATCACTGTGTTAAAACAACAGCTTAGTGACCCAAAAAATAAGTGATGTAAAAAAGGAAACTTTGCCATAAAAATGTGAATACAAATTTAATTAGGATTTCGTTTGTTATTTAAAAAAACTAAAATAACAAATATAATTCATAAAAGCTTCTGATTTAAACATATCAGCATTTGTTTTAGACGTGTGATCAGCGAGCTGCATGTTTGCAGCCTCAACCAGAAAAGGCTTTTCAAACACGAATCTCATCTGACTTCTCCCCATGTTTGTTGATTTGCCTGTTAAACTACTATTGTTGGGCATAACACGCCTCATCAAACATGCTTTCAGCAACCATTAGGACGACAGAGGCAGAGCTGCCAGGGTCTCTCCCACTGAAACACATCCCTCGTTTATGAGCTCTGCAGCTCAGGTCCTTCTGCTCACCCCTTTCATCTTTTCCTTGCCATTCTCTGTCCTGCTCAGTACCTTCTTTTTTCCTACAATTATCCATGCCCTCCCATCCCCCCATATCCCCTCTCCTCTCATCCTTAATGCTACCTAACACCCAATCTTCCCTTCTCTCCCATTCTCTATCCTCTCTCCATGTCTTGTTTTGTATGCAAGCCCCAAAGGGAGAAAATGGGTGAAAAGCACTCTCTCTGCACCAGTGTCACAAAAGAGTGGTGAGTCATCTCCACTTATGTTCCTGTCTCCCTCCTCCCACAAAAAAACAAAAACAAAAAAACAAAACAAACAAAAAAAAAAACATAGGCATACAGGAGAAACACTCAAATTACCTGTTTGTGCACTTACAGGAAGACGTGTACAGATGCACAGACAGTGGTGAGAGAGCACACACTCAAGTGTGCACACAGATTCCACCGCAAAATTAAAACTCAAATTACATCAGAGGTGCTTTCAAGTGGACTCATCCAATTTGGCCACTGTGAATAAAGTTGTGACTGTACATTTCTGCACACAGTCAAGACCAAAAACATAAATAAGCATCACAGATGCATGGACTGGAAGTAACAGAATAATAAAAAGAACAACATGGTAAAGAAAGAGTTAAAACAATCAAAATTATAAATATTGCATGCAGCCATGATTGTGATCCTGATTTTAAGACATAAAATACTCTACCTCCATCTGCTGGTAGAACTAGTATATTGCATTGTCTATCTATCTATCTATCTATCTATCTATCTATCTATCTATCTATCTATCTATCTATCTATCTATCTATCTATCTATCTATCTATCTATCTATCTATCTATCTATCTATCTATCTATCTATCTATCCATCCATCCATCCATCCATCCATCCATCCATCCATCCATCCATCCATCCATCCATTTTCTGAACCCGCTTACTGGTACTGGTTACTGGTGCCCAACTGGTACTGGTGCCCATCTCCAGTGGTCAACGGGCAATCAGGCGGGGTACACCCTGGATAGAGAGCCAGTCCATCGCAGGGCAACACAGAGACACACAGGACAAACAATTACACACACACACACACACACACACACACACACACACACACACACACACACACACACACACACACACACACACACACACACACACACACACACACACACACACACACACACACACACACACACACACACACACAACACACACACACACACACACACACACACACACACACACACACACCGAAGGACAATTTAGACAGACCAATTAACCTAACAGTCGTGTTTTTGGACTGTGGGAGGAAGCCAGAGTTCTCAGGTAAATATATTCTTTATAAATAAAAAAGTTTAAAAAGGGACATAATCGGACCAAGAACATCCTAAATGAGATAAAAGAAAGAACTTAATAGAAACAAGAAACTTTCTGATCTTTGCTGGCATGATGGTTTGTTCATATGAAATCAGGCTGCTGTGCACGGACATCAGAGCCCTCACCTGATTACTCTTTACAGAGACCTGCTTGTGAGCTATTCAGACGCATGAAATATTAAAAGCGTGGAGTTTCCGTTTCACAGACGGGGGAGAGAGAAGAAAAGCAGGCAAGCGGGCAAGAGAAGGATAAAGAAAAGTCCCAGAGCAGTTGGATTAGGAGGAAAAAACACATCAGTAACCCTGGGAGGGAGACGAAGACGGATGGAGGGAGAGAGCACCGAAAGGTAAGACAAAGGAGTGGATGAATGTTTACGAGTGATCAAGCGCTCACCTTGAGCGTAACAGTAGATGCGGAGCTGGTGGAAGCAGCTGAAGATAGATTAGCTGGTACTGCTGTAGTAAGAGGCTGTTAGGAGGGCAAGTTTTAAAATTCTGCTTCCTCTCTTTGAAACCTTAGTGGGACGACTTCTACCCAGGCAGAAACGTTGGACTGTAACCAGGAGCATGATGATCCCCAAAGCCCCCAGAAACCAGAGGAGGAAAACAGGGACGAACGTGGAGCCTGTGATGAAGAGGTAGAACCCACTCTAGGGCAAAAAATAACCAAACAAGGGATTTGTAGCAATAGTTTATTGTTTTTGGCTTGGATGGTTTTTATTTGGTTTGTGTGACCAAGAAGGCTGGAGAAGATCTGTGTGTCGGTGCAGAGACTTCTCAGCAGGAGGAGGTGATGACCACACACACACAGGACGATGAGAACGGCCTCCCGCGGTCTAACCTGTCAACAGAGGAGAAGACGGCCGATGCATCAGTGCCGCCTACTCCATCCATCACAAAGAGTAGGGCACACACTCGTAACTCGTTCGTGTTAGTCACGAAGTTGGATATTATATCCATGCAGCCTTTTGAATTTACCTTTGGGCATTTTTGGACAGTTTCTGATTTTCTAATGGGACAAAAGGTGACGGATTCAGAAAACTGTAGCTAAATCAGATGTCATCCCTCAAACATCACACCATTAGCCTAGAAATGTAGAAACCATAGCAGTAGCTAAAGATTTTGCTCTGCAGGTTGGTCTAGGCATGCTCCGTTGTCGCTTCAGCAGGTCTACCATTGGCTTGGCTAGGTTTAGGCCTAGCCAGTCACAGCATTCAATGTTTGCAGAGAGACGTTGGGTCGGCTTAGCACCATAACTGCTGAGCTGCGACAGAGCAAAACTACAAAGATGGCAGCGGCTCAGGAGTGGTGCTCATTTGAAACCCATTTAGCATCAACTTTGGACAATTTATACTTGATTCAGATACTTAAGTCATTTATTTCGAAAAAGGAAATTTGCTTCTTCTTTTTCTTTGACGGCCTTTGGTGGACTGCTCCAATACCACCATAGACTTTTCCCCATGACTGAGCTCTGTCTATGGGTCGTGGCCAGGATGGCTCGCCAGGCTGACACTTCAGCAGAAACTGCTTTTCTGTCAGGATTCAAAAGAATAAAATCAATTTTTGATTCAACATGTACGTTTTTATACATCAGCCAAAGTGTTACTTTAAATCTCGTCTTCATATTCACTCTGTGTGTTGATTCATAATTGTCTTCTTTCTTATTAAACACAGTGAAGTAATCACATGTTTTTTTTTTACCTTCGGCTGACGTGTTTCGGCTAGAACTTCCGCTTTCGTCAGCACGTTTGTGATGTCACTTCCATTCATGTGTGAGCAGCAAAGGACGATGTCGCCCTCTGCTGCCCGCATCCTTCACGCTGATAACACAGTCCTGTGTGTCCCAGAGCTGGCGGCTCTGACAAAGGCGGAAGTTCCGGCCGAAACATGTCAGTCGAAGGTGAAGAAACATCTAAATACCTCACTGTGTTAAATGAGAAAAAAGAAGATAATTGTTCGTTATTCTGCTTTTATTTTTTCATTTTATGATGACCTGAAATGACACCTATCAAAAATAAAACAAATTTGCATGTATTTGATATTGGAGGAATTTGATTGGGTAGGTCTTGATACACAGTGGGTGGGCCCCGGCCCACCCTAGCCCACCCATAGTCATGCCCCTGTTTGTCAGAACTTCAAGCTTTTCCCAATTTCATCTCTATATGTTTATCAAACACACATCTGAACATTGAGGCATTCCTGTAAGTCATATGAGCCTAAAGGAGGCGTGTCTTTTTCAGATCCACCACCCGGACCGTGTTGGTACTGTCTCAGGTCTCTGGACTCAGAGTTCCGTCCCCAAACCAGCGAAAAGGTTGTTATATGAACATCTTACAGTTTTTCTTTTGGTTTGGCTCATTTCTTGAAACAGAAATTATGTTCTCAAAATAACAAGGACAAACCTCCAAACCTCTTGGCAAATGTTCACAACAGAATGGCATTTCTCATTCATTTTATCAAACGGGAAATGCCTTAGTACGTCTCAATTGTCTCAGTGCATCTTTGCAAATGATTAAGTACATGTAGCCTACAGTTATGCAGTTAGCCCACATTTAGCACATTTTCCAAATGAATAGATGTTGTAGATCTAAACCGATTAGTTGATTCTCAGTCTAATGATCATTCTCTCCAAAACATGTCAGCATGATTTCATTGTGTAAGTACTCGCATGCACAACTGTCTGTTCAGTTGTCAGAATTGGTCAAGAACATAATACCATGAAGGCCATACATGAATTTCTTTAAATATTTGATACATCGATGACAGTCATTGACAGTCAGTTGAAACTAGACTAACGAACGGGGAGTGTCACACACAGGTGTTTTCCATGACTGTGTGCTGCCAAACACATATACTGTATATAGAGCTTGACCAGCACCGGTCCAGTCTCTGAACATGGATAGACAAGGTCAAGCAAATGGACAAGGGGAAGTTCTTCCTCAAGGAAGAGGAGGAAGAAAATGTTCATTTTCTTTTGACTTATGTATGAAACTTTCTTTGCGTGTGAATAAAAAATGGTTATAATTTCCTTGGTAGAGTGAGTGCAATCTGTGATGTCAAACCTTGGAGGCTAGTCTTTTGGGTTATATTGTTGGTCCTCTGCCATAGTGACAAAGCATCTAAACATTTTGTATGGCAGTACTCACACAATGCCAAAGGGATGATGCATTTTGGGGGCACTGACCATTCAGATTAGAAGGAAATGTAGTTTTGACACATGAGTGAACTGTTTTAGGAGAGAAATGAGCTTTTGCAGGTAAACCATGTTGTTGTGATCAACCATCCAGGTTTATTTTGACAAAAGCACCAAGAATGATGAGAATGTCCGATCTGTGTCGAGAAATGAGCCAAACCAATGGAGAAAAACTGTAACAGAATAATAGATGGTAATTCTATTTTCAGTTAATTTATTTATTGAAGACATTTTTTGCGCTGGAAAGAAGCACAGATCATTTGAACTTTATTCTAAAGACTCTCATCAAACCAAGTTTGAAGCGGTAATGATCTGTTGCTGTTGCCCCTGTGTGGCAGGAGGACTCTGACTCTGATCCATCACTGACAGTTAGTGGCCAGAAAGTGACCTACCAAACAGACCCTCGACCTCACTTTGGGGTAGCTTGGTCTTCCCATTCCCCAGGTCGGCCCCTGTGGGGCAGCGAGGGGCCCTGTTGGGGTCAGAGAAACCAGGAGAAGACTGACCAGACAGACACCTGCCCCCACTGCCACCTGGGGTTGCCCCTTGACACCCTGCGCTGGCATGAGGTTAGCACAGGCATGCGCTTACTATCAGATGTTTACCAACGAGGCACTAAATGTTTTCTTTCTCTTCTCACAGGCAAAGTGTCTCCAGTTTGATGGGTTGGGGAGCTCAAAGGAATAAAACAGTCATTGTCAAACAAAAATGCTGTTTGTATATTATTTTATAGATAAATATCTTCTGTCTGAACGAGAAAATCCCAGAAAATCTTTAGAACTGTTAGATTTTTGTGCTAAAATGTTTCTAAATGAGTAAATAAATATGTACCGTGAGTCCTTGTGCGATTGTTTCTTTTTTAAATTGCATATTGACGCACAATTTTTGCAGCATTTATTGAGCATCAGTAACATTTTCACTTCAGCTTTGCTGTTTTTAGTTACTCTGTCACATTTCAAAACATCAAGTTGTGGTATCTAAAGCAGGCGACTCGAATGGGGTTTCCAGTACGTTAGAATACTTAGATTAATTCAGAGTTTTCCAAAAAACAAGTTTAATTAAATGATCAGAAACAGTGCAGACAGCAATGTTTTCGTGTATTTGCTGCATCTGACCCTGGACTTTCACACCAGCACTGAGTCAGTGGACAGTGAGCTTCTGGAGCTGGTTGCTGCATGTGAGTGTCTACATTTCCTGGACATCATAGAGAAGTTGCTGCAGTTAGACTGAATCAAAGGCTGCTCCTCAATATGATCAGAGTAAGAAAACACTTGACTTTGCTTCCAAACTGAAACGGGATGCCAGCTGTAAAGTAATACATTTTTAAAAATTCATGAAGATATATTTAATATTTTCACAACTATGTGTAGTAATAGTGTTTTAGTCCCAGTCATTTGGAACTTGACAACATTATTTCTAACGTTTAATTCAAATTACATTGTTAATATGAATAAATAAATAAATAAATAAATAAATAAATAAATAAATAAATAAATAAATAAATAAATAAATAAATAAATAAATAATAGAAAGGACTGCGCAGTGGCTAGAGCTGTTGCCCTGCAGCAAGAGGGTCCTGAGTTCGCTTCCCGGCCTGGGATCTTTCTGCATGGAGTTTGCATGTTCTCCCTGTGCATGCGTGAGTTCTCTCCGGGTACTCCGGCTTCCTCCCACAGTCTAAAAACATGACTGTTAGGCCAATTGGTCTGTCTAACTTGTCTTTAGGTGTGAGTGTGTGTGTGTGTGTGTGTGTGTGTGTGTGTGTGTGTGTGTGTGTGTGTGTGTGTGTGTGTGTGTGTGTGTGTGTGTGTGTGTGTGTGTGCTTGATTGTTTGTCCTGTGTGTCTCTGTGTTGCCCTGCGATGGACTGGTTCTCTGTCCAGGGTTTACCCCACCTGATTGCCCATTGACCGCTGGAGATAGGCACCAGCCTCCCATGACCCTACGTGGACAAAGCGGGTTCAGACAATGGATGGATAAATAAATAAATAAATTAAAAAATAAACAAAGAAATGTTTTTTAAATATTTAGAATAACGTGAACATTTAGTGTTAACTTTATTTATTCAGACTTGATTTCAAACTTTCAGATTTAACTTTTATTTTTGCTGTTTTTAGGTTTTATAAAAATTATTTAGATTTCATTGTTCATATCCAAAAAAGTCTAAATATTCATATGAAAAACTTCTATTTTCAAATGTATTTAAACTTTTTTGTTTTAACTTTATATATTTAGAATTGGTTCAATTTCAAAACTATTGTTATTTGAAGCCAAATGCTGTGAAAAATAGCCGTAAACCTTTTAGCTTTACAATCAGCACCCCATACACGCAGGCACACACACAAATGTATGATTTTCATTCATTTTGACTGAAGGTGAAGATCTAGAAATGAAGACATCAAAGAGCAGCAAGACCATGTATAGGGATGACTTCTCTGTCTGCAGAATTTCCCTCCTGAACTTAATTTTACGGCTGCAGTCATCTTTTCCAAACAACACGTGTGCAGCTGATCTCCAGCTAAGGGATGCATGCACAAAACATGTTATAAAGACTGAAGCATTGAGTTTGGGTGTAAATGTGTGAATGACTGATTGTGTTGTAAAGCGCCTTGGGGGGTTCTAGGACTCTACAAGGCGCTATATAAAATACAGGCCATTTACCATTTTGCTTGTTTAATCATTCAATAAACCAAAGGAGCAGAAACCAGTCATGTGGTATGGTTGTGTTTATGCTTTTCTCGGGGCGATGGGGTGAGCTGAGGGTGAGATAGTCAAGAATGACCTAGTTTATTTGTACTGTGTGTGTGTGTGTGTGTGTGTGTGTGTGTGTGTGTGTGTGTGTGTTGGGGGGTGGGGTGGGGTCTTCGGATGTGCACTAACACGGCATTATTTAAAGTAACAGATTAAGTTGCGCCAGGAACACAATGAACTCTTGTTTGAACTACAAAGGGAATTGAGTTTCATCCAGTTCATTTAAGTGTGTTGAAAATTCCTCACGTTAAATCATGTATTAGGAATAGTTTAATTGGTCAAATTCAGCATTTTTAATTTACAGTTTTTCTCCATTGGTTTGGCTCATTTCTTGAAACAGAAATTACATTTTCAAACCTCTAAGATCATTTGGCAAACACTTACAGTTTAGCACAACACTATAGCTCACCTGCAAAAGCTCACATCTCTTCCAAAACTGTTCACTCAGGCTTCAATCTGAATCCCTTTTTCATTTAAACAGTCAGTGTCTCCAAAATGGCAAAGATCCTTCTCAATAGCTTTGGCTCATTTCTCGACACAGATCGGACATTCTCATCATTCTTGGTGCTTTTGTCAAAATAAACCTGGATGGTTGATCACAACAACATGGTTTACCTGCAAAAGCTCATTTCTCTCTTAAAACAGTTCACTCATGTGTCAAAACTACATTTCCTTCTAATCTGAATGGTCAGTGCCCTCAAAATGCATCGTCCCTTTGGCATTGTGTGAGTACTGCCATACAAAATGTTTAGATGTTTTGTCACTATGGCAGAGGACCAACAATATAACCAAAAAGACTAGCCTCCAAGGCTTGACATCACAGATTGCACTCACTCTACCAAGGAAATTATAACCATTTTTTATTCACACGCAAAGAAAGTTTCATACATATGTCAAAAGAAAATGAACATTTTCTTCCTCCTCTTCCTTGAGGAAGAACTTCCCCTTGTCCATTTGCTTGACCTTGTCTATCCATGTTCAGAGACTGGACCGGTGCTGGTCAAGCTCTATATACAGTATCTGTGTTTGGCAGCACACAATCATGGAAAACACCTGTGTGTGACACTCCCCGTTCGTTAGTCTAGTTTCAACTGACTGTCAATGACTGTCATCGATGTATCAAATATTTAAAGAAATTCATGTATGGTATTCATGGTATTATGTTCTTGACCAATTCTGACAACTGAACAGACAGTTGTGCATGCGAGTACTTACACAATGAAATCATGCTGACATGTTTTGGAGAGAATGATCATTAGACTGAGAATCAACTAATCGGTTTAGATCTACAACATCTATTCATTTGGAAAATGTGCTAAATGTGGGCTAACTGCATAACTGTAGGCTACATGTACTTAATCATTTGCAAAGATGCACTGAGACAATTGAGACGTACTAAGGCATTTCCCGTTTGATAAAATGAATGAGAAATGCCATTCTGTTGTGAACATTTGCCAAGAGGTTTGGAGGTTTGTCCGTGTTATTTTGAGAATGTAATTTCTGTTTCAAGAAATGAGCCAAACCAACGGAGAAAAACTGTAACAATTTGGTATTTACACCAATCAGGTAAACCAATATGTACGTTGACTCGGAATTACACATTCCACACTTAAGTAATCGATAAATTAATTTAAATATTATTAAAATTGTTAGAATTTTTTATATAGTGTATTTCAAGAAAAAAATCACAAATTGATTCAGAACCAAAAATATACAGGTATTATAGAAACACTAACATGCAAGGAAGTTGATGAGCAAGATCATCATCATCATCATCAATAATATTAATAATAATAATAATAATAATATACACAAGACTAGACTTCAGACTTCTATTTCTCTTTATACAGTCACTGATTTCCAACTGAATTTATTTATTGAATATAAAAGTGTTGACATTACACGTTTTGGTAAAAACAAACAAAAGCTTGTTTTATTAGCACAACCAAATATGCAAAAATTAAACAAAAAGGATTCAGTATAAAACACAAAAACGTGAACAGAGGATCATTTTTGCTACGTCACCTTGAGAATACAGCATCCTTTACCTGATTGGCTGGATAGACATCATGCCAAGTCACGTGACTGGGTGTTGCCATCTCACGGCAGCATGGTGAGCGGCTCGCTTGCTCTGTCAGCTGACCACAGTCCCGCCGTCGCCACGGTGGTGCCCCGCCCACCTGTGTTGTTGTCATCTCACATTGTCTGCGAGGATCACCATCACTACCGAGGTCTGCGGAGCTACCGAACGCGAAAATGTCGTCGCTGCTCAAGCCGTTTTCGGTCTGTGAGGGTCCGTGTGAGAGCTGCTCAGCCCGGAGGCACAACCTCCATCAACAGCAGCAGCGTCTGGCCGCGGAGCTGGGCTCTCCGCCCGTGCATCGGATGCTAGATGCGGCTAGGAGGAACCTGGCGGCCGCTGCCCCCGGGGGGAGGAAAATCACCCACCCCGGAAAAGCTATTCTAGCAGGTCGATTTCCTCACACACGTTAAGCATGTAGTAGCGGCAGACACACAGCACAGCTTAATCTCAGCCCATTAAGGCTCTCCGTGCAGAACTGGGTCATACACTCCCAACCAGTAGCAGGGATGCTACAGCAGTTAGATGGCACAGCCACATGTGTCTTCTATATATTATCACTATACTCACCTGTATAGTCAAGTAAACTAGCTGAAAGGTTTAATTCATTTAATCAGATCTGTCTTCTTTCTCTTCTAATGTTTCTTCTCAGAACATTCAGGTACAATTCTTGACCTTTCTCTTTTCAGGAGGCATTGCAGGAGCAATAGAGATCTGCATCACCTTTCCTACAGAGTACGTAAAGACCCAGCTGCAGCTGGATGAGCGGCACAACCCACCCCGTTACAGAGGGATTGGTAGGCCACCGGGACTTCCTGTATGAGGGCCGATCTCTGAGCTGAGCTTGCATGGGTTCCCCTCTCATGGCGGATGTTGTTTGCACAGGTGACTGCGTGAGGCTGACCGTGCAGGATCATGGACTCAGAGGGTTGTACCGGGGTCTGAGCTCGCTGCTCTATGGGTCCATACCCAAATCTGCAGTAAGGTGAGGATGCAGGCACTGGAATAAGACACTTTTAAGTCAGACATGATTAATGCAACTGAATGCAACTAATTCAAATGAAATTTATTTATGAGATGTTTTCTAAAATTTGCCTTAATTCCACTTCAAGGTAGAGCTAAGCCGATACGTTTTTTTGAGGCCGATACCGATGCTGGTTGTCAAGTCAACTTTATTTATAAAGCACTTTACAACAACATAAAAGCCGACCAAAGTGCTTAACAAGCCAAAAATAACAGAAGTTCCCTAAAAATAAGATAAAAAGTTCATCCCAAAGTAAAAACATGATAAAAACAAACATATCAAACTGACATAAAAGCTACTAAAAACAGATGCATTCTCAAACTGAATTAAAAGCAACTGAGAACACTGGTGAGTCTTTAAAAGTGATTTAAAACCCGACAGTGACGAAACCATCCTAATCTGAATTGGGAGTGCATTCCACAACCTTGGAGCTGCTACTGAGAAAGCTCTATCACCCCTGAGCTTTCTCTTTGTTCTCGGCACCTCCAGGAGAAACTGGTCGACTGACCTCAGTGACCGAGACGGGGAGTGAGCAACTAAAAGTTCACAAGGATACTGCGGAGCAAGGCCATGTACAGCTTTAAAAGCCAATAAAAAACCCTTGTACTGGACCCTAAAATCCACAGGCAGTCAGTGCAGCGAAGCTAAAATTGGGGTAATGTGCTCCCTCTTCGAAGGATCTTTCATGGCGGTTAAAACGAAGAGTCGGAGTACCCGGCCCGGAGGGTTACCGGGGTCCCACCCTGGAGCCAGGCCTGGGGTTGGGGCCCGTGAGCGAGCGCCTGGTGGCCAGGCTTTCGCCCATGGGGCCCGGCCGGGCCCAGCCCGAACCGGATACATGGGCTCGTCCAACTGTGGACCCACCACCCGCAGGAGGAACATGAAGGGTCCGGTGCAATGCGAATCGGGTGGCAGACCAAGGCGGGAGCCTTGGCGGTCCAATCCCCGGACAAGAAAACTAGTTTTTGGGACATGGAACGTCACCTCGCTGGCGGGGAAGGAGCCGGAGCTTGTGGCAGAGGTTGAGCGGTACCGGCTAGATATAGTCGGACTCACCTCGACACATTGCATTGGCTCTGGAACCCGAGACCTGGAGAGGGGTTGGACACTCTACTTTGCTGGAGTTGCTCCGGGTGAGAGGCGGAGGGCTGGGGTTGGCTTTTTGTTAGCCCCGAGACTCTCTGCCTGTGTTTTGGGGTTTACCCCGGGGGACAAGAGGGTAGCTTCCTTGCGCCTTCGGGTCGGGGAACGGGTCCTGACTGTTGTTTGTGCTTATGGGCCAAATATCAGTTCAGAGTACCCACCCTTTTTGGAGTCCCTGGGACGAGTGCTAGATAGTGCTCCATCAGGGGACTCCATTGTCCTGCTGGGGGACTTCAATGCTCACGTGGGCAATGACAGCTTGACCTGGAGGGGTGTGATTGGGAGGAACGGCCCACCTAATCTGAACTCGAGCGGTGTTTTGTTATTGGACTTCTGTGCAAGCCGCAGTTTGGCCATAACGAACACCATGTTCGAACATAAGGATGCCCACCGGTACACTTGGTACCAGGGCAGCCTAGGTCACAGGTCGATGATAGATTTTGTAGTCGTATCATCTGACCTGCGGCCGTATGTTTTGGACACCCGAGTGAAGAGAAGGGTGGAGCTGTCAACTGATCACCACCTGGTGGTGAGTTGGATCAGATGGCAAGGGAACATGCCGCGTGGACCTGGCAGACCCAAACGCATAGTGAGGGTCTGCTGGGAACGCCTGGCAGAAGAACCTGTCAAGACGGTCTTCAACTCCCACCTCCGGCAGAGCTTTGACCACGTCCCGAGAGCAGTGGGGGACATTGAGTCCGAGTGGGCCTTGTTCCACTCTGCGATTGTCGAGGCGGCTGTTGCTAGCTGTGGTCGTAAGGTGGCCGGTGCCAGTCGTGGTGGCAACCCCCGTACCCGCTGGTGGACACCAGAGGTTCGGGGAGCCGTCAGGCTGAAGAAGGAGGCCTACAGGGCGTGGCTGGTCTGTGGGTCTCCGGAGGCAGCAGACAGGTACCGGATAGCCAAGCGGGGTGCAGCAGTGGCAGTTGCCGAGGCAAAATCTCGGGCGTGGGAGGAGTTTGGTGAGGCCATGGAGAAAGACTATCGATCGGCTCCAAAGAGGTTCTGGCAAACTGTCCGGCGCCTCAGGAGAGGAAGGTAGCAACTCGCTCACACTGTTTACAGTGGGGATGGGGAGCTGCTGACGTCAACTGAGGCTATAGTCGGACCGTGGAAGGAATACTTTGAGGAGCTCCTCAATCCCACCAATGCGCATTCCGAGGAGGAACCAGAGCTGGGAGGCCTGGGGATGGACTGTCCGATCTCGGGGGCAGAAGTTGCTGAGGTAGTCAAACAACTACACAGCGGCGGAGCCCCGGGGGCGGATGAGGTTCGTCCTGGGTATCTCAAGGCTATGGATGTTGTAGGGCTGTCATGGTTGACACGTCTCTACAACATTGCGTGGTCATCGGGGGCAGTTCCTAGGGAGTGGCAGACCGGGGTGGTGGTCCCCATCTTTAAGAAGGGTGACCTGAGGGTGTGTTCCAACTATAGGGGGATCACACTCCTCAGCCTCCCTGGAAAGGTCTACTCCAAGGTACTGGAGAGGAGGGTCCGATCGATAGTTGAATCTCAGATAGAGGAGGAGCAATGTGGTTTTCGTCCTGGCCGTGGAACTGTGGACCAGCTCTATACCCTTGCAAGGGTGATGGAGGGGGCATGGGAGTTTGCCCAACCAATCCACATGTGCTTTGTGGATTTGGAGAAGGCTTATGACCGTGTCCCCAGGGGCACCCTGTGGGGGACGCTCCAGGAGTATGGGGTGGGTGGCTTTCTGTTAAGGGCCATTCAGTCCCTTTACCAGAGGAGCGTGAGTTTGGTCCGCATAGCCGGTAGTAAGTCGGACCTGTTCCCAGTGAGGGTTGGACTCCGCCAGGGCTGCCCTTTGTCACCGGTTCTGTTCATCACTTTTATGGACAGAATTTCTAGACGCAGCCGTGGTGTGGAGTGTGTCGAGTTTGGTGGCAGGAGAATCTCGTCTCTGCTTTTTGCGGATGATGTGGTCCTCCTAGCTTCATCCAGCTCTGACCTTCAGCTCTTGCTGGGTAGGTTTGTGGCCGAATGTGAAGCGGCTGGGATGAGGATCAGCACCTCCAAATCTGAGACCATGGTTCTCGACCGGAAAAGGGTGGCTTGCCACCTCCGGGTCGGGGGAGAGGTCCTACCTCAAGTGGAGGAGTTTAAGTATCTCGGGGTCTTGTTCACGAGTGAGGGTAGGAGGGATCGGGAGATCGACAGGCGGATTGGTTCGGCGTCTGCAGTGATGCGGACGCTGAGCCGATCTGTCGTGGGGAAGAGGGAGCTGAGCCAGAAAGCCAGGCTCTCGATTTACCGGTCGATCTACGTCCCAATCCTCACCTATGGTCATGAGCTTTGGGTAATGACCGAAAGAACGAGATCGCGGATACAAGCGGCCGAAATGAGTTTCCTCCGTAGGGTGGCCGGGCTCAGCCTTAGAGACAGGGTGAGGAGCTCGGACATTCGGGAGGGACTCGGAGTAGAACCGCTGCTCCTCTGGATCGAAAGGAGCCAGTTGAGGTGGTTTGGGCATCTGGTCAGGATGCCTCCTGGACGCCTCCCCGGGGAGGTGTTTCGGGCATGTCCTGCCGGCAGAAGGCCCCCGGGTCGACCCAGGACACGTTGGAGAGGTTACATCTCCAATCTGGTCCGGGAACGCCTTGGGGTCCTGCCGGAGGAGCTGGTGGACAAGGCCGGGGAGAGGACGGCCTGGAGCTCCCTAGTTGGGATGCTGCCCCCGCGACCCGGACCCGGATAAGCGGAGGAAGACGAAGACGACGAAGTGCTCCCTCTTTCTCGAACCTTGTCAAGGCAAACATTGACTGATGTGCAATGCGTATTTTCTTTTATCCTTTTCTGTCCAATCCATTTTTTTTTCATCCATCCATCCATCCGTCCATTTTCATCCGCTTATCCGGAGTCGGGTCGTGGGGGCAGTAGCCTAAGGCGAGAGGCCCAGACTTCCCTCTCCCTAGTCACTTGGGCCAGCTCCTCCGGAGAAAACCCAAGACTTTCCCTGACCAGGTGAGAGACATAGTCCCCACCCCCCCCACCCCCACCGTGTCCTGGGTCTACCTTTAGGTCTCCTCCCGGATGGACGTGCCCAGAAAACCTCACCAGAAAGGCGTCCAGGAGGCACCCTGACCAGATGCCCGAGCCACCTCAACTGGCTCCTCTCAATGTGGAGGAGCATCGGGTCTACTCCGAGCCCCTCCCGAATGACCGAGCTTCTCACCCTATCTCTAAGGGAGAGCCCAGCCACTCTTTGGAGAAAACTCATTTTGGCCGCTTGTATCCGTGATCTCGTTCTTTCGGTCACTACCCAAAGCTCATGACCATAGGTGAGGGTAGGAACGTAGATCGACCGGTAAATCGAGAGCTTCGCCTTCTGACTCAGCTCTCTCTTCACCCCCGACAGACCGGTACAACACCCACATCACTGCAGATGCAGCACCAATCCGCCTATCGATCTCACGCTCCAGTTTTCCCTCACTCGTGAACAAGACCCCGAGATACTTAAACTCCACTTGGGGCAGGACCTCATCCCTGACCCAGAGAAGGCATTCTACCCTTTTCCGAATCAAGACCATGATCTCAGATTTAGAGGTGCTGATCCTCATCCCAGCCGCTTCACACTCGGCTGCGAACCGCTCCAGCGAAAGCTGAAGATCACGTTCTGATGAAGCCAACAGGACCACATCATCTGCAAAAAGCAGAGACCTGATCCTCAGGCCACCAAAACGGATGCCCTCCACACCTTGGCTGAGCCTAGAAATCCTGTCCATAAAGGTTATGAACAGAATCGGTGACAAAGGGCAGCATCAAACTTAACTTAAATAAACATTTAACATTAACTAGAAGAACCTGGACATTTGAAAACGAACAGAAAGAAATTGTCAATAACCCATTTTGTAAGTAGTGGCAAATATTGAACCATTATAAAGTGTACTTAGAATACTACTTATATTCAAATTGGTTCTCCCAGGTTCGGTACATTTGAAATACTCAGCAACCCGATGCGTGATCACACGGGTCGGCTCAACAACACAAGGAGCCTCGTGTGTGGTTTAGGAGCTGGGGTAGCCGAGGCCGTGTTGATCGTCTGCCCCATGGAGACACTAAAGGTCAGTTGCACTTTTCTCCTCCTCGCTGTGAGCCAAACACATTCCGTAAAAACATAAAACTTCTCCACGTCTCCCAGGTGAAGCTGATCCATGACCAGTGTTCCCTCCGACCTCGCTATAGAGGCTTCTTCCATGGAGTGAGTGAGATTGTCAGAGAACAAGGTAAGAGAGCAGGAAAACTGCTTCTGCTGGAATTTATATGGATATTTGTGGAATTCTGAAATGTTTTAACTGATGTAGGTTTGAGGGGGACTTATCAAGGCCTGACACCAACGGTACTGAAACAAGGAAGCAATCAGGCCATCCGGTTCTATGTTATGACCTCTTTGCGAAATTGGTACAAAGGTGAGAAACCGGAAACATCCTTATGGGATTAGCTGATTGATATTCGTTTTATGTCTTTCTGTTCTTTTGTGCAACCATTTGCCTTTTTTCACCTCAGGTGATGATCCCAGAAGAGAAATGCACCCAATCGTCACAGCGATGTTTGGAGCAACAGCAGGAGCCGCCAGCGTTTTCGGAAATACGCCTTTAGATGTTGTTAAGACCAGGATGCAGGTAAGAATGATGCCAATTTTTTTTTGTCTGTGAGGAAAACACCTCACAACCAGATGGATTTTACTGAAACTATCAGGAAGTAATTACTGTTTGACTACAAACTATTAGATTTAGGAGTTGATCCATTGCTAATAGATTGCGCAAGAGCCTTTGATCTTACATGAGATTTTATTTTGAAACTCCGAAGTAGGTACCATATCTGTTTGCGGCCCTGCACCTGCTGATGACATCACACTACACGATTGGCTGGATGTTGGCATTTTTGGTGTAGGAGATTATGATTGGCGCGGACAAATTACGTTGAGATACAGGGCTGCCAACCGTTACAATATTACATGGGGGTAACACCGTGGTCTGTAAGAGCGGTGGCGGTGGGGTGTCAATGCGAGTTTGGAGCCCTGGAGATAGAAGAATTTGGTTGCTCCGGACAAATTACGGTATCACGTTGGAACGTTGACATGGAGGAATTTTCCCAAAGTTAGGTTAGCACGTTGACGAGGAAAAATTGGTTTCGTCCGGACAAATTGCACAAGTTACAATGGCATGCAATGTGTTCAGGTAGCCGGGTCTGCTCGGGATTGTAGTTTTTGCTGGCTGTAGTTCTCCTTCGTAGGAAACCTGGACGACTTTTACAGAGAAATTGATCAATGCCTTTGTATCTGATATTTGTTCCAATAAATAATCCAAGACTGCACACTACACATATAATTGTATATATACTTGAATGAATTTGCTTACGTGAGAAAAATGTTTAAAGAGATTCTTATGAAATGGGACGATATTTTAAACAGCTATTGAACAAATATCAAGTAAACAACAAAACAAATTAAGTATACAGAGTTTAACACTTACACAAACAGCAAAGGGTGTTCATTATTTAAATAATGCAAAAATTAATTTATTTTTGTGAGCCGCTCTGCTGGTAGAGTCTATTAGTGCTTAGCTGATGTAATAGATTTGGGTGACATTGCCCTTGTGTGACATCATCAGCAGGCGCCGTGCCCTGAGCACGTCTGGTACCTACACCCACAGGTATCATATAAATAGGTGCAATGCGGAATGGCACTGCTTATGGGAGCTGTCGTAGTGACCGGCTAAAAAAACACATTTATTATGATTTTTCACAAAATCAGACACATGGTATGATAGTTAAACTATAGATGCAATTAAATACAATGAAGAAAACATAAAATCCCAACAGGTTGGCTAGGAAAGTCAATAGTAATCCCACGTGATCAGTTTTCAGTACAATGGCTGGTGCACAAAAAACAGGCCTAGTTGCTCGGTCTGCGTTGACTCTGGAGGGTGAGAAACACATTCAACATGGCAGCGGCGATGCCGTTAAACTCTTAAGCGCCCAATGCGCGTCTATGTATTCATGTCTGCCTACACCGACATAAAGGTTGGTGGGTGATGTGCATTCCTGTTAAGTTAGACCGTATACTTTTTTTTTCATTTCTCAGGGTTTAGATGCTCATCGTTACAAAAACACACTGGACTGTGCCTTCCAGATCTTAAAACACGAAGGACCACAGGCGTGAGTAAATCCACATCCTGCTCCTTTACAGATTTGATTTTCCATCCATCCTCATCTTCATTCCTCCTGCAGGTTCTACAAGGGCACGGTCCCTAGACTTGGCCGTGTTTGCCTGGACGTGGCCATAGTCTTCGTCATTTACGAGGAGGTGGTCAAATTGCTGAACGGCGTGTGGAAGACGCAGTAAAAGCTGCGAGGGAGGAAGCACACATCAGTGCCTCACGCTACGCACAACTCAACACCTCTATTCTAGCTCATCCTAGCTGTCTACATCTCTGACCAGATGACATGTCATCTTGACCGGTGTCCACACTGTTAGATAACGTACCGTGATTTAACACAGTGAAGATGAAGAGAAGGACCGATTTTCTTATTTTTCTGTAAGGATATCAGACAAGATAGGATGCTTTTATTTTGAAGGGCAGAGAAGCAAAGTCATAAAACATTGCTGACATAACAGAACTTCTTCAGATGAATTCTTGAATTAAATAGCAGTTTTACTGTACCCCAAAGCTTAAATATGGAAAAACTAGTAAATAAAAGGGACATAATGAGACGGGTGCTTTTATTTTTGTTTGAAATATTCCTTTAAAACCACTAAATGCAAAGAATGTTTGTAACACATCTTCAACACATTTTATTTTTAATGCATCAAAACATGACCCGTTTTTGTTCAGCAACTACACTGCTTATAACGTTCATTTTTCAAATATACTTTCATTTTCCCACACATCAGCATTGGACCTTAACTCATTCACTGCCAATGACAACTAAAGTCGTCATTTGCATTTTTTTACTGTGTGGGCATTGGAACGAGCCCCCGCACCTTGAGAACATCTCAGCTCTAAAGCCGACGTCACACATCACATGATCAGGAAGCAGAAAATCCATGTGTTAGGAGATCGTTTTGGGCCGCTGCTGTAAAAAAAAGTGAGGCGCGAACCGGAAAAGCTTCTGCCGATCACAATTCAACAGCGGATTGTGAAAGAACAGATAACGCTCAAAACGCGCTGATTCTTCCTGATGTAAGAGGTGAGTCTCCTCTTTGTTTTGGTGTCGACATCATCCTAGCACGCAACGTTCTGTGACTCAAGTGCTGGCAGCGAAGGGCTTTAACAGTCAGGAAACGGCTGGCAGCGAATGAGTTAAAGAGCAAGTCACCCCCAAATCAACTTTTTTTAACTGATAAACTATATAAATGTGTGTCTAATCGTGCTGCAGACACGTGTAGTCAATAGTTTTGCACTTCAGTGCATTTGTTAAAATTTTAATTTTCTGCCTAAAACTGTCTGTGCTGTGCCGTTGTCAGGTAAAAACTCACTTGAATTTAAATCCGCCATCGCAATTGGTTAAGAGGTACCCTAGAGCATTAGCTTGTACCGTATGATGTCACAATGTTGTTGTGAGTCTGTGTGTGTGTATGTTTATGTATTTAGCAGACGCTTTTGTCCAAAGCGACTTACAAGTTATAATCGGCACGTTGCCCTTGAGCCTAACAAAAATTTCCAGTCGTAGGTGGCGGTGAGGCAGCATGAAAAATCATGGAGGAGGGAGCAAGGAGTGGACAGTAGAGAGGGGGGACGGGTGCAGGGAGGGTGCAAGTTTAGAAAATGCTCTCTGAAGGGGTCTTCAGGAGTTTCTTATGTTGAAAAGGAAGTCCCTGTTCTGGTAGTGCTTGGAAGGTCATTCCACATTTGTGAAACGATGCATGAGAAGAGTCTGGAGTGTCCTGAGCGTGGTGTAGGCACTGCTAGCCGACGATCCTGGGATGACCGGAGCGGCCGGGCCGAGACGTAAGCCTTTGCAAGAGGATTCAGGTAGATGGGAGCCGTACGGACTTTGTATGCTAGTGTTAGCAATTTGAATTTGATGCGTGCTGCTAGCGGTAGCCATTGGAGCTCAATGAACAGAGGGGTGACGTGTGCTCTTTTAGGCTGATTGAAGACCAGACGCGCCGCTGCGTTCTGGACCATTTGAAAAGGTCTCACCGTACAGCCTGGAAGACCAGTTAGAAGGGCGTTGCAGTAGTCGAGGCGGGAGATGACAGTAGATTGCACCAGGAGCTGGGTGGCATGTTGTGTTAGGTATGGTCTGATCTTTCGTAAGTTATACAGCGCAAAGCGGCATGAACGAGCAACAGAGGCAACATGATGTTTAAAGGTCAGGTGTTCATCAATCACGTGTGTGTGTGTGTGTGTGTATTTGTTAGCGGCTCCGCCCTCTTGGTCAGCTAAGCAACGGCATTTGTTGCATTTTTCAAACAGGAAGTGGGAGTGGAGTAATAATCTGGTAGGTGACTTGCTCTTTAACATGTCAGAGTCCTTCTATACTTGAGCATCGTCATCAGTTGTCATGGTGATTTCCCTGATATTCTGCAGCTTTACACACACACGCACACTAAAGCCGACAGCAATGCTTACTGTCGACATTGGATCCTCTAGGGCAGATTAAAGTTTTCCTTTGTGTGGAAGGAAAACCAAAATATATCAGTCACATAAGTTTGATGTACATGATAATAATAAAAGTGATTATCAGAGAAAATCTGTGAGCCTGTGTTCAGATAGAGCAGGAGTCTGCAACCTGGGGCTGTGGAGCCACAAGCGACTCTTTGGACCTTCCACGGTGGCTCTTAACCCAAACCCATGTTTAAAATGCATGTTTAAGCAGTTTTACATGGAGATTTCTCCCCTAATTTGTGCAGCGTAACACCTGTTGTATAAAACAACATTGGTGCCACAGACAATGAACTGTGAAGTGAAATCCGAGAGGTGATAAACATTTATTAGCACCTAAATGCATGCAACTGGGACAGTAAACGTGGTTATCCCAATGTGGGACATGACTAGAACAGCTCTATGTATGCAGCTTGGCTGAAAGCACGGCAGAAGAGATTAAAGGCTGGAGGAAGGCATTACCACTCCCACCTGTTAGCTAAACCTGCCCACCTGTCTCCTCACAGCGCAGGATTTCCCTATTTAACTGGTAACGTCTGATGTTGATGAAATAATAAACGTGATTCTCTGCTGAAATAGTTTTTTTCCCCTAGTTTTTATCCACAGAGGGAAAATCCATCAGCAGTCTAAGGATATGATTTAATCACAGCACATCAAGCTGATCTTTGGTGTGCATTAAGTTAGGTTCAGTAAATGACCCGAGTCCGACTGTACAGCCTTGCGTTGCTGCTGTGTTGTGACTGACTCAGATGTCTCCACATTAGAGACAAACGGAGGACGAGAGAGTCAGGCCACTTGTGGCTCCAGCTGCCAGGTCTATAGACACTAGAAGATGTATTTTCTTCTGAAGCAGTGGCAAACGGACGCATTTGGCTATCTTCTCCATCTGGAAACATAAACAAGTTAAAAGGTTTAGGTGTGACTTTAAACAATTAGTGACAATAATCTGAAAATCATCCCACTCACATTCTGAGACACTTGTCTTTCCCACCACTGGCCACCCTTTGTCCATCAGGACTCCAGTCCACGGCATAAACCTACAAACACAAAGTGAAACGTATAAATATGAGTTTATAAAGAAGAGGCCATGATGAGATTCTGCTGCTTGCCTCGTCGGCGTGGCCTGGGAGGTCCATGTTGAGCTTCCCGGTCTTCACGTCCCACACTTTGAGCGTGCTGTCGCTGCTGCCGCTGACCAGCAGCCTGCTGTCCGCCGACCACGCCACCTGATACACAGATCCCACGTGACCACGCAGAGATGTTAGGTACCTGTGGGCGAGCAGAACGATTCACATGAAGTGTTACACCTCCACCCTCTGGACAGATGCAGAATTACACAGATGAGTTTAGGATTCCATCAATCCACCTACTTTCCAGTACGTCCATCCCAGATCTTAATGGACTTATCGAAAGAGGCGGAAGCGAGCAATCGGGTGTCTGGGGAGAAGAGCACTTCGTTGACCAGGGCGCTGTGGCCGGTCATCCTGGCCAAAGGTTTCTTCTCCTCTGCGGGATTCCACAGGAATAATGTGAAATCATCCGAGCCGGACACCAAGCGCTCCGGAGCAGATCCCTGCAAAATGGGAAAATAATTAAAAGGCAGAGAACACAAAGACGCTTCAGGGAAACTTCTACTCCTTAACCATGACGGGTACTCACTCGGACTTTTTTATATCTCTCCAAGGCCCTCTCCTTTAACTCCTCCACTGGAATGAGAAAACATCAAGTGGGAATATTTCTTTATGAAGACCTAAAACGGTTTTTCTTAAATACTAAAATGTCTTACAGGATCCGGTGAGATCCTGCGGGTTTACTGTGGCAGTCGCAGGTTCAAAAGCTCCAGTGCGCAGGACGTAGTCCGTGCTGAGGGCCAGGGTGTTGACCCAGTGGGCGTGGCCCTGCAGGGTCCTGCACTGGACGCCCTGAAATCAGCAGAGGGATTTTAAAACGTTTGGTCTCTTGCCGCCACTTGTCGAGAACTCAAACCCCCGGGACGTGCTTACATCTTTGGCTCGCCACACTTTAACGGTTCGGTCCTGGGAAGAGGTGTAAAGAAGTCCATCTCCTCCCCATTTGACACACGTGACCGACTGAGTGTGTCCAGTCAAGATCTTCTCACAGCGACCCAGGATGGTGTCCCAGATGCGTATGGAGCCGTCCTTGGAGCTGCTGGCTAAGAAGCGGCACTCTGGATTGCTGTAGGAGAAAAGGAACTATTGTTGGACTCAAACCCAGACAATGCATTGACACAAATGGGGATCTCTGGAAAAATACCAGAAGGGAGATAACGAATGCTCACAGGTGGAGAGGTTCCCAACAGAGCCAAGTGATCCACTTGGTGTGCCCCGTCAAAGTCTTCCCAATCTGTGTCCCCGTCACTGGATCCCACAGACAGATCTGAAGACAAACAAAAATATTAACATGTAGAATTCATCTATAAGGAAACCTATATCACAACTCAGGTGTGACTTAAACACACCTGACTGTTTTTGCAGCCTGAAGCAAGCTTCTTTCCATCAGGCGACCAGACGATGCTCAGCACCCAATGTGTGTGTCCTGAACAGAGTAGACAAATCACAGATGAGACAAATCTTAAATCATTAATTAAATGTATCTTGATGTGCAGTTGAAGTGATTCTATACCTCTGGCTGTGAAGAGGGGCGTCTCAGTCATCAAGTCCCAGAAGCGCACTGTGGTGTCACCCGAGCCGCTGGCCAGATGTCTGAAGATAACACAGATAAAAATAAATATGCACCTGTGTTTATCTCCCCCTTTAAACCACAATGATTGCTGGCAAATAACAAAACAATAGCTAGAAGTTATTCACTGTGTTTTAGAGTTACTCACTTGCCAGTGGGGCTGAAGGCAGTAGAAATGACAGCCTCTGTGTGTCCCTGTAGCGTACTGGTACAGCGGGTCACAGCCCGAACTTTGAACACAGCCTGAGGCTGGTACACCACCGGCAGAACTTGTTCTGTCTCGGCTCCAAGAGTCCTAACACAGGACCGCAGCGTGGACACTACCTCTGCTTCTCCGTGCACAAAAAAAGCCAGAGATACAGGCTCATCCTGCAGTGGATGATGGGAGAAACATTAAATTAAAGTTCAAACTTCTGATTCATCTGAATAACTGAACCTTTCCCTAGTGAACATTGTTTTAGCATAGCTCTAACTTTTTCCCCATCAGCAAGTAGTGTTAAGGCACCTTCTGCAGCAAGGCATTGCACACAAGTTGAAGTTTGTCAGGAGTGATGTCCAAAGGCACATCAAAGGGTGAGCCCAGAACTTCCCCATTCTCGTCCTGAAACTGGATCAACAGCCTCTCAGTGTCCTCACTTGTCATGTTTCTGTTTAATTCTGATCCAAACCTGAGAGAGTAAAAGCAGCCATGTCAGACACATCAGCAGATGCTAATCTCTAGCAGAGGGGTTGGGTCTGCATCACACACTAAACAGACAGTAAACAAATAAATAAGTACATACAATTCGCCGAAACAACGTGCTTATTACTTCAATTCCTGCTAGAAGTGTCGATTTCTGCAGGGTGTTACTGTCAGCTCTCAGCTTTAGCCAACTTTCATTATAGCTAGCACATTAGCTAACGTTGACTCAATCACAAACTTAAAATAACAACCGGATATATATATATATATATATATATATATATATATATATATATATATATATATATATATATATATATATGTGTGTGTGATTAAATAATATTTCAAACGATAAATCAGAAACAAATATACTAAAATTGATCATAATGTGACAGCATTCTTTCGCCATCACTACAGCTAACTCTGCTAGCATGCTATAAGCTAGCATTTTAAACGTCTTCAAATCCTGTTAGCACCAACTGAAGAACAGGACAATAACGTACTCTTGTTTATACCATTTCCGTGTTATTTATATTTCAACCGACAGGCAGCCAAAAACAAACGACTTTAACATTTACCTTTAGCTTAGCAGGGGACATAAGCCTCACACGTGTACTCTGCCAAAGAGCCTTACGACAACGTAAACACGCCAGGAAAAAATTCATTCAAAGCGGCGTTCGCGCAAAGGATTATGGGCAAGTGTTGAACTCTTTCGTCACAATCGGTCACAATCATCTCCACTCCAGTAGTATTTCTGTAGTCTAAACTAGGCCTTAATAATAATAATAATAAAAAACATTCGTTTAGAATTGATTTTTTAATGTAAAAAAAGGTTGAAAAGAAATGTTTGTACTTAGTCCTTTGCCACGTGTCATGGCAAGTATGATTAACGTCATGCGTTTTTGGTAATTTACCAGTCATTATACCCATTCCAGATCATTGTTTCTTTATTAATACAGCATGTGAAAAGTGAATCAACCTAAACACAGAATTCAATGTAAGGATTTCTTATGACTCACTGACATTTTTCACATTTATTACATAAACCATCTCTGGCACTAATAACAGTGTAAATATATTGAACTGAATACTACAATACTATTTAGTAACCGTTTTATTTTTTGTTTCGACAGGATGAAAATGAACACAATGACCATTTTTATTTCCAATTATTTTCTAAATTACAAATCTATTTTCAGCAGAAGTGCATCTAAGAGGCATGTTGATACATTGTTGTCTCCAGCCAATTTTAGAGATGATCAGGCATTGTTTAGTGACAGGGTCCTCAGGGTTTAATCAGAATTACATCCATGCACCCCAAGGTGTTTTTAAATTTGTTTTTATTTGTTGAGTCCATTGGTGTCTTCAAGCTCGGGACCTTCCACAGCGGCCCGCTTTGACTCCAGAATCTGTAAAATTAAAACAAAGAAAATATTCAGGAGCTGGTACACCGCCATGCACTTTTCATGTTGCATATAATCCAATGACTACTTGGGTGCGTCTGTCTGCACATCTGGAAAAAATATGAACATTCTATATGAACATTCATGCAAAGTTTATAATTTTGTTCACGAGAGATTGAAGAACACTTTGGAACAATTTCACCTTGTTTGGATCAATTATGATTGTTAAAATATACATACAGTGGGGCAAAAAAGTATTTAGTCAGCCACCGATTGTGCAAGTTCTCCCACTTAAATGACAGAGGTCAGTAATTTTCATCATAGGTACACTTCAACTGTGAGAGACAGAATGTGAAAAAAAATCCCAGCCACGTTTCATCTTCAAAGCTCTCACTGACAGAAGGAGGTTTTGGCTCAGAATCTCACGATACATGGCCCCATTCATTCTGTCCTTAACACGGATCAGTCGTCCTGTCCCCTTAGCAGAAAAACAGCCCCAAAGCATGATGTTCCCACCCCCATGCTTCATAGTAGCTATGGTGTTCTTGGGATGCAACTCAGTATTCTTCTTCCTCAAAACACGACAAGTTGAGTTTATACCAAAAAGTTCTACTTTGGTTTCATCTGACCACATGACATTCTCCCAGTCATCTGCTGTATCATCCATGTGCTCTCTGGCAAACTTCAGACGGGCCTGGACATGCACTGGCTTCAGCAGCGGAACACGTCTGGCACAGCAGGATTTGATTCCCTGCCGTTGTAGTGTTACTGATGGTGACCTTTGTTACTGTGGTCCCAGCTCTCTGCAGGTCATTCACCAGGTCCCCCCCCCCGTGTGGTTCTGGGATTCTTGCTCACCGTTCTCATGATCATTATGACCCCACGGGATGAGATCTTGCGTGGAACCCCAGATCGAGGGAGATTATCAGTGGTCTTGTATGTCTTCCATTTTCTGATAATTGCTCCCACAGTTGATTTTTTCACACCAAGCTGCTTGCCTATTGTAGATTCACTCTTCCCAGTCTGGTGCAGGTCTACAATTCTTTTCCTGGTGTCCTTCGAAAGCTCTTTGGTCTTGGCCATAGTGGAGTTTGGAGTCTGACTGTTTGAGGCTGTGGACAGGTGTCTTTTATACAGATAATGAGTTCAAACAGGTGCCATTAATACAGGTAACGAGTGGAGGACAGAAAAGCTTCTTAAAGAAGACGTTACAGGTCTGTGAGAACCAGAGATTTTCCTTGTTTGAAGTGACAAAAAACTTATTTTCCACCCTGATTTACAAATAAATTCTTTAAAAATCCTGCCATGTGAATTCATGGATTTTTTTTCACATTCTGTCTCTCACAGTTGAAGTGTATCTATGATGTAAATTACTGACCTCTGTCATCATTTTAAGTGGGAGAACTTGCACAATCGGTGGCTGACTAAATACTTTTTTGCCCCACTGTAAATAAAACTATCCAGATCAGAAAATAAATGGATACTTTAATGAATTTCTATGTTGTACAATCTTCCTGAATGACCTCTGTTCAGAGAAACAGCGCTTACATCCAGCAGGATCAATATGCTAATGGATAGTCTGAATCAGCCAGTTTGCAAGTGTATTGCTGCCTTATTAAAACCATTTCAATTTCCAAGTTATCCTTGCAGTTCAAGCCAAATTTACTTTATAAACTTTTGCACAATCATAAGTTTTATATTACATTATTATTTTGGTGTAAACATTAAGAAATTCCTGCCGGACGTGACCCCCCGGATGCACAGGAAGTGCTACAGCCTGCAACTTTTGGTGATTTATTATCATACAATGTTAAATAGACAGTTTAAGGGTTTATTGAATGACAATGTCTGAACTGCCATGAATATTAAGAGATCAGATCTATTTAAAGGCAGCAAAATTACACTTTGGTCTGCACTCAAACTAGCTGTTAGCTCATCGGTCCAAATGTAAACATTACTTGTCTGAAAAGAGTGTGAGAATGTTTTTACAGAGAGACGTCTAGAAATCCTAATAAAAATGTGTTGGATGCCTCGTTGTTTTGCCTGTAAACAAACAACTAAGAATTATTCTGTTGTAATAAACTCACCTGGAAGTTGTCACTGAGCCCGATGATGGAGTTCATGTTTGTGCTGTAGTAACCCAGAACGTATTCTCCACCAAGCAGCGGGATTGCATCCTTATCCACACATCTCTGAAGGAAGAAAAAGAGAAAAATGTTCACACTTGTGTCCAAAACATGCAGCAGATGCTCCACCTTCCCTCTACCTGTATCTCTTCATTAACCTCCGGCAGCTCGTTCTCTCTGACCCAGACGAAGCTTTCATAATCCATCACGGTCTTGAATCCAACCTGTAGCAGACCAAATGCGTTAGCTCAGGTTTTTCTAGTTCACTGTTGAGGATTTACTTCCCCAGGGTACCCTGTACAGTCCAATCCAGTCCCACAAGGATGACATGAAGTCCTCTTGGACGATATAAGTGAGAAGTGCATTCTGGTCTGCGCTCCACACCCCCACGGGAGAAATGTTTACCAGTGGCGTGTCGAAGCATTTCCTCAGCTGCACGTTAAAGAGAGCAGAAGGACAGGCTCAACATGTAGAGGCAACATCAGTGGAGAACAGGATTTCTGGAGCTAAGCAGGGTTTCTATTCTCACCTCCAGAGTGAAGTTTGCAAGCACAGGCTTGTGGTCGCTGACTCCATAGCTCATGTCACTGGTGTATGTGTTCTGGGTGACCAGGACTGGGTATTCATCCTGGTCATTATGTGTGGAGGTTGATGCCCTTTCACTTTCATCACCCTCATCATCTTCCTCCTCTGAGGGCAGGTGTTTGGGTTTGATCCTCCAGAGGATCCGATCTGTCCAGGCCGGTTTTCTCTTTTTGCCACTGAGTAAAGTTCAAAGTATAAACAACTCAGTTTTAGTTTAAGATTACGTAAAAATACTTGTTTCTATTGCGTACCTTTGCTTAAAGAGCAAGTCACCCCAAATCAACTTTTTTCTCCTGATAAACTATATAAATGCATGTCTAATCGTGCTGCAGACATGTGTAGTCGATAGTATAGCACTTTGGTGCATTCTAGTTAAAATTTTTATTTTCTGCCTAAAACCATTGCCAGGTCAAAAACTCTGCACTGCATTTGAATTTAAATCTGCCATCGCTATTGGCTAAGAGGTACCGTAGAACATTAGCTGGTACCATATGATGTCACAATGTCATTGTGAGCCTGTGTGTGTGTGTGTGTGTGTGTGTATTTGTTAGCGGCTACACCTTCTCGGTCTGCTAGGCAGCAGCATTTGTTGCGTTTTTCAAACAGGAAGTGGGAGTTGAGTGAGAATCTGGCAGGGGGTGACTTGCTCTTTAAGCACACTGAGCCGAACTCAATGGAAAGGAGCGATTAAGCAGCATAAGCCACACACACATAGTGAAGATTAACACCGACATACAGCTTGTTAATTTCTTTTAAGAAGCAGTAGATGAATTATGCAAGAACAGGGAGCAGGTTGGAGCTCAGGCCACATCGACACTATGTGTTTAATAAATCTGCATTTTGTGAGATTTGGACATTCCTCTGCAGCATCATACTTATGTCTGTATTGTTTGCAGATAAATGTATTCTCAAATTCTCAAAAGCATTTGAAATTCAACCATTTTTTAATAGTTTAAGAAAAATAAACTTGCTGAGCAACCTATATCCTCCATGAAGCGTAATGCACCAAAAACTCTCCCCAAAACAGCCGAGTCTCTCTTTGTTAAAACTCTGACCAAACAGTAATGCAGACTTGGTGTAGTGATTCAAGTCAAAAGAGAAACCCATTAGCTACTGTAGCAGAGATCATTTAATGGTGTGAGATGTTCTTGCTGATGTTCTCACAAAAAAATAACAGTTTTGTTCTCTGGTGCTAGAAGAAATCAAACTACAATGCTATAGTTTTCCTAATTTTATGCTTGTAACATAATTGAAAAAAGGCCCAAACTGGAATGTAAACATAAAATCATTTTAAAGATGGATCATTCTTCTTCAGATTAACAGAGATGCGAGGCCCTATCTGGGTAATTTACCAAACCTTCATGGTGTGTGCATGTCAGGACCATTTCAGGGACTAACCGAGTGCCTAAACTAGGGTCTATACTCAGAAAAGGTCCAGTAGAGATGCTGGGCAGGATTATCTCTTGATGACTGGTTGTAACTCAGTAGGAAATGACATCAGCAGACGTTGCTGGTAAACAGGAATGTAAGGTGAAAAACAACGCTAACGCTTCTATAAAATGGCAGTTTCTAAACTCTCTACGCCCATAAAAGCATCAGAAATCTCCCGACGTGTTGCGGTCTCCTACTGAGCGTCATAAAAAAGGGCATTTCTTTTGGTCATCTAACACCTGTGCCCTGAACAAGGCTAAGTACATCACACTTTGACAGAATGAATTGTTGTAAATTTTGTTAATGTTTGTTGATGCATCTGAGCACCGATCGGTGACATCACTCACAGCCGAAATGGTTGCGATATGCAGACGTCTTAGCAAAGCCTTTGAAAGGACTCATTCTGTATGGTGACACTGCTCAGAGGACCAATTCGTCGTGTTTTCCCCCTCTCGGAAATTTCGCCGAACTCTTTTATTGGAAATGCAGAAGTGCATTCCAACCTGAACAAGAGCATCCCTCATACGAGGGAGGTGAGGAGGAATAAGAGGATGTTACTACTAGGCTAGAGGGACCCGTGCTTGCACGTGGTTAAGGGTGCTGTGCTCTGTCTACGACATGCACGGTGCTCAACAACCAACATCGTGATGCTGTTAGTTGTGACTGAATAAAGTGCCAAAAGATAAGTGTGACAAAGCTAAGAGAATGTGGAACAGGCAAAACAGAAATGTAGAGCGTCTTACTTCAGACCCAACAACGTCTTTGGAGAGCTGTGCAAAATTTCACAAAGCAAAAGCTGCAGCACCGATGAGATCATAAAAGTCTCTTGTGTTCCACATTTGTTTTCAAAAAAAGCACGTTATACCTGGTGTCATAATCATCAGATTTACGTCCAAACTTGTACGTGGGTTTGAAATTTAACGGACCCTCCTCAAACTCCTGCAGGAAGGGCTCGTTCTTCTTCATCATCGTGAGCTGCAGAAACATGAAGGTGATCAGAAAGTGTGTTTTGTTGCACAAAGGTTCGTGCACGCACTTGCGCACAGTACCTGATCCTTGCTCCACAACAAATGAAAGCGCTCGCTGTTGATGGACGAGCGGAGGAAGTGCAAGCCGTGGTCTGCAATACGAAAGTTCAGGTCACCAAACCAGAAGACCACCCTGTGAGAGAGCAGCAGGAACTCACTTTAGCACTGCTGCGCAGTCACGCCGCACTGGTGTTAGCATGTACCATTGCACTGACTTGTGGTCCAGGACATGAGGAGTGTCGTAAAAGTCAAAGTCTTGCGTGTCCAGAATGTACTCAAACTCATCGACGCGCTGCAGAGCGTTTTGAATGTGAGCTGCAAGGTGGCAATTCAGGAAGCACAACATGTGGCCATAGAAGGAGAAACGCACAGACACTCCTCCTTTATTACCCTGAAAACACAGGAGGAAGAATCACTTTTGAAAAAATACCACGGAAAAATGCCTCATTTAAGGATTTTATCCATTTAAAACAAACATCAGCCATGAAAGTATATTCTCATGCACGTATTTGGGTGGCGGTTCATCTTGTGTGTGTGTGTGTGTGTGTGTGTTGTGCCTGAGGCTTCCTTCACTCCTGAATGCACGATCACGAGTGTTTGGGGTACCTTTGATTTAGTTTAATTTTCTTTACTGAGAGGGTGGAGCCGCTAACAAATACACACACACAGGCTCACAATGGCATTGTGGCATCATAATGTACCAGCTAACATCATAGCATACCTCTTAGCCAATGGCGGTGGCAGATTTAAATTCAAATGCAGTGCAGAATTTTTCCCTGACGACAGCGCAACACTGACAGTTTTAGGCAGAATATTTAAATTTTACCTAAGATGCACTGAAGTGCCAAATTATTGAATACATGTGTCTGCAGCACAATTAGACACTCGTTTATATATTTCCATTTTTGGTTCTTTTTTAAAACACAGAAAAGGTTTCTTTTTTACCTTGCTTGCTGACAGTTTCGTTTGCCGCTGCAAACTTCCTCAGAGCTGACGCTGATGATGGCGTCACTTCCTACTCCGTTTATCTACGGGCAGCAGAGGACGTTGTTGCCCTCTGCTGCCCGCTCTCCCCTCAATGAATAACATCGATGACACAGGCAACATAAAGTTCACATATGAGTCAGAAACCGAAGGCAGCATTGCATTTATGGATATGAAAATAACCAGGCAGACCGACGGGACCCTAAACATAAACACAAACAGGAAAACAACACACACAGACCAATATCTATTATGGTCATCAGAACACCCCACCATACACAAAAGGTCAGTAATCAGAACATTATATCACCGAGCAAACATGGTAACAGAAGAAAGAGACCGTAAACAAGAGGACAAACACATACAACACGCTTTAAAGACCTGCAGATACCCGACATGGGCAATAAACAAAGGAAAACAACAACAGAAAGAAAAGAACAACCAAAGCAAAGAACCAGAAAGACAAGAACCAAACCCAGTGATAACTCTACCATACATCAAAGGCATAACAGAAAACATAAGAGCAACAATGAAAAAACACAACATAAACACACCAACAAAACCATACACAACAGTTAGAAACAGACTAGCACACCCAAAAGACAATATACCAGCTGGACTTAAATGTGGAGTCGTTTACGAAATCCCATGCAAACTCATCAATAAAACACACATAGGAGAAACCGGACGCCAACTCAACACACGAACAATAGAACATAGAAAGGAGTGCGAGAGAGAAACAAGTCAAAGACACACAAGAGCAGCAAAACAAGAAGCAGAAAGCACAATAAAGAAGTCAGCCGTAACAGATCACTGCACAAGAGAAAACCATATAATGGACTGGGACAACTCAAGGATCATAAACACAGAACAACAGAAATACAAAAGATGGATAAAAGAAGCTATAGAGATAAGGAGACGTGGATGTGGGACCATGAACAGAGACGATGGGGTCTACACATTGGATCGTGCATGGGACTGCATCATCGGAGAGGGGAGAGCGGGCAGCAGAGGGCGACAACGTCCTCTGCTGCCCGCAGATAAATGGAGTAGGAAGTGACGCCACCATCAGCGTCAGCTCTGAGGAAGTTTGCAGCCGCAAACGAAACTGTCAGCAGCAAGGTAAAGAGAAACCTTTTCTGTGTTTTAAAAAAAGAGCCAGAAATGGAATTAGAAATCAGACACAGCAAGAACGTACCAAAGACTCGTTTACATAGTTTATCAGCAAAAAAAGGTTGATTTGGGGGTGACTTGCTCTTTAAGTAGATGTTTTATTCTTTTGAGGTCTGGTTTTTATTTGTTTTGTTTCATGAAATTGTAAACAATGTTTGGAATGGCGTCTCTTGACTGCCTTTGTAGAGTTGACTTGCATTGACATCTGGGTCAGCCTAGTCCAGTCTTGGTAGCGTCAGTCGCCCACGGCCAGGTTATGTTCACACAGTCTTCTCAGGATGTGAACAGCACTCTGGGCCACCTTGACTGGTGGTGAAAAGGTGCTTTATAATAACTAAAGCCCTCAGCTTCTGATGTCAGCAGAAGGGTTAGTGGAACTTCTTTTAAATCTCCTACCCAGTAGCCAAAGATGCCGGTGCGGGTGTAGGTGGTCTGGACGTCTCTGATGTGAGGGAGGTGTGTTTGCTTGGCAAAAACTAGCAGCAGCAAACCCTGCATCCTCACTGATGTGATCTAAACAGAAAGGGAGCAGATTTCTTATAAAATCATCCAGTTTAATGATGTTCCAATAAATTTAAGCTGCACATAAAACAAAGATTATCTATGAATCATAACACAAAACTCCATATACCATGGTGATTCTGCACAAATACGGAGATATTATGACTGGTTTTCTTAAGTAATAGTAGTTTTATGGTTTATACAAAGACGGCTTATGAAAATTTTCACATAAAATCCGTCTCATATAAAGTGATTTCAGCAGTTTTATTCTTGATTTTTCAGTACCTTCCAAAATGAGCTGTTTCAGGGAACTTTAAGAAAACAAGCTGGAGCTGGCCACGCCCACCCATCCTCTGCACAGGCTGCCATAAGCTGAGAAGCTCAGGCATCTGGGAGGGGCTTGGAGTAGAGCTGCTTGTCCAGCAGCAGCTCTCTCCTTCACGTGAGAAGTTATTCTATTTTAATTTCCTCGTTTGTAGCACCACAATTGGGGTCTTTTTGAAACGGCTTCTTTTAGGCACATAATTCCTTAAACCAAGCTCTGATAGAAAACAAAAGGATGGCTTTTACTCATGTTTGGAGTATTTAAAGAGGCAGTAGAGACCTACACAGTTGCACAAAATGATGCAAAAGGTGTGTTTTGCATCATATGTCCCCTTTAATGAAAACCAAAAAAATAAGAGCATCCTTTCAACTAGGGCTGCACAATATATCGAAAAATTATCGCCATCGGGATAACAGGACGTGCGATAGGCCCATCGCAAAGCACGTCAAAAACGGTGATAAATGTTTGGTTCAACATTTCCATCCGTGTCATACATCAACTTTTTGTAAACCAGCTCTGTTTTTTTACGCGGAAGTATTATTTGACCAATCAAATGCATGTTTATGTTTATGTATTTAGCGGACGCTTTTGTCCAAAGCGACTTACAAGTTAACCATTATTTAAACTTACTTTCAGATATTTTTATTTATTCTAAAACCCTGGTAAGGGTTGTTTTTCTGTATTTGGAGCATCAGGAAAAGTTTTATGGTGGTGGTGATGTTTTAAAGTCACTGAGAAACTGCATGCATGCAGTTTGTTGTTTTGCTGCTAATACAGTAGCAGGTGCAGCTGCATATTTTTGCAATAAAAATGTTATGCTGTAATGGAATTCATGCATTAGTTTTGTTTGCTTTGAACCCAGAGCAGACGTCACACTCCAAACGACATCAACACTGCATACTCTAGTATTGTTCATTTATCGTGAGTAATATCGACATCACAATATTAAGCACTGTGATCGAATATCGCAGGTTTTCCTAATATCGTGCAGCCCTGCTTTCAACTGTGTGCTTTTATCTACAGCGTTATTTCCTGTGCCCTCACCTTTACTAAGCCTTTGGGTGCCAGCGTGTCCATAAAAAGGTGGCTCCAGGAATCCTCCACTATCAGGTTGGAGATGAATCTCAGCGGGGTGGCGTTTACCTCCTGCAGGCTGACTCACACCAACACAAAGAACAGACAGTGACCTCCTGGCTTCTTCCATCACTTTAATACTAATTTCTTAAAATAATCCCCTGTTTGCGTGGATATTTCTCACCCAATCACAAAGAGGTCTGATGGCGGCTGGACATCAAGCTGAAGCAAAGAGGTGACATCTTCCGGGGGCTCTGCAGTGGCCACGTTCCAGGTGACAATGTGCAGCCTGTCACAGTGTTAGGTAAAGAAAAAAATACCAATATAACATCTGATTTTTCAATCTGATCTTTTAGCTGCCAAGCAATCAAAAACAATTCCAACAAAATATAAATTAAACTCCTGACTGAGTTTCCTTTTAGTTTTAAACATTCCAGGCTTTTCCATGTGCTCCCTCTCCACTGAGATATCCGTGTGAAACCTGCCAATGCCTGACTGAGAGCGCGCACTGGGTGACCTGAATGCGTCGGAGGGAATGAATCCCCCACAGAGCTGGAAGGCCTCGTCCAGAGTGCGGGACACTTCTTCGCCAGCCTCGTCGTCAGAGCTCATGTCCTCTACGCAGTTCATCAGCTGGGCCAGGCGCTGGCGGAGGACCGCTTTGGACCGGGAGTTCTGAGAGGCTGAGCTGCTTGTGCTGTCCAAGCGCACGCGAGGACTGTTGGGTAATTGGTCCATTTCGGAAGGTTTAAAAAAATCAAAGTAATTCCCAGGTCAGTTTTTGTTTCTCCTCAGATTTCTTTGGTTGTCTGCGAGTGATGGATGAGGCCTTTGCTCCTTCCCGACTCCAATACTTCCTTTTCTGGCTGTTCCTCAGAAGTGAACAGGATGAAAGTTTCAGGACATCACAGGGAAAAGTGTGTCTGCGCTGCTGCCGTCCCTCCTCTGAGTCCAGTGTTTTCATGCAGCGATGGAGCCCTCTTCCACACAACAGTGAGGTCCACTAAGGAATGTTGGCAAGAATGAGCCAGATTTGGAGTCTAATCGCAGGCAGGAGACCGGCATGTGAATATGCCAGAGTTTTCCTGTGAGTTACACGAATGAGGACGAAAGAGGCTGATATTGTTGCGACACATTAGATAAGAGGTTCATTTACAGCACTTTCTCTAAAACATGGGAAACGCCCCAATTACACTCCTGCTTTGGTAACCATGACAACAGCCCTTTAGCTTCTTTTGGCCTCGGTCCAGCCTCTTCTCCTGTGTGGGAAAGGTTATCTTTGTAAGCCCAGAGAGAGATTTAAGAATTGTATGCAACAAACTCTCATTGTCCTTTTCAAACCAAACTCAACCACTTAATTAATCGCTGGTTGCATTTGTGACATAATAGGTTTAGACACGCGTGGGCCAATCTGGAACCACAGCGAGGGAAGAGAAAAATTAAAGGGTTTAAAAATGTCCAAACCATGAAATAATGACTCAAGCTTTAGAACATTCAGAATTAAATGTACAGAGCTAAAAACTGTGTGTGTGTGTGTGTGTGTGTGTGTGTGTGTGTGTGTGTTATGGAGTTTTGTTGATTTTTGAATAGGGTAAGTTATTTTTATTTTACTGTTATTTTTTTGGTCACTTGAAGAAGAAAGAAGAAGAAAATATCTTTTCTAAAGCGCCTCTCAAGATAAAAATCACATAAACAAAAACAAAAAATGTAAAAATATAAAAAAGAATTTAGAAAATGGTTAAAATATATTTAAAATGAGCAAAAAATAGACAATTGTGATTAAAAATGTTAAGAAAGAGAGAGAGTGAATAGGAAAGAGGGAAATCAGCGGATCCTGAGGAAGGTGGAATAGGTGGGGAGAGCAGAATAAAGAGAGAGTGTTGAAGAAGGTCATACAAAAGCCAGCCTGAACAGGTGAGTCTTCAGCTGCTTTTTAAAGGAGACCACTGAGTCCACTGATCTCAGGCTCAGGGGGAGAGAGTTCCAGAGTCTAGGGGCACACATTGTCACACATCTTCTTTATTTAAACTTTAAACATTGTCTGTGTAAAATATGACAACTACTACAGTGTAAGTTTGGCCAGTTGTGCCAAACAAAGCAAAATATCTCAAAGGCTCTAAATTTGATCCGTCATGTTCTGAGTTTGATGTGTGATACAGGCATGGTATGGAAACTCTTAAGGAGTTCTGCCGTGTGGTGCAGCTCACTAACCGCTAACGGTTAGTTTCTACTAGTCAAGTGCTCAGCTCTCTTCTAGGATGCAAAATCTTTAGTATTTAGTTTTATATTTTTGTTTACTGGTGTTTATTCCTTCATCGGTTGTCTTCATTCAGCTCATCAAACAACTGCTCCTTTTCTCTTAAAAGGATATTTTGGTTTGTGTAAAATATGAATAATTACTCTCTTACCTAATGAGAGCTCCCTGAATAACCAGAATTATTCTTAACATTTTTAGCTCCTTTTTTCAAATTCTCTACAAACTTTTAAAAACTATTTATGACTTATACATACATTAAAATGACCAATACTCCCTTTCATTTAGAAAATGTATTTAGTTTTTGCAGCTCATTTATGTTAAATGTTTCTTAATTATGTTTTCTCTTCTGCTGCAAACCTTTATTTACTTTGAAAAACCTTTTGTTTTCACTTTATTCTCTGCTTGCAAGCTCCCAGACTCAGCTGCACGACATTGGCACAGATGTGCTGAAATTACCAAAATTATCAAGTAGTGCTCGCTGCAGAACCACAACGGCGGAGCTGCACCAGCACCCTCTCAAAATTATTGGGAATTGTTTTAATTTACTGGCACATTTCTGCTCATTATTATTATTCTATGATGCAAAACATTTCATATCAAGTAATTCAGATTTACGTGACCTAATCTAAAGAACAAAATCCATTCCATTTCTTTAATCATGAGCACATCAAAACCACAGGTTTTCATGAGGTTTCTGTAAAATCATGAATTTTGGAAATCTGTGGTGGATTTTAGAATAGAACAAGATATAAATTGAAAAACGAAGCCTTTGAACGTTTTAGACCTGATCCCCCTGCCAACTCATGTAACAACATCACATGCAGAAACCTGGGTCACATTCTTCATCTGGAAGTGGTGCTTACCGGATAACTGAGGGGCTTACTGGTTAGAAAAGCTGGACTATATAAGTTTAATCCGAGAGCCATGAAACGTCTGAGAACCAGCAGGTGCAAACTACTTAAAAAGATTAGGCAATTCTCTTTTTCTGAACTTTACAGCCTTTTCCCACTGCACTCTGAGGAAAATGACAGAGATGTGAGCCAAAAACAGCTTCACTTACCTGCTCACGTCTGCCGCAGCATTTTTACGTGTTCCAGTGCTCATTTTCTGTCCTGTAAACACACAAAAACGTGCAAAATACAAAAAGGAACACAAGCAAAGTGGCAATTTCTGTTTTTAAGGTGGACTTTTTCAGGATTTCAGAGGATTTTCACCATTCTCCATGATGAAACCACACAGGAAGAACCAGGCTATGTGCGGGAAACGCCTGTGAAAGTCATTTATAAAATGGATTTTTAATCATCATTAGCTTCAGCCAAATGAAAGAGACAATGCACTTAGTGCAGCTGTTGTGGCAGAGTTTATCTGGCAACACTCGACTGTTGCTGCTGGTAAAAATGAATTTACATGGACATTTTAAGCACTGCCATGTTTATTGTAATGAGAATAAAACCAATCAGTGAATCTTACAATGCTCTAATGATGCAGGAAGGCTTGAACTCAAGCTTGAGGTAAAGGTGGAATGAATTATTAGATACATATAAGGACATTTATTCAGAATTTCAATATTCAATGACCATTTTAACTCAAGTAAAGAATAAAGCTTAAATTAATCAAAAGTTTACCTTTGTTGAAGTTGAGTTCAAAGATCTGCAGCGAGGCAACCAGAGACTTTACTTGTTCTTCTCCGATGAAAAATGTGATTGGACTAATTTCTCTGTCGTCCTGATTTCAGCTGTGTTCAAACCCCGCAGCAGACTTAAAGCGTAACATCGGATCAAGCTTTTCTCACAGGCTAGTTAATGATCCGGTGAGAAAGTATTTATGAACTCACTTTTCTGTTTATTTACTGAAATCTGTGTTTCTTATTGCAATAGAGGCCAAAAATGTACTGCATATGTAAAAGTATTTATATGTAAGTTTTCACAAGAGTCCTGAAACTTCTGTGAGGGTGGTTAACATCATCATGTGAGTTGAATGACTTCACTCTCGTGTCACTGGAAATGAGAATATGTGAAAATAATCTTGAAAGGGTCACAGAACAGTCAAAATAGTTGCATCTAGAATTAGCCAAAAATGATCAAATTTTGTTGAAATTAGTAAGAAAGTTTGGTAAATGTTACAAAATGAGGATAGACTATAAGAAAATTAAAGGTTAATCAACCACTGGTGTCCACACCATAGAACAAACACAGAACACTATTTTTACATATTTAAAACTTTTAATTTGTTTGTTTACAGGTGTGGGAAGTTCTAATCAATACATTTACAGTAATTTCTGGTAGTAAAAAAAATGCCTCGCAAGCCGTGTTCGAGGCTCTTAGAGTGCTCTTAGAGCCGGCTCTTTGAAGGGACCGGTCAAGCAGGGGTGGACTGGCCTCTCTGGCAGGCACTGTCCCGGTGGGCCACGTGGGCCTCTTGCCCAGCTTGGCTGACACTAGCCCCCAGCGCGACCCTCCCCCCCTTTCACATTCGGCGTATTTGCGGGTCTTGTTCACGAGTGACGGAAAAATGGAGAGATCAGTTGGCAGATTGGTGCTGTGTCTGCGTTGATGCGGGCGATCCACTGATCTGTCCTGATGAAGTGTGCTGAGCCAAAAGGGGAAGCTCTCGATTTACCGATCTACGCTCCTACCCTCACCTGTGGTCACGAGCTTTGGGTAGCGACTGAAAGAACGAGAAGTTGGATACAAGTGACCAAAATGAGTTTCCCCACAGGGTGGCTGGGCTCTCCCGTAGAGATACGGTGAGTATTGATGGAGAAACTGAAGCTTTCCAAACCACTGGACCAATATGAAGCAAACGGTTTCAAATGGTTCAGTGTTGTGAACCAGTTCAACCCAATAAAAGGAGGGACACACTGGAGAGGAACCCTCGGCTGGCCAGGGAGCGCCTTGGGATTCCCCCAGAGGAGCTGGCCCAAGTAGCTGGGGAGAGGGAAGGCTGACAATGGATGGATGGATGTCTTCAAACAACCACACAGTTGCACTTTCAACCATTACACCATGCCTGTGATGAAAATTTTGAAGAGAGGAAATTTTGAATCCTGAGAATAATTTCAAAATAAAGTTCTCGTTATTTTTGTGCTAGCAGTCTCTTATCAGATTATTGTGAAGTTTGGTTCCTTTTCATCCTTATAATCAGGATTAAGAGTAATCTTTGCTGACTGAATCCTGATTAAAGGCATTCTCACAGTTTGATCGTGGATTCTGCTGTCTTGCTCCTGAAAGGAGGCCTTTGATTTTTTTCATTTCTCAACATTATAAATCCACAAATGTTTAAACATAAAGGTATAAATAGGACTGTGTTCCCCACACATCCCTAAAAACTCAATCAAGTTCTTATAATAACCTCTTTGGAACGACACAAATCACACCCCACTTCCTGTGTGTACACTTGCTTTGATTTTTATTCATTTCTTTACATCTCTGATGTACAGCAGTGCTATTAGAGAATAAGATGACCAAAAGGCACAGATTCACAATAAATGAAAGAAAACAGGAGACAAGTTAAAAGGAACGAGGGAGAAAAGAGAGAGAGAGAGACTCAAAAACAGTTTGGGATCATTTGGTTTTCCTCACACTCCCAACAAATAAATCAAGGAACTCTGACAACAGATAAATGAGATTGTCTCTGCTGAATACCATCTCTCATATGTTTGTATGTTCAGGCTCTTAAAAATAAACATCCTCGTTAAACTTTCAGTCTTTTCCCGTGCTTTTTTTGTAATCTTCAAAGATCCTTTGTGCTTCGAGGTTTCTCCGACACCGGATCGATGAGCTGAAACAAGTTGCTGTTACGTTTGTTTTCACCAAGAGAAGAGAGTGTAGTTCAGAGACTGCGGTACAACGGAGGTACAACATTCAGAACAAAAATATAGATCCATACACTGTTCTGCCAATGATGTGCTGTCCATATAAGGGATAAATGTGAGGACAAAAAGTTTTATTTTGAAAATTTTCCAACCATCCTAAAACCTTATTGTTATCCTTAATAATTTCTTAGCAGAACTACATTTTAGTAACTAATCTACAGGAATTCTGCAGGATTTGCTGCCAGATTGGCAGGACAGTCTCATCTATATATATATATGTGTGTGTGTGTGTTCATCTACATTAATTTATTTACTATTTACAAAGCCAGTACGGACAGTACATCCACAAATCTCCATGACCGAGTCGCCCCACAGACACACAGAAGAGATGCTCGACAGACAAAAATTTGGAAGGATTTGTTCATCCGGGGCTGATGGTTCCCTTCCACCAAAAAGGAGGCAACAAAAACGATGTTTTGTAACTCAGAAAATGTGTGAAACATACAAGGGTGTGAGAAAAGTCTTTATTAACTTATTTAAATGGAGCATATCCAAGGTTTAAACTATAATAATCTTAAATTTGTATGGCCTTTTACCTTTGCATTTGTTTGATTTCTTCATAGTTCAATTCTTGTTTTATACAGGGGTGGTTGTATGGGTGGCTCCAGGGTGGGCCAGCGCCACCCTGGACTCCCAGCTGGGGCATGAATAAGTATTGACACAATTTAGGCCAATGCAAGATGTCAAACCAACGCATGTGAATGCATTTTTCTAAAGTGAATACACAAATACAGGTCCTTCTCAAAAGATTAGCATATTGTGATAAAGTTCATTATTGTCTGTAATGTACTGATAAACATTAGACTTTCATATATATTAGATTCATTACACACAACTAAAGTAGTTTAAGCCTTTTATTATTTCTAATATTGATGATTTTGGCATACAGCTCATGAAAACCCAAAATTCCTATCTCAAAAAATTAACATATCATGAAAAGGTTCTCTAAACGAGCTATTAACCTAATCATCTGAATAAACTAATTAACTCTACACACCTGACAAAGACTCCTGAGGCTTTTAAAAACTCCCAGCCTGGTTCATTACTCTAAACCGCAATCATGGGTAAGACTGCCGACCTGACTGCTGTCCAGAAGGCCATCACTGACACCCTCAATCAAGAGGGTAAGACACAGAAAGAAATTTCTGAACAAATAGGCTGTTCCCAGAGTGCTGTATCAAGGTACCTCAGTGGGAAGTCTGTGGGAAGGACAAAGTGTGGCAGAAAACGCTGCACAACGAGAAGATGTGACCGGACCCTGGGGAAGATTGTGGAGAAGGACCGATTCCAGACCTTGGGGGACCTGTGGAAGCAGTGGACTGAGTCTGGAGTAGAAACATCCAGAGCCACCGTGTACAGGCGTTTGCAGGAAATGGGCTACAGGTGCCGCATTCCCCAGGTCAAGCCCCTTTTGAACCAGAAACAGCGGCAGGAGCGCCCTGTCACGATGGTCGACTGGGTGCGGGAGTTGAGCTTGGTAAGGATGTTTGATGTCTGGATTATTAGGTAGAGAACTCTGATCATGGGTTTCAATGAAACAATGACTGAGTGAAGAGCCGGTGCGGCGTCTTCCATATATAGGCTTGGGTGTGACTGGGAGAATGCCGTGAGTTCCCGCGACGAACATGCTGGGAAATGTGTCCAAGATGGAGGCCGGTTAGCTGGGAGAGGCCGGTCCGGGGGCTTGGGTTCTGACACGCCTGACCTGGGCTAGAGAGAAGCAGCACTGGACTGTTGCTCAGTGGTCCAAAGTACTTTTTTCGGATGAAAGCAAATTTTGCATGTCATTCGGAAATCAAGGTGCCAGATTCTGGAGGAAGACTGGGCAGAGGGAAATGCCAAAATGTCTGAAGTCCAGTGTCAAGTACCCACAGTCAGTGATGGTCTGGGGTGCCATGTCAGCTGCTGGTGTTGGTCCACTGTGTTTTATCAAGGGCAGGGTCAATGCAGCTAGCTATCAGGAGACTTTGGAGCACTTCGTGCTTCCATCTGCTGAAAAGCTTTATGGAGATGAAGATTTCATTTTTCAGTACGACCTGGCACCTGCTCACAGTGCCAAAACCACTGGTGAATGGTTTACTGACCATGGTATTACTGTGCTCACTTGGCCTGCCAACTCTCCTGACCTGAACCCCATAAAGAATCTGTGGGATATTGTGAAGAGAAAGTTGAGAGACGCAAGACCCAACACTCTGGATGAGCTTAAGGTCGCTATCGAAGCATCCTGGGCCTCCATAACACCTCAGCAGTGCCACAGGCTGATTGCCTCCATGCCACGCCGCATTGAAGCAGTCATTTCTGCTAAAGGATTCCCGACCAAGTATTGAGTGCATAACTGAACATAATTATTTGAAGGTTGACTTTTTTTTGTATTAAAAACACTTTTCTTATTGGTCGGATGAAATATGCTAATTTTTTTAGATAGGAATTTTGGGTTTTCATGAGCTGTATGCCAAAATCATCAATATTAGAAACAATAAAAGGCTTGAACTACTTCAGTTGTGTGTAATGATTCTAATATATATGAAAGTCTAATGTTTATCAGTACATTACAGACGATAATGAACTTTATCACAATATGCTAATTTTTTGAGAAGGACCTGTATTTTCCTGTTAACACTGACACAGATAAGTTTTTTTGCCAAATAATTATATTTTGAAACATATTAAAAAGATGTTGCATCTAAAACAACTGTAACTGAATTGCTGTTACAATTACTTATTTGAAATGCTTTAAGTTCATTTTTGAAACATTTAGAAAAACGAGCCTCTCTAACAGAGTAGCGAGTCTAGAATCGCCCCTGGATTTACAGTAAAATATATATATTTTTAAAAAGAACTTTGTCTGAACACATTTTTTTTATTTGGTAACTTTGCTTCTAATCATGACCATAAAATGGTGATGGCTCAGTCTAGTTAAAGGAACTTGAAAAAAAATACTGTCTGGTTTTGAGTTAACTCTTAGCTATAGTTGCAACTATGAACAGAATAAATTACAATAGATGACCAAACTAAGCAAATAAAATAGTTGGTCAACAAGAGTTCTTATTCTTAAGACTTTCCTGGTGGTTTTAAATGTGGTTTATATTCAATATTAGCCAGTGGAAAGCCTTTTTCCTTCACCTGAACATTCAGTCTGACTCACAAAGTGTAATTTTATGTTTTTGTGATTCAAAGTATTTGACGTACAGTTCCAAAAATACAAATAAATACAATTTTTAATTTAATATATTAATTTTTTAAATTCTGTAACTTCTTAGATTTTTTTAAATTTTATTTCAGCAAATCAGGCAAAGAGCCAGCTTTGGCGTCCTCGCATAGAAAACTGATCCGCTTATCTTGTGGCAGTTCTTATTAGCGCTCTTGAAAGACTTAATCACAGGGCCAGTCAGCTTTATGATGTGATCTGTTGCCCACTACTCTGTTAAAACGTGTTTAGATATTTAAACAGTATGCATTTGAGGAAAAATGTCATGAATTAATGACAAAAAAGGCCAAACTGACGTGAAAAATGAGGGAGGAGGAATGTGTCCGCTGTTTTTTTTACCCAGCTAGCGTCAATTCTCTTCAAAACCAAATACCACTTTTTCACATACAAACATATACCCTCCAAAAAATGAACAAATAAATAAATGAACACACTTAATAGAAATGACAGGCTTCAGATGTCAGCAGGGGAGAAAAAAGACACACATAGAAACTCATCAGATGATTGACGCAGGGCTTGGTTCTGCTTCACTGAAACGGATCTCAGTGTGGAAACAAACTTTACGATTTACGACAAAATAAAATAAAATAAAAGTGACCAACGAGCCATGATAGTTATTGCTCTTACTGGATAAGACCATTTATCCACTGGAGATGACAGCATGTGAAAAATTTTACTGTCAAACAAACAAACCAAGAGATTTCATTTATGGCTGTTATAATTATTTACCATGACTGCGATGCTTCACATTTTGGTGTGTTTTCACAGATAGCTTTTCTACCTGCTGATTTATGCACTTAAACATCGTGTTTAGTGACTGCATGTTCAGTCTGAGCAGACAAATAAAACCTAAGAGCAAGAAAATATGGCTCAAACCCTTAATGACTACAGTAACACACACAAACAGAAGCCTGCACACACTCACACAAGTATGCTTGCGCACACACAAACATACAAAGCAGTATAAAAACTAAAAAATGTCTTGATATGAAGGCAGGTACAGAGGAAAATCCTTTCTGGTTGCTCAGACGTGTACATCTACTGTGTATACTGTACATATTGATCACTGGAATATCTGAAGTAGAAATAGGTCCTAAATTGCAGAAATGATGACATATGCTCACTGTTCTCTGTATTTTACAACGATTCTGAGAGAGAAAGAGAGAACTGATGGACAAGATCTATGATGCTGCTACTGGAGGCCTCGGATGACTTCATTCAAATGGAGACACAAGACGAGTAAATAAACAGAGGACAGATGGAAAAGAGGGTGGGGAGGTGAGGAGGAGATTAGCTGAAAACTGGGAGTGTACTGGGTCCAGTTCCCTGAAAACCAGACAGTACTACGGGAGGTGGGTTTTGGACCGGCCGGTCAGATGTGTCAGTTGAGACAAAAGGAGGAGTGAATCCGCTGGTTTCTGGATTTTCTAAATCAAAACATGAAAGAAACAGATAGTTGAAATGATTAATCCCTTATGTGTTAGCCTGATTTGTTGGTTCAATAAATTACTTAATTATCCACTAAAAACTAACAGGTCAAGCTCAAAAATGAGAATATGGTGCAAAAGTTTATTTATTTCAGTAATTCTGAAATAGAGTGAGACCGTTTAAAGGTGTGGAACACTGGTCCATTTTCAGGAACTAGAAGTGAGCCACATCACAGCTGAGCTTCAGATGGCAGGTTTTGGGGTCTTATTTCCTGATATTTGGACATCTCTCTTCTGATTGGGTAACAGGAACACAACTCTACCGATGACTCGCAACATTGATGTTTAATCTCCACAAATCACTCAAGCCTGAAGGAGTTCTGCCGTGTGGTGGAGTTGCTAATGCTTATGGTTAGCTTCTACTAGCCAAGACGTTCGCTACTGTTTCCTGGACGCTAAACCAACAACAGCCTTCCCCGTCGTGAGTCAAGATGGGTGAGTCCATGAATGTTAAGTGACAGCGTGACGTAGATCTGCCAGGATTTTCTAATCCTAGAGTTTCACCGTCTGTTTTCTATCAGAAGCTAAAGCAGGAGATAGGTGTAGGAGACTATTTTCATGTTCAGCCTGCATGAAAAACTCAAAGTGACTGATTATAATCAGAAATAAGATGAACAAATCTTTTTTTCAGGGTTCCACGCCTTTAATGTGTTTTTATGCACCTCTTACATAATGACAAACATTCTCACAAAGAATGATGTATCATGCTACCTGGATCGGTTCTCCAAACTGAGATAAATTTACTGACATCTAAGAAGCACTGATTACGAGTTTCCTTCTAACATTTCTAGAGGATTAGTACTCACCTGATGTTCAGCAGCATTCACGACCAACACAACCTCAGTCCTCTAGAGCCACCATCCCTTTCACTGGGTCCTTCACTCTCATCTGACACACACACACACAAGAGAAGAGTGTATGAAAATAGCCCGTTGACTAAATCGTTTCAATGAAATCAATATTTTTGCAGCTTTCAGCTGGTATTCATAATTCTTCCTCACCTCATCTAGCTCCTTACGCGTCTCCTCCTCCATACGACGAATATCGTCCATGTTCAACTCGATCCACTTATCAATCCAGCAGAACAGCTGGCGGTGGAAATTAGTGAACAAGCGTTTCTCTTGCTGTGAAACAATGAAATATAACAAAAGGTGAAAATGAGACTCACGGAAACGATGATTGTCTTGATTCTTTCCTGTTTATCCTCCACAGGCTGGTGCTGACAAACCTTTTGAATGAAGTTCTCCACTTTATTTTGCAGACCCCACCACTTGAATTTGACAGTGACCAGTTTGTAAGCACACATGTGTGGGCAGTCTTTCTTGTTAGGGAGTTCCTTCTGCACACACACACACACACACACACACACACACACACACACACACACACACACACACACACACGCACGCACGCACGCACGCACGCACGCACGCACACACACACACACAATTTAAACTAAGTCAATCTCACAAACTACATATTTAGCTAATATGCAAATAGCTGTAAATTAGATGTAGCCCACCAAAATAGAAGCAAGATAAGTCAGTTCAATAATGGAGCATACTTGTACAGAAAACCCTGAAAGAAACTTGAATAAATCGTCGATATTTGAATGAATTTTCATAATTTTAATATCAAACGGTACTATGAGATGCTAGATAGAAGATCTCTTCACCATGCTCTTATTTTGGTAGGCTAAGTGTTACGTGTCAGCTAAATATTGCCAACTACATCTATAATTAGGTACAAAAAAGTAGATTCAATATTATAAATTTCCATTTCAGTCAAAACACCTAAAATTTTTACTTTAATTTATGATGAAAAAAAGTTTAATGAGGAGATTAATGTTGCAAAGATTTCATTTAGTAATGTTATACTTTAAAACCAGTTCCCAATGACACAGACGCAGTTGAAAAATGGTAAAGATGCTTCAGACAGAATTACATTAAAAAATACGTAGTAAACAATATTTAGAAACTTTAGTGAAATTTGGCCCAAAAAGACAAAAGAAAAGCTGAAAATATTATCTTCACTGAAATCTATTACATACTGAAAGGCATACTATGCACAGTTTTCATATTTTTAAATAATTTTCTTCAGTCAATGAAATACCACTCAAACCCCCACCGCCCCTGTGGCCACATTATCACACTTGCAACTTCAGAGTGGCAACGTTGTTGGAACAGACATGCCTGGCACTGCAGTCTGCTTCTCCAGCATGTTTCTTGCACATTTTAGATCATAAACACAGCCCATTTATTTAATTTAGTGATCTATCACTCATGTAGACACTAATGAAGGCTGGGGAGACATTTCAGCTGTTAGATTATGGTGGTAAAAAGACAAACAATGAAAACAGACACTAGGAGGTGCTAAAACACAAACACACAGTGAAGAAATCACTTTCACTTTCAGTTTTACTGATGGACACTATGGGGTGCTAAAAGCAAGCCAAAACTGCTTAGTATCCCTTTAACAGAAGGAAAAAAACAGTTTTTCTGAGTGAACCAAAAGTGGTTAAACCTCTGCACAACACAATAAAAACATATAATAATGTAGTTATAGAAGCATTTAAAAAACACCTCAAATATTCAAAAATGTGTATAAAACAGTTTAAAATGTTTTTGTACAAATATTATGATGCATTATTTTGTTTTAATTATGGCAAATTGAATCTATTTTATATTGATTACTCAACACAAGCCCTGATAATTTAAACACTGATTCTTTAGTTTTGTATTCAAAACACGAATTTACACAGACATGTTGTACCTTCCAGTCTGGTCCTAGAGGTCCTCGTGCTGTCTTCGTGGACTTGAACCTGCATGGATCCTCCTCTGGCTTGTAGTCCTGACCAGAATAAACATGTGTGAAATTACACATGAAGGAAAAAAAAGCTGTTTTAATCATGCTAACATGGACTTTCATGGTAATGTGTTCACCTTTGGTTCCACCTGGCTTCTGTCTGCAATATCAATATAGACTACATCCACCTTTTTCCAGGTTTCTGCATCCAAACCATGTACCTGAAACAAAATGGCTCATTTGTAATAATCAGCCTCCACCAATGTGACATTTTTGAATTAATGTGCAATCATATTCATGAATGAGAAAAATAAAACGGCGTGGAAGCATTTTTTAAACAAGCAATAATGCCGATGGGCTTGTTCACACTCCTATATGATTGCAGATATCAGATTCTGAAAGGTCATGGTTGTGTTTACTAACATTTTCCTGGTGTCCCATGTCCGGTTTGTGCCACGTTTCAATCTTGATCAGGAAGTTATCTTTCATATACTCGTTCTGCAGGGAAAACAAAAGTAATCCTGAGTAAAGGAGGGAGAATATTACATATAAAAAGCCATGGAAGGTACAGCTCTGGCTCTCTCTCTCTCTCTCTCTCTCTCTCACACACACACACACACACACACACACACACACACACACACACACACACACACACACACACACACACACACACACACACACACACACACAAGTCAAGCTGTCTATCACTGCTCCTATGTCACTGAAAATGATCACATTTCTCTCTCAGCTTTCTGGTTCATTTGTCTCGTTTATGCGAATCAAAGTTCAGTATAACTATTTCTAAATACTGTTAGTGCAAAAAGGAACCGTAGAAGATACTCACCGTGATTACTGCACGAACAGACGGACGCAAATGCAGGACAACAGAGAGAAAAACACACTTTAAGCATCTAGGAAACACATTTGAATTTTAGGGGTTTTCTTAGGCTTCATTAGGAATCGTGCACACAGTTTGGGCATTTGAGTGTGTTCGCAAGGCAGATGGTTGTCTGGGAGCTGGCACTGTCTGCAACTGTGTGATCTCTCAGCCTGAAAGGCTCAGATGTTTTTGCGGCTCTTCTCACTGGACACCTAGTAAATTATTCAGCTACTCCTGGAAGGTGACAGAGATCCAAAGGCACAGAGGAGCAACAGAGAGAGGCACCCAGAAAAAGGCCAGTGTTTACATTTTTATACAATCAAAGTAGTGCTTAATTTGTAAATCAAACGTTCCCGGAACGCAAATACTGCCGTCAAACCAAAGTTCACAAAAGGCAAAACAGATGCCGGAACACACCCTCTCAGTTCTGTGTGTCTTGTTGATTCATTGTTTCTATGTCCAGCGTGCTCCCTATTAAAACCTTTAAAAACGTTCCTGTCTACCTGCCTGCCTTCTTACCCTGCGCTTGGATCCTCACCTCCGCTTCACTCACCTGCATCCTGTGACACTCCCCCCTCCCCCTGCGCGGCGGCCGCAAACTCACTGATGCGCCTGCAGCCTCTCACAGTTTCTGCTGCTCTAAACATTGAAAGAATAATTTCATTTTCTGTTCCTCACTTCTGATTACCTTCAGTGGTGTCTGTTTGTTGCAACCACCAGGTACAAAAATGAACTTGTTTTTTATTTCACTATTTTTCTGTCCTGTCTCTGATTATTAGCATCTCCTCTCAATCCTAAAGAAAAACTGCTACCTGGGTTCATATATATTCACCTTATGAGTTACCTTTGAACTGCAGTTCCAAAAGATCTACCGACCGCAAAAATAGCAGAGTGCGCGCTGACCGCACCGGTGCGGTGAAGTCACTGGAGGACAAAACAGGTGATGCGCTCCGCAGCAGCGAAAGGCATCAGGCACAAATAAAAGACAGAAATCATAAAAGGATATGAGCCGACATAAACGATCACGTGTTAAGATTTTTTTTGAGGTGGCGACACTTTGATAATGTTACTGTGGCCGTGCTCAGGACGCATCTGTCTGGAGCTCACCAACGATCAGAGCTCTGCGCCTCTCAGCTCTAAATAATCCCCAGAGAGTCCACATAATGTAGTAGAACCAGGATCGCTTCGGGCTCACCCTGGGTGTGTTGAGGGCTTGCAGAAGCTCCTCACCCGTAATTCGAATCCTGCGTATAGCACAAGTTTGTCGCGTGAGTTGCCGGATGCTAGCAGACAGTTGCCAGAACGGTCCTTTCAAAATAAGATAGTCCCCGGATCTTGTTCCGGCAAGATCCGGCTCAGAATAAGCCCTGAATCAAAGACGCTAAACCAATCACTAAAGTCCAGAAAATAGAAAAAAACATGTTAACCAGTAAAGCATAAGTCCAAAAAGATCAGGATTTTGTTGGACAAAAACTACAAAGCCAGTGTTGAAACGCGTGTGTGTAATGAGTGTGTAACATTTAGTGTGTGTATACCTGTACGACAGTATGGGTATGCGTTCCAGGCCTTCTCATGGATGTTGAGGGCTGAAGCTGGAGCCAACATTCTGACAAACGACGGCACTTTACTGCAGGATGATTATAGGAGTAAGAGAGAATCAAGTCTATCCTTTCACATTTAATAGTGTAACTAGATAACAAACAGGGGATGCTTAGTGCAAAACGTATTTACATAGAAATATGATGTTTCTGAAAATTGAGAAAATCATTATTTCTGCCTGTTTTTTTAAATTACTGGACACTACTTGAGTAGCTTTAAGTAGTTCACAAGTTATGAATAGCTCTTAACATGAAAAAATTAATATTATGCTATTTTTTCTTTCATATGAAAGACATTTAAAGCTGGGGTGCGTCATTTAAAACTTTAAAAGTAACTTTAAAAAGGCTTTGACTGTCTGACCCTGTTCTATGTTATGAAGTAGGTACTCTTTCATAATTTATATTCCTCACAAGTCTTTCCTCAGGCCTCTACAGGAGGCCTGAGCTTGCACTGAATTAGTATCAGTCTGTAAACTTCGAACTACTCGTGGAAGAAGGGGGGGGGGGGGTTAACTTTTGTGATTAGCGTAGCATTCCACCTTGTGCTATGCTGGACTAAAGCTTTAGCTCTGTCCGTTGACTGATTTCCCTGTGTGTGAGCGGTATGATGCGTGGCTAGGGATGGGTACCAAATTCAGTACTTTTTAAGGCACCGACCGAATTCCATTGTACCGAACGAGCACCGATTCACGTCATTTCAAATGGTGCCTCGTTTCGGTACCCGTCCTTCATATCGAGAACTTGCCAAGACAGCTGCGCATGCGCAAGAGCGTTATGTCGTTGCTCGCTACGAGCCAGTTGTAAACAGAGCAGCATGGTAGAAAGAACGCACGCTAAAGCTTGGGTCCACTTCACTAAATGTGATGGGTAACTGGGTGATGATGAAACCAGCGACAACGATCTAAGTGAGACATCCTCATCTTAATCTGCTCCGGTAAGTAAATAAAATGTAAGATAACGTTAGCTTGATATGTTAGCTTCCGTTCTGCTAATGGTGCGTTCGCTTTCTCCTCGGAACTCCGAATTCCCGACTAGAAGAACATGAACGCGCTCTAAAGTTTGGCTTCACTTTACTAAATGCGACGGGTGATTGGGTGAAGATGAAACCAGTGACAACGATCTAAGTGTGAGGCATCATCGTTTTAATCTGCTCCAGCAGTTAAATAAACTGTTTAAGATAACGTTAGCTTGATATGTTAGCTTCCATTGCCACAGTTATCAGCTAATGGTGCGTTCGCTTTCTCCTCGGAAATTCTAACTTCCCAGTAGGAAAAATCAAATGAAAAAGGACGGCAAAAGGAATGAAGATACACAGTAAATTTAGTTCACAGTAAAGATGTTTGCTTCAGTTTAATTATCAACTTATAAAACTACAAGGACAATGTTAAAATACAAACAGTTGAATGTTATTTATCGTGATATATATCAAATATGGTTATAAATTGAGAAAAAATATATTTAATTATAAAAAAGAATTAAAATATTAAACACTCAAAAGTATCGAAAATTGGTACCGTTAAGTACCGATATCGATTCCTAGGTACCGGGAATTAGTACAGAATTGATTCAAATGTCAAAGGTACCCATCCCTATGCGTGGCTTTGTTGCCACATGAGCTAGGGATAAACTCGCTAAAGACATATACATTTCAAAATCTTCCCCTCCTCCCATTGATGGTGTCACGCTACAGACTACAGCTTTAATGTCACTGATACACATGCTTTTCCTCCAGTGTGGGCACTTACCTCTGCAAATGGTAAATTTTGTGTGTGTACTGTCCCTTCTCCCCTTCTTTCTCATAGGGTTCATTTTTTAGCACCTCCACTCCTTCACCTCCTCCCGTCTCATTCTTACTGGCTTCGGCCACCGAGTACAGCTGACCAACCTGGTACTGAAATTAAAATAAGAGTATTTAGAAAAAACTCAACTCATCTTTTACTCTAAGCTAGTTTTCTTCCACAAACGCTAATTGTCTCTCTTCTTTACTTCCTACTCTTCCTCTTGAGCCCCTTCGTTCTCACCTGCAGGGTCCATGTGAGTGTTTCAACACAAGACAAGGGTTTCTTTCAGTTCTTAATCAGCTTTAATCCACCCTAACCCTCACATAACTGCACAAGCTGGACTGGATCACACTCACAACAAAACAAAGGTGGAATAATATTTAATTGATTGATTTGATTGAAATCTTTATTTTGAACACAAAAAAATAAAAAATAAAAAAGTACAACAACGTAGAATTCAAAGAGACAAATAATAATTACCTCAAAACAAACAGAAAAAGAAAACGAGTAGTCACAACTAATAACCTTCATGTTCAAAAAGGAGCTCATATGACAATATCAAGAGAGCCTGAATTTATTTATTGTTGCAACAGAAAATAATTGTGTTGTTGAGTGAAATATATTTGTAAATAAAAACAAGATTGATTTTGATTAGTTATTTTCTGCACACAGCGTGATAAAGATTTGTTTTTATTTTTTGCTGCCAAGTTTCGGCCGACTCTGTAACTCTGGTCATCGGCGAGGAGGGCGTGGGCATCGTCGTCCTCTGCTGCCCACAGATGAACGGAGACGGACGCCACCAACCTCGGCGTTACTCTGAGGTAGGCTACAGAGTTAGCCGAAACGTGTCAGCAAAAACTAAAACCAAATTTTTATTGTGCTGTGGGCAGAAAAAAACCAAATAACACAGAATGACCAACAAAAATGTTCTAAGCCTGATTTGGATGGTTTCAGACGGGCGCTGCATCTCCTCAAATCATCTCAGGAATAAAGACAAATGAATGAGGATGTGGAATTCATGTATGCATCTCTGAAATAAGCTTGGTGGTGATGCTGTTGTGTTTGTTGATGCATCTTTGTACAACGAAACAAATCCACTGTTACTGGAAACATAAACCCAGCCCTCACCGCCTGATTCTCCTCTTACACTTTCAGTAAGACGCAAACAGAGAAATCAAATCATGCACTTTGAGTCAATAAAGATCAGCCAAAGTATGATGATCAGTGAGCTGTAGAGTTTCAGCTTTGACTTGATCAGGCATGGACTCCATAAGGGGGTAGGTAGGTTTAGAGGTGGTGCCTTGTGTTTTTGTCCGTCAAATCCTACACAGCTGAATTAAAGTGGAATTGGGAATATTTTACGGACCACGTGAAACCTTCAAACTCTTCTTTGCGCTCTTTAAACCATTGTTTGACCATTTTTTACAGCGGTTATGGTTTACCCTCTTAGCAAAAAGGCTGATGTTTGCAGACATTGCCAATTGTTCTGCCAGCTTACCTCTGACTCATGGTGCATCTTTGTGCAACATCTTCAAACCTCAACTGGGCAGAAACAGATGCTTTTGGCAGTAAACATAGGTCACGTCCTTCTGCTGTCTTTGCTACACAACCCCTAACCGCAATTCAATGTTCTAAAACCAAACTGAAACCAGGATTAACGTTTGCAGAAACTTTAGATGTGGCGGGCCTTTCATTTGGATCAGAAAACACGGATGAGCTTTCGTTGCTCTCATGCACCGATGAACTTTAGCTGACACCATCACCTCATGTTGGGTATCTCCTCCTGAACTCTAAGCACTAGAATTTTGTATTGATTAGCTGAAAGTTGTTAATCTGAAAGATTATCTAATAAAGCTCCAGGCTAGAAGTTGACATAGAAAATGCAACCCTCTTCACAATGTTTCATTGTAAAGATTTTGTCAGCAAAAACCGTCTCAGTTAAGCAAGAGTCAAATTGAATTGTGAGAAACAATTGAAGGGATCTAAATAAGATCAGAATGACAAGATTGGATCAAGTATTAGAGTTACAACCACTGATCTGATTTAGCAGCAAATAATGAATGCGTGTTAGTTTTTTAAAAGCCTCTAGAGGGACATGATGCAGAAATGGAGATGGAGTGTGTTGATCAAATGTCATCAGGGCGTTGTGATTATTTTTTTTTTATGTTTGCTAGATGGCAAGGAAGTATTTTCACAGCTGAATTTTGCAGCGATTTCTTTATGGAGGGTAATCAGGGGCGTGTCCAGGGAGTGGCCTGGGGTAGCACATGCCACCCTTGGAATAGGACTGGCCACCCCAGGTGCCACCACACTAATTTACCTTTAAATAGGCTTTTCATTGTCCACAAAAGGCTTGGGGGTAAAACAAAAAAAAAAAAAGCATAACCATTGGTGCCACCATGCACAAAGTTGTGCCTCACCTGGGCCACCCCATTTTAAAAGATCTGGAGATGCCACTGAGGGTAATGTATTATACATATATTTAGATAACATAAACATATGTGACCTTTTAACCCAGGTCATCTGCCAGGAAGTTTCAGTGCCTATATTTGATGGAAAAATGCAGTGAATTTAACCAAAATAACAATAATAATAATAATAATAATAATAATAATAATAATAATAATGATAATAATTAAAACCCAAACAAACAAAAACAAGCAACAAAAGAAAAAACTTTAAAGAAAAAATTCTAAAAAATGTGTTTTTTATATGTAGTACAATTAACTTGCAGTAATATCAGCCTAAAATAACATAATTATTCTTACTTTATTATTACCTTTAAAGGTGAAATTTAGCATCCTTTTTTTGTTTCATGTGGGTTCTGTCAGTGTTTAGTTTTAGGAATAATGTTCCTAAAAAACATTTCAAAGAGTCCCCATTTGTGATGTCACAAATGAGGCAATTAGCATTGATCAGCCTCTCAATGCAAGAGAGAGCTGCTGCTGGTCTCCGAGCACCTCCTGAATATCAGAGCTTCTCAGCTTATAGAAGCCTGAGTAGGTGGGGTGGGTGGGCGTGGCCAGCTCTGCTTGTTTTCTTAAAGTGCTCATTCAGGAAGGTACTGAAATTGTGAAGAATACAACTCTAATGGCTTCATGTGAGAGGGATTTTGTGCAAAGAACGACATAAACGTGTTTAAAATTGACCACAGAACTATTGTAACTAAAGACAAAGTCACAATATGTCCCCTTATCACATACAGCCCAAACAATTCAAATAAGGAAAAACTCAACGCTTCTCTGCACCCATTGCCTGGACTTCGTTGTTGTTGTGTTTTGGCGCGTCCTCGTCGGGCTGTGTGACGTTAAGACACACATCGCACTTGACGCATTACGCTATCCCGCCTGGCAACTGGAGCCTGGAAGGCGATAGAAATGCTTGCCAGAAAACTTCTAGACCCATACCGGAACATACCGGTCCATAATACCCAGACCAGACATTTCCAGACCAGGCGATGGAAAAGAGCTATTAGTCTCAGCTTGGAAGTTAAAGGGTTAAACCTCGCTTGGTAGATTATGGACCAAGGTTTTGGTGCTAAAAAGAACCACGTTGTGAAAGTGAAGCTTAAGAACAAAATCTATTATTATCTGACTTAATCCTTATTCAGCATTTGCATCATAATTAAGCTCTAAGGTGAAAGGGCAAATATGAAAACAACAAGCATTGTTAATAAAAAGTGTATTCAGATGAAATGAAAAAGCAGGAGATATTTGTGCTGTCAACACTCTGGGGTTGATGTGACACGTTGCAGCTCTCGCTGGTGCTTCACACTTGAGACTGCAGCGAGTCTCGGAAGACAGGAGGAGCTTAAAATGTCCGTGCAGTCGTTATTAAAGCAGCTCAAGTCCAATGTCTTTCTCCTACAATCTAATAACACAAACAGCATGCAGATTTGGAGCTGGTTACAGGCTGGGTTAACATGTGATGTCATGGAAGTGGTTTCAAATGACTCATTTAGAATTCAGGCCTCAACAGAGGAGCAGACTGCAGCGATATGAAGGCAGACAAATGTGGACAGAAATGGGGCAAAGAAGTGCCGTTTAGATTCAAAATTCACCTGAAAGCTGCTGGTTTTCAATGCTTAGAATGGATTACGGAAATATGGGAATTTCAGAAAATTAAGGAGATGAACTTACCTCTTCCACAGAGATCGGAAGAATCACTCGACTGCAGGAGAAGAAAGAAAAGGAGAAGTTACTAAAAACTATTATTAGGTTTGGTTGTGACACGGACATAAAAATCCACATAACTCTGAGTCAGTTTTGATGTGATTGATGTTTTAATTTTTTTTTGTTCCATAACTGACTTTCCTAAATAAACATATTTAAGACAAAAATCTGATGTATCTCTTGTTTTTTTCTCTTGCTGTTTTGTTTTTTTATGCACGTACAGCACTTTGGTTTGTCTCCTGGAAGATGGAACGTGCTATAGAAGTAAAGTTGATGATGATGTTGAAGATCATCTTCAAGCGTCTCAACTATAACAAAAAACCCAACTTTCTCTCAGTGAGCATCTTTATCAAATTTAATCAATCAAAATTTCACCTGCAATTTAAAGCAATGAGGAAGTCATTGGTTTTAGGTCAAAGGGTTTAATTTTAAACAATAAAAATAATTGACCGTATTTGTTGTTTGTACTGAAGCTTGTGTCTTAGAGAAGAATTAAACTAAATCTAAATAAGTCTTTTCTGGTTCTTGATTTCTGTTATTTACCTTTTATTGCATCTTGATTCATGCTAAACCATCATTACATTATAAGTGAATCCATGAGCTTCAGTCTTTAACAAAGTAATCACATTACTTGCCAGCAAAATTGCAATTTTTTATGTTAACTAAGTGGCAGCAAATGCAAAGAAACTACAATAAAATGGAGCGTTGGAGCATGCTGCAGTACCAATAATGTGAAAGTTTGGCTGCTAAATTCACACTCATAATTAAAGGTCTGTGATCAACAGACCACCTGATTTGTTAGTGCTCTGTTAGGAGTGAGTCTGAGCTGCCAACACAGCAAAATTTAGCTCAGTATTTGTTCGATTTCCTGAGTTTTAACCACAATTGTGTTTAATTTCAGCTGTCTGCAGCGGCCATTTTGAATCAGATTGACCCCGAATGTGAACCAGTTTTAGATGGACATCCCAAAAAGATTTCACGAGAGTTTCAATAAATACAAACATATAACAGCGTGGACACATGCTCACGTGCACGCAACTCCACACACTGCATCTGCACTCTGGCTTAAACAGACTGCACTACTTCCGTCGTTTCGTAATGAACAAGCACACTGTGCAGCTTTTGTTGATTGTTCCATGAGCTGGTGAAGTATGCCCAAATTCCCATAATCCCATATTCCACCTGCCACTGAGTGTAATCTGGGTCTCGTGCAGGAAGTTACTGAATGCTGCACCATATGCAGCAGCAGTTTCAAATCATGATTTTGGTGTGTTTTACAGAGGCGGTTCTTTTTTTTTTTTTTTTTTTTTAACGTGTCCTGTCTGGCTGTGAAGCAAGCAGAATTGATGTCTGAATGCTGGTAACAAGCCTTACAGTTTTACTCTCAGGTGGAGCATCAGAGCATCTGCTTTTAATGTCTCAGGTGGAGCATCAAAGAGTCTGCTTTTAATGTCGCACCTGATATTTAAAACTTTATTGTTATTGTTTTTGAATGCTTTGTAATTTCGACCAGACACGGAGACAGAGGTGAAAGAGAAAGGAAAAGAGAAAAGGTGGGGAGAAAGGGGGTTAGGTGGGGGGGGGGTTCAACAAAAATAAACAATAATGAACAAGAGTCTGCTTCTAGACCTGCAAAATGAGACGAGAAAAAAGCAAAACATAACAAAAAAATGGGACACAACACCAATATAACAAAATCAAGCTATCACTGCGTCAACTTGATGAAGAAATATATAATCAATCATTGTTTAACTAAACAGTCACACGATAATATACCACAGTGCATTGAGTGCCCACCATAGTCTTAAGACATGTGTTGAACGTGCCCAAGCCCATACTTATGAGAGCACCATGTGAGCACCTGTGTGTGTACACGCGCTTGTTTATGTAAGGTTTATCTATAGGAGCGTCCAATAGAGAGTGTGAGGGACCACAGATCTGCCCCCCAAAGACGCGTAGGAGACGGGGGGGAGCTCCAAGTCCCAGAGATCCAGGCGCTGCCCCAGAACACAGGAACCCCAAGGAGCCCGCAACCAGAAAGGCCCCCGCCCCCCTCGAGAGGCACAGAGGATCGCCCCGGGGGGCCACAACCAGCAGCCGGCAGAGCCCCGGGAGATATCAGCGGCAAGTCCTCAGGCCCGCCCGCAGCCTCCCACCCCCTAGCCGGCCGAGTCCGGGACCCAGCGACCCGGGACCCAGGGGCGACCACCCCCGCCGGGGACCCAGCAGAGCCCAGGGACCCAGACCCCCCCAGGCCGCCACCGGGATTGATCAGGCAGATGCCAAAAATCTTAAACTCCCTGACCCGGGATCCACGAACACTCAGGCAGACCAAGGCATCACACCCACACCAGGTGTGACAGGGGGGAGGGGAGACGAAGATCTATATCATCAAAGGAGGTCCCAGGAGAAGGGAGGAGTCAAAGGCCCCACCTGACATATACAGTCATACACAAACACAGTCACACACTCCCTCCCTCATGCTCACACATGCACATACAACCAAAGACTTACAAAAATACACGCCGGACACCCACTCATGCTCCCCATACACACCCTATTCACTCTGGTCCCGGTAATGCTGCACATGGGGTACAACCACCACCGGTTACCAGAGTTTGACCCTTTCTGCTGGGGTGCTGATGAGCAGGCTCCCCCGCCCACCGCCGAGCACAGCAACCCACCACCCCAGACCCCAACCAGACGGCCAGATCTCCCTCCTAGTCTCCAGCCCCAGGCAGCCAAGCAACAACAGAGGATTACAGAGGCGGTTCTAGGATCAGAGGGTTAGGGGTGCTGAGCATTCAGAGAGCTGCCTGAGCAGAAAAGAAAATGTTCACTTTTTTGAACATTTTAACATAATTTCATTCGCTCGTGTTCACGCTCTTTTCACAAATAAAGGTTTTACAAATCGCAAACTATGATTTATGTTATTAGTGGGGAACCGGCTAGCCCAAGTTTGAAGAGCCTAGGTGTTGTAGTTGTTGAGCTACAGATGCTGCTATTAGTTTAGAATAGTGGAAACCAGAAACGGGAACCAACTTCAGCTTTGACAGAGAAACAAACAGATAAATTGCAACACAAACAAATCCACACCGGTGGATTTATTCTCGAAAGAATGCATGAGGCAGTCTGCACGCCAATCAATGACAATCTCTTATGCATTGTTGAAAAAATAATACAACTACGTCAGACAATTTTAGATTTTGAATATATATATATATATATATATATATATATATATATATATATATATATATATATATATATATATATATATATATATATGTATGTATTTGCAAGGCTAGAGGAGAAACAGGTTGTTCAACATGTCAGCCAGTTTGAGATTTTAGGTCAGACAATACTAAAAAACGGCATTAATGCCTGACGTTTTTTACGATAACACTGCAGGGGGCTGGAATTCAATTTAGGAGTGTTTTAACACCCCTGAAAATGGGCTCCAAAAGCCCAAGGTTACTATAACAAAGGTTTAAAACAATAGTTTGGACCCAAAGATTGAGATGCTTCTTAAAAGGTAAAAGAAGAAGTCAAGTCTCTTCCTGTCGTTGCAAGTCTCCTTGGTCCCGAGGTCTGAAAGGGAAGATCAAATATCTCTCTGGCATCGGAAAGCTAACACCCCTCCTGCACTGCTCGTCTTATATATCCTCAGCGCTTTCTTTTATTTTTTTTACCCTCTTCCCTGTTTTCATCTCTTGCAAATTCAACATGACGATGTGTCTCTGTTGCTCGACAAATACCAGATGTGGGAGCAGAGAAACTTGGAATGGATTTGGGTCAGTGGCTCAGGTGACCATCACAGAACCAAAAAAAGGACACATCTATCGGTTCTTTAACAAGATCATTTGTTTGTTTCCTGACCTCCAGGCTGGTTCAGAGTCACTGTGTGTGCTGACAGTGTGTAAGCTAATTCAGCCTTTAATCGTGACGATTTAATTAATTTACAGGCTGACTGCTGAGGCCTGGACACCATAATCACTTCAGATCTCTGGCCATGCCATCACTCAGATCCTCAGCTTTTTGGTTAGTGCAAACATTTATTGATTGAATACTTTTAATGCCTTGTTGTTCGGAGTCCCACTCTGGCCCTGCAAATTCTGCAATTAAAATTTTTAAATCAATTTTATATAAAATAGTAGAACGACAAAAAGTCAATTTTTTAAATATAGTTTTACTATTTTACTTTATTTGAATGTTTTGAGCTTCTTAATCATGTCTGACACAGATTTATGGGCTTATTGTAAAAAAAACGATTGTAAGACGTGCCTTACAAAAAAGTTGATTAGAAACAGTCGATTGCCCAAACAACTACACTTTGTTTTAGATTCGCTTATCAAACAGCCTCAGTTGAGAGAAACAGGTTCACACCTGTGCATCTAAGTCGAGCTATGACAACAATCGAGCTAATCAGAGAGAAAGAGTCTTTATCCTTGCTTAAATGTCCTTTAAAAAACCAAATCATTGAATAACGTGCACTGGACTACGCAACAGAAGGTGACGATATGCGCCCGTTCGTGTCATTCTTCCGGTTGGCCTGTAGCTTCACACAATATGCACGATGGCCGAAGAAAACGCATAACGCGTTTGGTACACACTGTACAGTTTGATGGTGCTATGCAACAGATTCACAGAGTCTTGAGGCAGTGATATTATCAGAAGACAGCTTTCGCTGTCTCGTCACTTCCTGAAGGGTAAGTGCCCAGGCTGGTCACAGCTTGGCAAAGGTGGAATTTCATTGACATCCCAAGAAATTTGGTTTTCCAACCATATTACCTTAACTTGATTAGAAGTAGATAAGCTAACGGTTTGTCTACTGACTATGAATTCTGCTCAAACACTATTTCATAAACTTCTACACCAGTAAACAGTTTGCACTACAATTAGGCATCAAATTCTGTTATCTACATTGGAAATTAGCTGCAAAGCTACGTTAGCATTTCTGATAATTCCACAGGAAAACACATGGAATGAATGAAGTCATGTTTGCATTCATTACTATGAACGTTTTGAGAATTTAACTTTCTATAGGGGTTAGCTAGTCTGACTGATCAGAACTAATCCCTATTTTGCCTAACTGAGGCTGCAACTTTTCATGACCTCTCTGCAGAAGCACACTTTAAAAGATTGATTTAACATGTGAACATATTCAGTTTACTTTACAACTTGCATCCTATGAAAGATAACTATGATTTGATTTTATTCTAACCAGTCATTCACTCGCATTTTACTCAACCTGCATTCTGATTAGAGGCCTCAGACTGCTCTCCACGCAGAGGCCTTCAAATCTGTACATCTTGTTAAAACGATTCCTCCCTTCAGTCACATACCAACAGGCCCCAAACCTCTCGGTTCGCCCCTTTGCGCCTTCACGTTTTCCACCTGCCCACCTCTCCCGCTCCAACCATCCTTCCGTCCTGGTGCGTGTTACAGCTCTCCATTCCTGCGGAGCTTCCTAACGCAGGAATGCTGCTTTCACCTTCACCAGAGCGCACCAATAACACGGATGGACGCGCGCTCGGCTCATGCCAGCCATTTCTGCCTCCTCCTCCACAGCATCCGTCAGTTTAGCACCAGCACCCGAGAGAATTAGGCACGATGGGGTTTTTTTTAAGGCAAAAGCCCAAACTTAAAGGATCGTGATGGACGGGAGAGACGTGAAGGGCAAATCTGCACACGGCTGCTGATGCAATTTACACCTGCTGGTTTTCAACATTTCAATCTATTCTGGTGATTTGATGCGAGAACATATCAGGGACATAAAGTCTACTGGATGTCCTCCGCATCCTCATCATCACTCTTCTAATTCCGCTCCCGGGCTGTTGGCCACAATGTCAGTGCCGCCAAACCGCATCGACACTGTCACACACATGCACATACACACAAACATACTTACTATTCCTTTATGAGCATTTTAAAAAACAAAAATGTGTTTTTTTATTATTTTTTGGCGGTGCAGAAAAATCCCAGAGAGGGTCGCCTCCAAACTGCTTCGGAAACAGCCTCGATTCCTCCCCTCTGCTAAAGTCGCTTATTTTATCCGTTTGATTCTCTCCCACCTCTCCTCCTCTCTCTATGTCATTCTCCCTCCACAGCCGCTTATTTTCTTGAAATTCCCTTCCTGATCGGGGCCGCGGCGCGGCGTTGCTGCGCGCAGAGACAGAGAGAGAGAGAGCGCGCGCGAGGGAGAGGCTGATGAGCGCACCCTGAAGAAACACGGTTCTCCCTGGGGTGGGCAGGTGGAGGGTGCTGCTGCTGGATCCTCCCTGTCTGCAAACAACGAGAAGGGAAATTTAATGGGTTTCTTTTCAACGTTTTCATATATTTGAATCTTTTTCTTGAGCCAGATGTGCTAAAATGACCCTTTACAGGGTTAATGAAAGGCCACCCAGCCTCTATCGCCCCCCCCCCCCCCCCCCCTGTGGCCAGAATATTCCACTTGCAACTTCAGACTGGTGGCACCTGTGTTGAGAGAAAAAATCGAGCTGACATTTGTGGCACTGTCTGCTTCCAGCAAGTTTTAGATCATGAACATAGCTGATTTGCTTAATTTAGTGATGAATCACTCACGTAGACACTGAGGAAGGCTGGGGAGACACTCCAGCTGTCAGATTGAGGTGTTAAAAAGATGAATGATGAAAAACAGACACTAGGAGGTGCTTAAAACAAGCCAAAACTGCCTAGTTCCCCCTTTAAAAATATTTACATTTTAAATAAATGATCAAATTTACATCCTTTTTGTTTTGGGCTGCGTTGACAAAAGCCTTTTTAAGAAGAAGAAATTTCTTTTAAAAACAAAGTTGAGGTTTAGTTTTTACAAAATGACAGAATTAGTTGAGTGCCAAAGTGAAAACAGTTGAAAACAAAAATCAGCTCAAATGGGTGATCTTTCCTCCATGAACCTTCATTTTGAAGAGTGTGCCACACAATGCGTCACGATGACGGCGATGACGTAAAAGCGTGGTTCACCATCAGCGGATGAAACGGGGACCACCGCTGGCACGGATCGGTCATCTCTCTAAATCCTTTAAAAAACTGTGCTGTATCCGATTATCTGCCTCCTCTCTGCATGACTGGCATAACTTTACAGCCTTTCTTATTTTAATGATGGATGGTTTTGAAACAATTACAGCCGCAACATGAATTTATTTATGGATTAAAAGCTGATTTGTAATATTTTGAAGGTCCCCTGGAGGTCGTGTGATTGCGCTATAAGGTCCTGCATCAGGTCCCTAATCCAGTCCTGCAGATCTCTGGGAGTGCGTGAGTCTAAAATTACGTAACAGGGGACCGCTGCTGTATTTATAGCGCTTCTGTATCCGTTTGCCAACAGTCACATCCTGGACCTCTTTGGCTCCTAGATCCACCCGTTGATTTATCCTGCAGCTACTGAAGATGTGGCCTCCTCCCAGATTTCCATTAAATATTAAAATGATTGAAACACTTAGATAAACTGTACACACAAAATAAATTCTTTACAGTTCTCGATTTAAGTTTTACCCATTCCAGGCTTTTATTTGAACACGCATTTCTTTCATTTATATATTTATTGTGTCTCATTTATTTAACTTTAACTTCTCAATACAGATGTGCTGAGAAATAGCCTTTCAGTAGGATGCATGTTGGGTGACAAGTGGACAGCAAATAATAATAATAATAATAATAATAATAATAATGTGGATGCATGCATCATTTCCTGTCCTTAAATTCATTCCTGAATAGTTTTTTGCATTTTTATTCGTGAGAAAACAATGCACCTGTAGGGGAAGCATTAGGGAAATAATAATCACCAACACCACATTGGTCGCCTGATCACTGCTCATAATGTTTAGAAACATAGTCTGAGTGGATGCAGTTCTCTGTCAGCTATTCACAATAAACAAAGACCTTTACTGCAAAACTGTGTTTTTAGCAGCTTAGCAATAATAAACAGCACACATGTCATGTGCTAAGGATCTAAGATTAGTTTGGAAATATGTGACCAACCCAAGCTCCCACAATGCGGCTCAAAAATTGAAGCAATCCCGGAAGTGCCAAAATTGCAGTTCCACCCTCATCCACTGGGGGCGTGTGTCAGAAGCGAGCAAATCCTCATTGACTCCCATGTTAAAAATACCAATTTCACAGCAGAAATAAACATGTTTACAGCCTGGTTCCAAAACATGTTTTTTGTTTAAATTACCTAGTTTACACTCATGACAACTGTGAGGGGGGTGATTTTTTTTCTCACTCTTCTGTTTAAGTGTATTAAAGCCTAAGATTCTGTATAATTAATGAGCATCAGACCCACGTGACCACAGAGCTAGCTCCGTGGAAAGGCCTCAGTAGAGCCTCGGTCTGGCTTGGAAACTGTTCAGGGATTTTGAGTCTCCGTGTTTGTGCATTCGTTTTTGGATATTTTTTGTGCAATTGTTGGACAAAACGACTTGCTGTGGCATTAATTGCACTGATAGAGCGTCCAAGGAGTCTCCACTTCATTTTTTTCGGTAAGTAAAATTATATTTATGTATTTTAGGTCACTGCAGAGCTGAGCTTAGATTTTAACATGTACTGTTTAACCATGAAATTTAAATGTAATAGGGTAAAACCCAGTGCATTTAACATAATGCTGCACTTTAGAAAATGGGTTGAAATATAACATGTTGGTGGAGCTGGGTTCCGACTATCGGCTTGTGGAGCTCTCGGGAGACCTCTGTTTTCCACCCGTTTCTCCCCTCCCCGCAGCTCGGCGCATCTCTGTCTGCTGTGCGGGCTGCCGGCCGGCTTGTGGTTCTCCCCTCCCCAGCGTTAGCTTTGGGTTAGCTTCAGGTTAGCTTGTAGCTAGTTTGACCGGGTGTCGTCAGTTGATCCCAGCCTTACAGCCCCACCCTCAGCTCCACCTCTCTTCCCTTTTGTGGAATTGTCTGGGCTTGACGGAACCTGTGACACGGTCAAAATGGCGGTGGTGGCCACCTCCTATTTATCTTCAAAAATATGTTATTGAAGCATTTGGAAACCCATTGTCCAAAATTTATATGTTGATGGACCAACCTGCTAACCACGGAAGGGTTTATTCCACTTGTGGTTGTGTCAGAACAGCAGCGCTCCAGCAGCACCTCTTCCCTGCCGTGAGCGATGCTTTCTCACATCTCATTTCAGGTGGTGAGAGTTGCTAATAACGCGCTAGAACATTAAAAAAGGTGACAGAAAAATTCACTCAGTTCTAGAACAAACAACCTGCTAGTTGTGAAATAGAATTTGTGCAAAATATGTTCAGACCGATCATCTGAGTAATCCCTGGTTTAAGTCAGATTAAACAGCCTGACAAGAAAATTCCTGTTGTGTTTTGAAAAGTAATTGAGACGTGCCATTTAAATCAAGCAATCAATCAATCAGTCAACTTTATTTATATAGGACTTAATCATACATTACATGCAACTCTAAGTGCTTAACAAATTAAAAAGGCCCTGCATACCCACATTCCCTCCCATCCCCAGAATTTAAAAAACAGTCTGACCATAAAAACCCCTTCACAACACTCAGACTTGTGCGTGCGTGTGTGTCCTCCGACACACACACACACACACACACACACACACACACACACACACACACACACACACACACACACACACACACACACACACACACACACACACACACACACATACATACATGCCCCCTTCCCCATGGTAAAAAAGAACATGATTGGCTGAGATCAGATGAGCCAGACCAGTTAAGATAAGGATAAGGAAACGCCATCAGGGGAGCCATCCACCCCGACAGCAGCAGATCCACAGCAGCAGCCGAGGCACAGACACCGGGTGCCCAGGGCAGGGAGGGCAGAGTCCCCCCACCACCACCCAGGCACACATGTGGGCCATCCCCATCTGTACCGGGTCGGCCCGGGCCGGGTAGCCCCAGTCGGCCCCCAGCCTGGCCCGGTTGATTCCACACATCCTTGCCTTAAGCCCATGTGGGCTGATTCTACCCACCAATCAGAGGCTTGCTCTAATGGAAGGTGTGAATTTGCTGTCAGCAGTGGGTGTGTTGGCCCTGGTCGGCCTGAAGCAGACCCCCTCGAGAAGAGGGCTGAGAATGAGCCTTGGTTGGCCCAGAAAAATACCAGGCCACCCAGATATGTAAACAACCTACGCTACCCGACCCGGGTCGACCCGGTACAGATGGGAATGGCCCAATGGAAAACACCCAGGCCGCCACAGCTGACCACCACCGTCGGGGCAGAGGGCTCCCACAGAGGAAGCACTGGAAAATGGTTAAATTAAGGTTAAAATATAAAATCCAAAGGGCTAAAATGAGAATTGTAATATAAAAAGTTATATAGATATTAAAATAATGTTGATCATAAATCAAGGTAAAAAACTGTTTTAAAAGCACGTATAAAGAAAAAATACATTAAATAAATAAAATAAATAGATAAAATAAGTGGCATTGTGATTCTGTGTCAGATGATAATGACTGGAACTTATGTTTCAGTCATTTTTAGATGAATCAAAACTCATCAGTCATAGAAAAGGTTAGTTGAAAAGCCATTTTTCCCCAAAACGTACAAAGTTTAGGGCAGAACATCACCCAATAATGTTTTCATGAATATAGAGAATACACTTTTGTAGGTTTACTCAGCAAACACGTGATGACCGGCAGGATTTGGAGAGTAAAGCCTAGTTTATGATTCTTCGTCTGCGTCGGTACGGAGACACGCAACGCCATTATCCGTCCTTGCGAGGGATCTCTCCAGCAGGCTCGCAAGAACGGACGGAGTCGAGCTCTCTTTTCTAAACATCCGTCTAAAGAGATGGAGAACGCAAGCTTGTGATTGGTCAGGACACCGCTTTTGTCAACAGCAGCGCCATTGCACCCTCAAAAACAAAGATATCTAGCAGCAGACATGAAGCAGACTGAATAATACCTCATGGAAAAAACTCTAAAACATGAATGATTATTCACCCGTGACTGCGGAAGTGAAAAGGTATAGGCAGCAAGCGTTTTATTTTTGTGAGTGACGGAAAGGGTGGGTTTAGAGGTGGCGAGCACATGAAGAGGTGGAGGAGAATGAGGGACAAATTTGTCCGTGTTAAAAAGTCTCTGAAATAGATAAACACAATAAAAACACAATTAAATGCACTATATTGGACCGGATACATGATGTTGTTCTGCGGCAGAGCCACAGGGAATTGCTTTGCAACACTCCCCAGGAGACGGAGAAGTATGAGGGCAAAACGCTTCCGTCAATCCGTGCGTGTCTCTCCCTCGTGGCGCTGACACAGAAGCATAAACCAAGCTTTATTTCCTGGTAGTTGGACATCTCGCCTCTGATTGGATAACAGCAGCACAACCACTGACTCAATTTTTTCTGCAACATTGATGTTTTATCTCCACAAATGACACAAGCCTGAAAAGGTTCTGCCATGTGGTGGAGTTGCTAATGCTAACGGTTAGGTCCTAGTAGCTCTGCTCTCTCCTCAACAACAGCCTTCCCTGCAGCAAGCCAAGATGGGTGAGTCCATGAATGATTATTTTCAGTGGGATTTAGCTCTCACTGGCATTTTCCCTTATATTTTCTATCGGCAGCTAATGGAGGAAATAGGGGTAGAAAGCTACTTTCATGCTTAGTAAAAGACGATTTCTCAGTGAACTTGGCTGATCAAAACTTGCCGATTAGCTCAGGCTTCATTGTCTTTCTGACCCCCAAATTCCACTACCTCCGCTCCGCTCCGACACGAACGCCGGAGCAAAATCGGTCCCGTTGTAGTCAATCAGAGCAATTCCACTACTGTGGCCGTGCTCCAGCAGTGCGGCGCCGTGCGCCGCCCTCTGTTCCGGCGTCCGGCAAAAATAGAATCGATCCTATTTTCGCCGGACGCCGGAGCACCTCCGCAATAAATGGACAGAAATCACAACGGCCCAACAGGAAAAGGAGCAAGCACAACTTCCATTTTTCACAATAAATCGATAAACAAAAGGCGTTTTTTGTTTCATACGCACAGGTTTAACAACTTTTAACAACTATCAATGGCGGCTGAAGTTTAAATGCACAAAAGTAAGCCATAAATACAGTTTCTACTATCAAAGTAGTCGCACTTTGTTGATCCAAACACTGCTGATCTCTCAACACAAATGATGGGCAGATTAAACAGTTCATTTCGATGCTTCTCCCACACAACGGGTGTTTGGATCTACCTTCCGCGTTTATTGCTCGGACTGTATCGCAAGATCTCGAAAATCCAGTGCATGCTTGTTTGCCCACCTCAGGTCTCCGCACCAGAGCGGAGCAGTTGTAGAGCGGGTACCAGTAAAAATTGAGTTCGGAAGCGAGCGGCTGCGGAAGGCGGGGGCGGAGCGGAGCGGAGGTAGTGGAATTTGGGGGTTATTGTAAACTGCTAATACTGCCCTCTGCTGTTAGGTTGCAAATTAAAGCTGTAGTCAAGAACTTTTCCACTATTTATCAAAGGTTGTCAAATTACACAATTTATGGAGACTGGTGAGCAATGAATGAAAGCACACTCTTTATTTCCTCCCACAAATGTTTCCACTTTCAACATGGAACCCTCAATTAAAAAATATCTTTTCTTTAGCTTCAGCAGTGGCAGAGGGCGCTCCATCCAAATAAAACCCTGCACTACATGACACCCAAGCAACATTGTACAGTCTGAACACACCAAGAACTTCCAGATGAACATGCATAACAGAACACACACACTTCAGAAGATTCTGTGGTGAGATTTCTCAAGGCCAAAGGCGTCTAGAGAAAGTGCCGCCATGAGCTGAGTCTGCGCAGAAGAAGGCGGGTAAAAGTGCTGCTTTTCTCATGACATCAGGCAAAAAGACCGGAGGAAACACCCGAGCTGTAGCATTATCAGTTTCTGCATTAAATAAATGGAAATAATTTGTTTCAATGACGCTTGTGAACATTTGACGATCTACTGTCTGCTTTTACACAATGACACCTCCATTAAATGTATAAAACCTCTAAAGCATTAAACAAAATAAATACTCTAAACAAACATCTTTTTTTTTTTTTAGAAAAGCATCCCAGTTTACTTAATTTCTAGTCAGGAAATCCTGACGATCCTCCAGCACTACAGCATGTTCATCAGATGTTAGCGTTGAAACAAATCTAGGTCAACAGTCCTCGTTGTCTTTTCTACTCGTCCAAAAAAAAAAAAAAAAAAAAAAAGCATCAGCAGCAAGTTTCTACTCTGACTTCCTAATTTACTCCTTGGCTCTTCTACACGTCTCTTGGAGAAATCCAGCTGACAGACTGATAAATAGCACCGGGTGATGAGACGAAGATTATTTTGAGTAAGTACAAACAAAAAACGGCTCATGTGGGGATACGGGAGCAGTCTAAACACTGGAAGGGGGCCATGCTTTTTTGCCACTTAAGAGAGGATTTGGGGGAATACAGACGGCTGACGCCTCCTTCCTTTCACAGTTTCTCCTCTGTTGCGCCTCGCTTCCCTTTTACATTCTACTTCTCAGCTCTCCAACTGTCCATTGGACCAATTTCCTTGACAACATTCCCAGTAGTTTTTCACTTTGGGAATTTGCAAATTGTATGTTTGACATTTAGTTAGGCCTTTAACAAAATATTTCTCCTTTTATTTTCCGTTCCTCGCTTGGTCATCATCTTCTCCCTAAACGAAGGCCTCTGGGACGTCCGAGCCATTGATTTTAATGTAGATCTTTGCATTTTCTGCTTTCCGCTGTTGCTGTTGATGAAGCGTCCGTCTGTAGCAGATCAGGTAGATAGGAAGCAAGAAGCCCAGCATACTGAGCACAAGGAGTCCAATGTTAACCTAGAGGAGGACACCAGCATTAGACAACACTGAGTGTTTAGATATATGTGTGTGTTTGGGTGTATTTCTGTTCATACCCAGAATGGATCTCCTCCCAGAGGTCCCATCATAGCTAAAAACAGAGGCTGCTGCAGGAGAGCGAAAACTGCACTGACCAGCGACTGCATCCCAGTTAAACTGCCAAACTGTGACGAGGGATATCTGAAGAAACAAAAGAAGATTCGTTAAGTGAACTGTTGAAGTTCAAGGATGATGCTTAAATATGGTCCAGATCCAATGCTTGACTCAAAGTGACTGATACGTACACAGCAGCATAAAGTCCTCCAACAGCAGAGTGAATGAATCCTCTCACCACAGTGTGCAAAATGAATGACACGATCTGACAAAATATCCAAACAACATAAAGTAACACACATCATTCAGAATCATCCAAGAGACACAATCTGTATCAGAGGCGGACGCTCACCTGTAAAGGGAGATCAGGTATCAGGCAGGTGACTCCAAAACCCACCAACAGCACGTTTGTGAGGACAAATGCTCGCAGGGCGTTGGTCACTTTCTGTGTTTTCTTGTCCCTCCGCTTTGGTTCATCCCTTGTAGTTAAACAGAGAGAAGTTATAGTGTTATCACAGCTAGGTTTAAATCTCAGCTTGGTTTGGTGATCATAGGCTTGTTTCCACTACCGGAGCATCTGGGTAATTCTACCACATGTTCGTAGCATGTGTGTGTCCCCATTTCACCAGGTGGGCCCAAAAGAACCACTTTCAGAGCACCTGAACCAGTGGTGGCTCCAGGGGGGGCGCTAGGGGGCGCTATAGCTACCCCTGGATTAGTCATTGCACCCCCAAGTAAATGTTAGATTTTTTTTTTTTTACAATTTAATTTTAATTTAACGTGTGGATGTGATAATATTTAATATACAAAACAAAAATAATCAGTAAATTATCATAGAGATGGTAAAAACTTAAACCAAAACAGGAAATTGATGTTAACCTATGACCTCATTTTCCACCTGCGAACGAGTGAAAGGTAGAGCTAGTGGTAAAATGGATCGGTTTTTGTTGCCCAAATTTCCGCAGGTTCAGTCAGAAACGAATGACTCTTTGGAAGTGATCTCAGACCCACAAAACCCTACGGATCTGGAAGAAGAGAGTCAAACCTCAACCGCTGCAGCAGTCGAGGGTTTTGCCGCTGGAAATGCTAATGCTAACGTTAGCTAACCTTGCAACACTATAGATGGTTTTCTGTGTGGCTGTATGTGTTTATGATTTCATGGAAAATTCAGCGATTGTTCATGTGTTTAGGATGTATATTAATGATTGTTTTAGGTGTTGTTGAGGTTTTGTGCACGCATGTGTATCTGCTAGTGTTGAAGGTGTTTTAGAGAACAATAGATGCGCATGACCACTTCCTTCATAGCACCCTCATTAAAAAGACTAGCTCCTTCATAGCACCTGCGGAAAAAATCTTCTGGAGCCGCCACTGACCTGAACTAGGGTATGAAATCAGAAATGGCCCGGGAGAGTCACTGGGGAGGACTTGTGGTTAGCTTATGTTGATTAATTGTAACTCAGTAGGAAGTTACATTGGTAGCCATCGCTAAACAACCAGCATTTGTAAAACTGGAAGAGCTGCTGGTGAAGCAGAATGGAAGAAAAAGCAAATAAGTAGCATTCACGCTGTTTAAAAATCGTTGGTTCAAACTCCTAACATCGAAGAAATGCGATGGAAATCCCCTCACAACTCTGTCATTATTAGCCTCTTTAAAACACCAAATAGTTCCTGAGCGCAGCCACTGCAGCTCACCCCCGTGGGGATGGGTCAAATACGGATATGTAATCTCCCCCTGTGTGTGATGATGACTTATGGGACTTTTAAGGTGTACATTCAATGCTCTTAATGTCCACTGATGGTTTGTGACGCTGATCAGTGAAGTCACTAACTGCTGAAACGGGGATATTCTGATGTCTTAGAAAAGTGTTGAAACAGCCAAGTTTGTTTGGATACACAACGGCCGACGGGGCTAAGCTATTTCCTGTCACCGACCCAGAACTCCCGTAGCGGAAACACGTGTAAAGACATAACGCTTGTCTCATCCAGAAGAGCCTTCAGCTCACTATTGCCACAGTTCACTTTTACACTCTTACTGAGTGAATGTGGATTTAAAATAAATATTTTAGGCAGAGCTTTTATTGTTCTTTGTAATAACCCCCCCCCCCCCCAGATTTGACTCACTTGCTGAAGGGCTCCTTGTCGTCGTCACCATCATCACACTCCTTCAGTTTCCAGTCCATGATCTGACCAATCACAGGGGTCGTCATCAGACAAAGCAGCTGCAGCACGCCAAAGATGGACGAGTACAGACTCACTGGGAACCAGAACCAGGATATTATAATTGATTAGGAATACTGGGAATTTTTCTTCAAAAACGTAAGAAGTTCTGGTGTTGAGACATTGCTGGGAGAGGACGAAAGGTTTTCTCTAGCCTGGGTAATTTCTGCGGTACAGTTAATAATTAGTCCATATCAAGTACAACAACAAGGTTGTTCAAAAGTCAATAAGGCGCCATTAGGAGGGGGATATGCGCCTCGGAGAGCAGTGGTACATGAAGTGTGAATGATGTGAAATGAATGCTCTGCTGGTTCTTGGGGAAGGACGTTGGTTAATGAATAAACTAATGGTGGTTTCGGAGCGAAGCTGAACAACTGAAGGGTTATTAGTTAAAGCAACCACATCAGCTGACAGAAAACTAGCAGCTAAAGCAAAAACAAAGATCAGGGAGTGGATCGAGTGACCTTGACGAAACTAATAGTTAAATTCTGTACGACCAGCTGGATATTGACAAACCTAATGCTTCATAATCTACTGATTTTTATCTTACCAACTTCCATCCTTTCAGCTGAAAATTCAATGAAATCAAATAAATTAAAAATTGTCATTTTTTTTATAAAGACAAATGGTTACAGGAGGTAATGCACTCAAACAAACCTGTATTGAGGTCTCCATCACAGAGCGACTCCAGGACACTGTTCATGGCCCCCATGTAGAACAAGAGGCGGAGCTGAGTGATGCACATGGTCAGCGCACTTAGCAGGAAGATGGGGCTCATGATGCTCTTCAGGAATGACTCGGCTATGGTGGGGGAAAAGATGAAATGATAAAAAATTCCAGTAACAATAGGATGTTTTATGAATATGAATGAAGACTTACATTCTTCCTGTGGCTTGCTGCTCATCTCCAGGTCCGTAGTGGAGAGGCAGAGGTTGCGTCCGTCATTAGCAACCACCTCTTTCTGTTTCACATTGTTGCTCACGCTCAGACGACGGCCCACTGTGGTCACCTGCCGATAGAACTGCTTCCCAGTGATTTTATGGTCAAAGCCCAGCCAGCTAAACTTGATCTTCACTCTGAGAAGACAAAGAAGAAACCAGCGATGTTGCTTAAAATCTTTTAATTCCCAAGCTTGGTGCAAGACCTTGTGTATCAAGTGTACATGTAACATCTCTGTCTGCATGTGGGTTACTAACGTGTAGTCCATGTCTTCTGGTCCTGGGAATGGTTCTAGAGGCCAGTTGAAATAGCAGTTAAGGAAGACCAGACCAGCACAAGCAGCCCATACCACCAGTATGGTGATAAAAGAAATGCCCAAATCATAGATGACCTGCAGACAAAATGTAACACAAACGTTAAAGGGAAATTTAGGAATTCACAATTTTTAAATTTGAAAAGTAATTTCTGGACCAATAAAAAATAACGAATAAATATTTTTTTTATGTCTTTATGGCATTCATGTTATTATATAATTCCATAAAATTCATTTATATTATATTAACATTAGACTGTATATAATTGTGTTTGATTAACTGATATATTTCTATTATTTTTCATATTTCCTTGGTAAACTGATTTAACAAGAATGGCAGCAAAATGTATACATTATACTGCTCCCTTAATAAATCAGACAACCGAAGAATAGCAGAGCAGCAAGTTTTGAATTTGAATCAGTCTTTTAAAGGAGTGGGTGACTCGTTTAATCAGTACATTTGCAGTGGTCTCTAGTAGGAATGAATGCCTTACAAGTCGTTCTCGGGGGGGGGGGGGGGGGGGGGCTTGTCCCGGTGCACCATTTCTCAGACCTAAAAGTTGCCCACATCACAGCTGAGCTTCAGACAACAGCTTTTCTTGATATTTTCACATCTTGCCCCCAGATTGGATAACAGCAACGTGACCCTACCACTAACTTGCCACATGGATATTTTATCTCCGTAAATAACACAAACCTTGAGGAGCGTCTGTCATGTGGTGAAGTTGCTAATGCTAACGGTTAGCTTCTACTAGACGAGAAGTTCTCTTATGATTCCTGGACGTTGAAACAACAACAGCCCTCCCTGTCATGAGTCAAGACGAGCGAGTCCATGAATGTTAAGTGTGACGTAGATCTATCAGGCTTTTAAAATCCTAGTTTCACCGTCTGTTTTCTATCAAAAGCTAATGCAGGAGATAGGTGTAGGAGACTATTTTTATGTTCAACCTGCATGAAAAAGTGACTTATTATAATCAGAAAAAAACATTGTAAAAATGGTTTTCTAGTCAACCACACCTTTAAGGGCTCAAACATTAATCAGTAAAGACAGACTTTTCCTTTTCTAATAAATCTAATGGTTAATTTTATTTTAATAAGATGGACAAAAATGTTGTTGCAAAGCAGATAACATGGCTCATAAAATTATGACTTTCCTTGTTTCTCCCATGGAACAAAAAAAGATAATCCTATGAAATATAATGTACTACCATAGATTAAACCACCCATTTGTATATAGAACGAAGCAGGCTCAACATGAAATCTCTGTAGCACCAAACGTCATTGTGCACATTATTGCAGCGGAAGGATCATCCAGCAACACTCACAAAGCAATGTGTTTAAATGTAACGTTTTATTTATTTACTTATTATTATTATTATTATTATTATTATTTTTACCTTAACACCAGGGAAGGTGACAGCAGAGGATGCATAAGAGCCAATCATAAGGGCAATGAAGGTTGAACGGAGGTCTCCAAACATGTTAGGGAGCTAAAAAATAACAGAGAAAAAAAACATAATATGCACAACATTCATAGGTGAATTTACGTCCAACTAACTATGAACATAAAGTACAGTCAGCTGCACTTATTAAATGCGGAGGAGAGAATGGGGGCACCGTGAAAATGATGCCCACTGACACTGAGGTCAGAGGTCACAATGGGAACCAGTTATCAAGCAGACCCACTCCACATCCAAGAAATGAAAGAAAAACACAACACAGAGACATGGAACTGGCAAAAGCAACATAAAACAGCATCACGTAACACACACAGCTCTCCAACAGCCTGCAGACGGATGCTGCACAGCTGAAACAGTCAGAGGGGGGTGACGGAGGTGAAGGACATATAAGGTGATGAGGGAGATGAGTTCAATTTTTGTTTATGTCTTTGATGGCTGTGAGGCAGTGGGCTGCAGCACGCTCCAACATTGAGACATTCACGAGCCACTCTGTTCAACAAGAGAGCGAGCAACAACAAGCTTGTTTAGTTACGCAACTCCAGACATGGCTAAGCTAAATGTGGAGCCAGTTTACACCAGCACTATGATCCTAAATGACTAAAACCGGATTAGAAGCTGCCGGATGAACCTGAAATCAAAAGATGGAGCCAACTCTGTCACCTGAGAGTTACCTAATAACCGGCTGAATAACAGCGCCTGAAGGTCTGAAGGGGAAGTTGTTTTCAAGGAGCAAAGGGTCAGGCTCGCGTACAATGATTAACCTGTCACCCGGGCTTTCTTGTGTAGTTTATCCGGTTGTTAGGGAGAAGGAGTGCGCTTGTGTGTCAGATGGAGGTTGTGATTGGCTGAACTGGAAAGAGCAAAACAAATTAGGCATTCAAGTGGATGCAAGAAACATCACATTAGGGGTAAAAATGTGGCCTGTGGTGGTCTAAAGGTAGTTTTTTATCTTTTAACAGAGTGATTTACTAGAGAAGGAACCATCTTTAGTGGACAGCATCACCATGGTGGAGTCTTGGACTTCTGAGAAAGGTTGGGGAGGCAACAGGAGGATGAGGGATAGCAGGGAAAGAATGCAGAAGAATGGTGAAGCACTGACCCATGTGATGGCTGAAAATAACACACAATCTGTTTTGCTGCTTTGCTCTTGTATTCTTTTGGTTTTAGGGCAGATTTCTGAGCCCCACTCTAGGTTCTGATCAACTCTGGTGATGGTGCAGCTGTGCTTTTAAACATCAACAGCAGGACTGTTCAATATCGTCTTTTTTAACTGATATCCTGATATAATCTGATGTGGGCTTTCCACAGAATGGGTTAGTGGCCTGTTATGTAGACGCATTTCCGCAGCGAGCTGAGTGCCCCATCCCTCCGGGAGCATCTCAGGTGCAAATCGACAACAATTGCATTCCACACAGCTGGTCCCGCAAGATCACAAAATCACCAGAGAATTGTATGATCATACGTGATTTTGACATTTGCAAGGAGAAAGGAGAAAGATGGCAGTATGCATCCAAATAAGGTTTCTAGAATTTGACTAGTTAAGCACCTGGAAATCTGCACCTCTTTTATTTTGAAAGCTGCTAGATGCTCTTGTGTTTGCCTTCCTGTCTGACCCGAGGTAAACTGCTGAGCTTGACACGTTCTTGAAGCATAGCGCATAGCAAATAGATTTCAAACTTAAATTTATCATTACGTTTTTGAGACGAGTCAAAAAACACGCCCGTCGACTCCTATGGCTCCCAAGGCTATGAAGGCTATTTCATTAAATATTTTGTGCAGCTTGCACAGAAAAAAAAGCTGAAATCTGTAAGTTAGATGAGTTGTTTGCTTGTTTGTGCTGACGCCTCCCTTCTGTGGTGTCTTTTTAAAATAAACATAGAAGAAAGTGTTAATGAGCCATTATGATTTCCCTCTAGTCAGCCTCCTTCCCTCTCTGCTATCTGAAATTGGGAACAACGAGTTCAGCACCAGAAGAAAAACAGAGCAGCGTGAGGAATGCCAGAGCAGAACGGGTGGAAGAGGGCGAGCAGGCAGGGAGCCAGCAAACTATTGCAACAAAACACCCAAGCAAAGCGCCGCCAACATATGGAATACACATCTGGACAAACAACTGGCGGCAGGTGCAAGAGAGCAAAAGGTGGTGCAAACACTTACTGTGAGAGAGGTGAAGGTCATGCACATGCCCCCGAAGCCATTGAAAGTCAGGGCAATGAAGATGAGAACAGAGAGCTCTGCCGATGAGACAGATGTTGACTCATCAGACTGTCAGTGACCACTTTGTCAAATGGAGAGTATGGATCATTGTCACTTACCGTTTGGCTTGTAGGCTCCATAAGCAATAAGCAGGCAGGAGAACCCAAAGCATGTGCTAAAAAGAGATTAAAAAAACTCTGACATTTACAGATTTTTCTTGTCTATTCCTCCCATAATCCCATTCCTCCCATCCCTATGCCCTCACCTGCCCAGCAGTCGAAGCTTGCGAGGCCCATATTTGTCCATCACGATCCCCAACGGCAGTGTGATGGCTGAGAGCAGGAAGGAGCCTACTGTGAATGCTAGGTTCAGCATCTCATCCTGTTCTTTACAGATCAGCCACCCGTTCATCCTCAGGGGCTCTTGAGAAACCAGGGGCTTCATCTCCACACCATCTCCCAACTTCATCTTGGGCTCATCATTTTCAAAAATGTCAGCGTACTCATCAGGTGGTGGCATTGGTTGGGAGAGATTGTAGCTGGAGCTGTTACCTGAGCAATGAAAAGATGGAGTTAAAAGAGACTTGTCATGACTTTTTTCTTAAGTTATAATGTTGATACAAATCCTGACGTTTTTTCACGCAAAATCTATCTCACATAGAGAAGTTTCAGCAGTTTTATTCTTGACAGTTTCAGTACCATCCAGAATGAACAGTTTCAGGACTCTGTCACTTTAAAAAAACAGGCTGGAGCTGGCCACGCCCACCCCTCCCCTGCTCAGACTGCTATAAGCTGAGAAGCTCCAATATCAGAGGGGCACAGAGTAGAGCTGCTGCTCCTCCAGCAGCTGCTGCTCTCTCTCACATGTGAAAAATGATTTTATGTACTTTCTCTGTTTGTGACATCACAAACGGGGACTTTTTGAAACAGCTTGTTTTAAGCACATAATCCCTAAAACCAGATTGATGGATTTGTTTTTCACATTTGGTGTGTTTATAGAGACAGTAGAGTTGCAAATGGCAGCACAGATTATGCAAAAGAATAATTTTGCACAATATGTCCCCCTTAAATTACAGGAAATAAAAAAAACAAAGCACTGGATTCGATTCTGCATAAACAGGATCACGGGATCGTGGCACGCGAGTGGTCAGATGTGGAATGGCGGCATGGAAACGTGTGGTAGAAACCTCCAACCACAAACTTAAAACACATCAGCAGAAAATTTGCTGAGACAGGAGATAAATTCTGAATCAGAAGCAAAAACATATGATGTTGTTTTTATTTTCCTGACACTTTGGAATGTCCAGAATAAAAAGTGATAAGTTGGCAGAGCAATTAGCTTATCAGGATCAGGGTGATAATATGAAAAGGTGCAAAAGTCCAGGAGGAGTCCATGGGATGAAGGATAAGGAGATTCGGTTTGGGAACTCAGGAGTTTCGGGATTACAGTGGAATGCCTTGATTCTAGCTTCTCGTGCATGTTTCGTTACACCTGCATTTCAAAATAAAAGTCCTATAGTATTACTCAGGAGAACCAGATCACATACAATGAATATCCTATACATCACAATACATCTCAGAGTTCAGAGTGAACATTTTAGAGGGTGCTTTTTTCAGCACTTGTGTAGTACCAGTCTATTTGTTCTCTTATACAGTCAGAAAAAAACAAACTATGCAACAATAAAAAGGCAGTTTTTTTTCCAAACATTGACGTCATCGGATGTGGTTTTTATTTATGAACCCAGTCACCCACATCTAAGAGGAACTGAGACCACATTGGACGAGTAGAGGGAGGTGGAGTGTACAGTCGGTAAAGACGGATCTCCCTTGCTCTGCCTCCAACATGCCTCCATCTAAAAGGCTAGGTTATCCAGAGTTATCTCTGTAGTTATGCTGCTATAGGCTTAGACTGCTGGAGGACACACTGCCCACTTTCCACACTCGACTACTTTCTTCTACAATCTGCTCTTTAACTATATTAATTCCTGCTATTTCAGCTGTTAACTTTATTTTTTTCTCTAAGTGTTTTTCTCCCCAGAAGAAGCTACAATGATGTTCTGCTGAGCTGTGGTGGCCTCATGGAGGGGGCCATCGTCTAGCACACTACTGCTAACCACTTAAACATTCTCCCTCTCCTGATAATAACACTTTACTTTCCTTGACGTTGGATGTGCTACTACTAGTTTACCCATTTACTTATAGATTCACTAGAATAAATACAATAAAGTTTATCTCTCACCAAATAGAATATTTACTAAGCAATCACAATGTAACCATAGAAACATTACTGTGTGTGTGTGTGTGTGTGTGTGTGTGTGTGTGTGTGTGTGTGTGTGTGTGTGTGTGTGTGTGTGTGTGTGTGTGTGTGTGTGTGTGTGCTCTGTCTTCTTTATCCCCAGTGATTCGTGGTGGATGGCTGCTTATACTGAAGCAGGATCCTCTGGAAGTGTCTTCCTGTTAAAAAGGAGTTTTCCTCTCCACTGTCGCTAAATGCTTGCTTAGTATGAGGATTGCTGTAAATCAATTTGCTGGGTTCCTTATATAGGAAACTTTTTTTCTGATTGGCTTAATGAACTGACCTGTATTGGAATGTTTACTGTGTGAAGTGACTTGAGACGACTCTTGTCGTGATTTGGCGCTATATAAATAAACTAGAATTGAATTGAATTGTTTTTATCCCACTGTTCAACTTGTGTTTGTCCTGCTTGTGCAAAAAAAAAAAGAAAAAGAAAAAAAAGAAAAAAGAAGCCGTCACGTGCACACCACTATCATTTAATCTATATCCATTTACTGTCTTCTCTACAGGTGAACTGATTTGTGCTGCTCATCGTTTTGCTATCAGTCCCTCCCTTTATCAGTGAACTTTAAACTTTCATCATATCGGCAATAAATGCCTGACGTAGATTTTTCTTTTTCCTCGCGCGTGTCACATGCCTGAAAAGAGTCGAGGCGATCAGTTTTCACTCTTGTGTCATCAGAAAGCCAAAAAGAAAAGGAAGCGTGGGTTTTCAGGAAGTCATCTAGTCAGCATCAGAGCAAAGATAGTTTCAGCAGATTTACCTTTTCTTATAATTTATTCTAATCGTCTGGTGTTTAAAAGATGGAATATTCTTCATGCTTTCTCATTTGCTCTCCGAGGCAAGGGCATCACAAAAACAGACTTAGCAAAAGTCTAGGGGAAGAGGATCTTTAGGGGCTTTCTCAAAATAAGCCTGCAGCTTTCTTAAGTTACTGTTCACGAAACACTGGATCCCCTTTTCTCTTTCCCTTTAGACCTCTTACTTTATCTTGAATTGAACAGATCAAGTTTAATCTCTAGAGACCTCAAAACAGTCGTAGAATTCTTCATGGGAGAAAAAACCATTGTTCCAGGAGAACAGAGGAGACGGTAGTGTTGCTTCATGTCTTCTTATCTAATTCCAGATCTCAGTTGGAGTGAATTAACTCTGTTTGCTGTGTTTTGGGTGGAAAGGAAACCCAAGAGACACAGATCTTTGACTCACCCTCCTCGTTGCAAAGGTATGAGTAGAAGCCCTCTGACTTCAGCATGATGAGAAGCGATCCCCATCCCAGCAGCACAGCAGAGAAGAGCAGATTCTCGACGATAGCGGTCACTGCCATCCACCAGCGCCTGGCGAAGGCTGTGGCCAGTGTTGGAGCCATGGTGGAGGTGGAGAGAAGCAAAGCAGCAGGAGGAGAAGAGCAAGCTGGAGGAGCTTCCCTGACGGACGCTCAGGATGAAGAGAGAATGATCACTTATCTGTGAAAGGAGACGTAGAGTTGGGAGGGGGAGGTTTTACAGCCAGCCTATCTAAAGTCAGTGAAGGACAGGAAGGCTTGGCTTCATTTAATCTTTGCACCATAAATGTTCTTCCTGTTTGGAATAAAGTATTAAAGCAGCACTTTCTGATTAATTATTAGATCCCATCAAGGTTCTATAGAGAGAACAGGACTGATTCCAATGAAAGATGATATTAACTCTCCTGCTGATCGAAAAATGAATGCATCATTCAGTTGTTGCAGTAACATCAATGAGAACAGAGAAATCATCCTTCTGAGTTCATCAACAAACTGGTCCAAACTGGACCCAGACAGAAAAGAGAACTCAACACACAGCCCTTGTCTGTTTCACTCACACAGCCACCACCTAAATGTCCTCTCATGTCCATCCAACCGAAACTTTCCTCTGTAATTACCGCTGCATCTGTAACAAGTCGTCTCACAAAGCCGGCCATTGATGGCGGTCCGGACAAAGCAGCAGATTTAAGCATCTGGAGGTTTCATGGGAAACCGTTAATCACACGTCTTTGTGCCAAGTTTTGTTAGATCAAATGTGAATTTTGTCCTAAATGACTTAAAATTCAAGCATTTTTGCTGATGAATAACGTGGCAATAACTGCGTTTTCTCATCCTTTCCAGCCTCCTTATCTCTGGTGTGTGTGAACTGGCTCCCAGTGATCAGGATACTTGTGAAATTCCATTTTATATCTTCTGCTGACTTCTGTCTGAGTGATCCCCCCATAGGCCACTGAGTCTGTTTAAATACCTGGAAACCAACGAATCCTGATGTCAAGTAACACTTCTGACAGAAGAAACTTTATAAAATAATAACAGTGTCTGGAAACATCCCTGCAGGGATCAGCTGTTGTTTTGTGGATCGATTCCATGTATCGACGGAACAGGAGAGCATAGCGAAGCATTGACGCAGCTCCAGCTGTTATTTGAGGTGTTTACAGATGTTTGCCACATTCTGTTTACTCCGGCAGATCCCATTTAAATCTGACTTGAGTGAAGCATTTTCAGCTCAGGTTACCAGAGTTTAAAATCGCTGTTGATTTCATTTTGGTTTGATCCTTCAAGATGTTTCTTTTAAAATGTCATGCAGTCGTTTCTCAACATCTGGCGCAGGCTTTAACAATTCCACAAGCCAAATGTATGTGATGAAATAGTTTTTTGTGACTTCCTGGAAAGTTTAAACAATTCTACTGTCCATAAGTAGATTTTTAGTATATTTTAGATTATTCAAAGTTATCATTAAGGTATAAAATAATTTCTACTATTTATTTTTTCATTTCTTTAGAGCTGAATGTTACAATATCCTAATGCCTTTATGTATGTGCTGCCTTAACAAGTGAATTTCCCCACTGTGGGGTCAATAAATGTTATTCTATTCTATTCTATTTAAAAGTCTGATTTCAAAGTGTCCAACAAAAACTTGTTTTTCAGTTTAAAACTCTCATGTTTTTCCCGTGGACTCTGGCTCGGCTGCAATCGTTACGCGAGTCAATCAGCGAATGAACAACAGGGGCCAAACTAACACTGAAAGACTAATTTAAGTGTTTCTGAGGTCAAATTCTCAGATAAAGGGTTAAAAAAACACTCCCTATCTGCTCTGATTTGAAATTCGGGGAATCCATTTGTGCAGACGGGACAGAGGACCGCTCAGATAAGTCTAAGTGCCTGAGGGCTGGTTCGTCATTGTCTCGCTACAAACTCATCAAACACAGGTAAATGCAGGTAATCAGCTGTGAACGGTTTTATTTGAAACATTATCACTTCCTCCTAAATGATCTATTCAGTTGTGAAGTGAAATAAGTTCATTTATTCAGGTAGGAGGTTTAAAATCCAGCTTCTACATATTTGATTATAAATTTAGTCACGTTCAAAATGATAAATTAAAAACCAGAAAAGGTATAAAAATAAATAAATAAGTTGGTTAATAAACAGAAAGTCTAAATTTTTTTGATTTGAAATCAAGGAAATTATTACTCAGAATAAAAGTGAGGATCAAATATTTGAAATATTGAAATGCATCCAAATTCAAACAAAGCAGTCAGCCTTTTATTTTGCATGCGTAAGATACATAAGTAGACATACATAAGTAATTTTACACATTTTCCCAGTCAGTTTCAGCAGAAGCATCTTACATTTACATAAAAATATATGAAAAACATTCAAATTTTCCTGATAAAAATGTATTTTTTTAAATGCAAGTTTGTCTGCAGGACTTTACTTCCATGGTTACATAAAACATAATATCCAGTATATGGATGGTCCTTAACTGCACATTTTGAAAGCTAAAAAAGAAATATATTTCATAGATAATGTTATTTCTACTGTATTTTTTAAAGAAATATCAGGTCATGAGGCTTTTAAATCAGTATGCGTTATTTTCAAGTTTGTATTCATTTAAGTGTATTTAAAACCACCGGATAAACAACAAAATCAGTTATTTGCTTTTGTGCCAGCTTATTTATTTTCTAGTTGACAGATCGCCCCCTTGTGGTGACAAGTAAAACTTACAAGATGTCTTCACAGTGAGAAATCATTCCCAAAAAAATACATAATTTATTCACACAACGTCATTGTTTAGTCCAAATATAATTTAAAACATCTACCAAGACAAAACATTGATACATAAAGCTTCTTTTTGTTCTGGGGAGTAAAATCAGACTAAAACAGCAGCAGCCGTCATTTGAGGAAACTATTGTTTGATTGTTCACATAAATAACATCCAGCAAACATATGTGTAAAAACTATCCCTGCATTTTTGTAGTAGTGCATCAAGAAGCACCGTTGTGATTTCACACGTACAATCCAGCATCCGTGTTATTAGTGGTGCAGTTTAGCTGCAATGAGACCGAACATCAGAGTCTTAAAGGAAGATTTATTTTCAGACCCTGCTCCTGGGAAGAAAACACAAGAAAAACAAAATCAGAATTGGTGTTATGGCTAAATGTTCTGATCATTTTAGGCACAAAATTATTGTTTTTATAACAAAATAAAAGTGAGTCTGTCCGTCTGCAGGCACTCGTTTGACTCAGATGACAAAATGTCCCTTGCCCAACACCAACTAAGCAAAACAGGCAGATAACATTTACAAAAACATTCCTCTTGATTTGCAGTCCAGAGGAAAAAAAAGTCTGACCTTTAACCTTGTGCTAGAAACCCTGATCTGTGACTGTAATAACGGCCCTAAAAGAGTAGTTTATTGTTTTCTGTCACTTGTGTCAGACTTCTGCAGGTTTCTATGAATGATGGTTTGACGTGATTAGTTCCGAAACAAACACAAAACTAAAAATACTTAATAATCTAAAACATATTACTTATAAACTTAGTTTGAAGTCTGGCTCTGTGTGTTTTCTTGCTAGGCGAATGCAATCAAGACTTTTAAATGATGCCATCATCTGAAACGATGTTGTCGAAATAATTAAACACACGTATATGAGGTGTTAAACAATTACAGTAGTTTTCTACAAAAATTAGATTTTATGTTACCTGTTGTGGATTTCTCTGTAAATAAGGGAAAAAGCATAAAAGCAAGATGTCAGAGGAACCTAATAAAACCAGCTTTAAAGGAGTTCATGTTTCATTGTGAGACACACACACACACACACACCATGCTTTCCACGCTTACCTAAGATGGTATAGGTGGTATCCATGCCAGCGAACAAGTGATCGTCCACGTGGCAATGAAGCAACCACGTCCCCGCGTTTCCAGCCACCATCTCCATTTCCTGGGTAGACCCAGCGAAAAGATCGTAGACATCTCCCCTGTGCGTGGTATCAATCTGACACACAGAGGAAACACAGTCAGAACCACAAAGAGGAAATGTGAGGAGTTGAGAAAATCTTGGTTTTTAAACCAAACAAACCTTGTAGGTGAAAGTCTCCGCGTGGTAGTGGGCAGTGTGCACGTCGATGAAGTTTCCCATGGCCATGAGATGCCAGCTGACCCTCTGGCCCCGCCTCATCACCAGTCCACGAAGGTTTCCGTACACTCGACCATTAATTCCTGTCATAAACACACATTATCAATCAATTAGATGTTAAAAGCAATGAAGACATGATCGTGAAGAGAATGTACTTATTACATTTTTACTAAAATTATCTTTTTTTGTGTTTTTTGATCACATTTAAATGTTTAAGTTTTATTTTTCATGATAAATGTACTGGAAGTTTCATTTTTAGTTTTACAAATTCCTCAACGTTTTCATTCAGGTTCTTATAATTATTTGCACATAGGGATGTTCAATTTCAGCCTTTTTACAGATAACCGATAGACCGAAATAGTCTAACCATCAATTTCTGATATTGATATGAACCAATACCAATAACAAAACATACAAAAACTAAATTGTTTTAATTTAACAACATTTTGTACCTCCTACCTTGTAAACTTAAACTTTAAACATTAATTTTGCAAAATATGACAACCACTTGAATTAAGTTAAGCCATCTGTTCCAAATAATCTTAAACTTTACCTGTGATCTGCTTTATTTTGGCATTTTGAGTGCGAGGAAAAGTAGCTGAAGAGTATGGTATGTAAAACCGATACTGATTATTTTCGACATTACATTTTAATGCCAATAACAGACATCCCTACATTAAACATGTATTCCCCTCTAAAAGCGCCAGTAGTTTCCTCTTACAAAAACATTTTCTTCTTGCACTGATAACTCCACCTTACCATGCATCATGTTACTCTCATGAAAGCCAGGCCCCTTGTCAAAGGTGGTGGGGTCAACACCGAGGTATGTTCGAATGTTGTCATCCAGGTACCAGGACTGGTTTTCATCAAAGATCATAAAGAGCAGAGCAAAGTCCTTGTCCACATCCTTCCTGTATCTGTTGGACCCCTGGTTTTCACTCAGGGTGCCACATCTGCATATGATCAGCGGTCCAATAAGCCCGCTGTACAAGTCCTAAACAATAACACAAAAATGTGTTTTGTTAAAAGAGCTTCAGCTGCTATTCAGGTTTATAAGTGTTGCTGTGAAGTAGAGGTGGTCAGCATCATTGTGCCCATGTCGATAGATTTGGTAATAAAAAAATTAAATGATATGTGTAGGTTGGCAATGTTCATGTCCCTTTAAAATGCTGTGCTACGGACCGGATTGGGTGGAGTTAGGTGACTAGGTGCCATGATGGCTATAACCACAGCCATGGTGGGTATAACCAAAGCCACGGTGGATACAACCACGGCCACAGTGGCTATAACCACGGCCGGCCACGGTGGTTATAACCACGGCCACGGTGGTTATAACCACGGCCACGGTGGCTATAACCACGGCCGGCCACGGTGGTTATAACCACGGCCACGGTGGTTATAACCACGGCCACGGTGGCTATAACCACGGCCACGGTGGTTATAACCACGGCCACGGTGGTTATAACCACGGCCACGGTGGCTATAACTACGAGCACAGCCAATGTGCTATGAGCATAGCAGTTGGCTGCTAGGACCACAGCAACTGTGGTACGGGCAGAGCACTGCACAGCCACGTTAGCGTAATATGATGACGCATGAGTTCAAAGTACACCAAAGACATTTGTTAAACATCAAATCTGAACAAAGATTCAAATATGAACACATTTTTCAATTACTGTACTTATAAACTGCCAAAACAATGCTTCTCAGTTACGTGTTGACCTATCACAAAACCTTTAATGTAAAGGAGTCTGTCCAGGCAGTGGGTGCTGTCATAACAATTAATAGCTATAGCCTTTGGCTGTTCTCGTAGCTACGGGAAAGCAGTCACAGCCTTTTGTGGCCACGGGAGCGCCCTCATTGCTACAATTGGAGCTCGGCCTCCCCCAGCTTTTTTGTAATGCTGTGTTATATTGCTTTTGCTACTGTATGTGGCTCATTAAACACATAAACCATTGTGCGCATGTGCTATTGTGCGCATGTGCTATTGTGTGCGGTTGTGTGTGCACCTGCTCACACGCTGCTGAGTTGTTGTGCCCCACCTAACTTATCATGCCAGAGACGTCCCTGTGTACGAGTATTGTCCATTTAAGGTAATCGAGGTGACCTGCTCAATAAATCAGGATATTGATTCAAGGCCGTATCACCCAGCCCTACTGCAAAGGAGTTCTGTGAGTGAGACAGTGTGAAGGACAGACGTACTTTAGGGTAGTTAACAGTAGAATGGTAGAAACTGACAATGCAGTTGAGATCATCAGGCCCAGGTCCGGAACTTTCAGGAATATCCCACGTCAGCTCAAGAATATTACCTAAAGCCAATAAACCCACACAATAATTACCAACCCTTGTGCTTTAATGAATAACCTAATTTTGGACTTTAAAATATATTCAAGAGATTCTCACCAGGTTGGACAGCAACATGTGAACCACTGGCCTTAAGTCCATTCAGGTTAAGAGAATATGGCCGACTTGCTTTGTTCTTAAATGTTATCACAACCAGCTCTCCGACCATTGCGTAGATACGCGGACCTGAAGGGAGGGATCATCTGTGTCATCCACAGTCTTTGAATTTGTTTTAGAAAAAATAAAGAAACACAAGAAAGAGCAACTAATCTTACCCAGAATCCCCAAATGTTGCTCGTGTGGCTGCCGATTCTTTCGAACGCTGAAGGTTTCATCGGTGTATTCCCTATACACTGCCTTCTTATAGCGGGATCCAATCCGGTCCGGCCCTTTACCCACAAATGTGTTACCTGGACTGGGAGACATGTCAATTTGCTTCCGTTAACATACATAAGTTATACCACTAACTGCAGGCTCTGGTTATAAAACCCAAGCACATACTCCCCCTGTTGTCTTTACTCACCTGTTGGCTTCGGAGGTTTGGAAAAATTCCAGCTCCCATTTTCTTGAAGGTGAGTAGTCCCATTCCTGCTCTTCAGCACTGATAAAATACTGCACCACCTTGGTTGGCTCTTTGTGTTTTTGCTTCTTTGATTTTCCTGGACAAAACCTCACCCTGTATAGCTGCCTCATGCCTGCTTCATAGTGGTCTGTTGTCCTGCATTCCACACCATACACACCTATCAGAGAGCAATGAGGAGATTTCTGAAGAAGCCTTAATGTGCAGTTTATTGTCTGAATTATAATTTTTTTATTATTATTACATCAATAAAGAAATAAAATTGACACTTGCCACCTGTAGATCCTCCACTAGAGGGCAGTAGAAATGTATAGGATTGGATATGGCAGGTTTTTGGTGAAGGTACAAATCCTAATACTCTATCTGGACACTTATGGTGCAGTTTATAATTAGTATGTAACTAGTAGCTGTTTTTAAAATATTTGCATCATATTTTAACAAATCATGGTTTTGTGGTTTGAAAATAATAATTTAAAAATTGTTATTCTTTTGTCATTTTTAAATGAAGAATTCTTAATCATCAAGAGTTCATAGAGTAATGTGTGAGCATGAACAATGGCCTCCAAGTAAACTGACAAAGAAAGCCCAAAACTGTCATTTTTCTGATTGTTTTAAAAAACAAGTTCATTGTGTGGCTGCCTGACCAACATTTTGAATTCATTAGTTAATAAAAAACATTCTTAGTGATCAAAACAGATTAAATGTCCAGACAGGGCATTATACCTAAGTGCTTTTGCAAAATAATTAAAGGCACACTTAGCAGTTTAACTTGCTTTTAGTACCCCCTACTGTCCATTATTATTATTTGTGGTCAAAGCAAAAGTGAAACTTTTCTCCTTGCTGAACGTTTGTTGTTTTAACACCTTAATCTAACAGCTGAGATGTCTCCCCAGCCTTCATTAGGGTCTACAGGAGTGATTAAACACTAAATTAACAGATCAACTGTGTTCATGATCTAAAACATGGAGGAAACCTGCTGAAAGTAGACTGCAGTGCCAGGTATGTCAGCTCAATGTTTTATCAGTCATGACCAGCACTCTGAAGTTGCAAATGCGGTATTCTGACCACAGCAGGTGGTAGGGGTCTGAGTGACATTTCATTAACTCTGTAAAGGGTCGTTTAGCACATAATGGCTTAAGAGAATTATTTAAAAATATGAGAAAGTTGCAAGGTATCATTTTAATTTGTGTCACTTTGCTCTTATTAATACACGGTTAGACTGCTTTTAAAAGCTAATATTGCATGTTCCATGTATGGAATCACACAGATATATATATGTGGGAATTAAAAACAATTAGAGGAAACCATTTTCACATTTCCTGTTGTTTGTTGAAATAAAAATAAAAAATTCTTCACAAATCCTGTCACTGTACAATTTCAGCAGGAGTTATGTTTTGTTATGAGAAGATAATCTTATTTAAAGTTCATCAGTCTTGCAGACCTGCCGAAAATGTGCGTTTGAACATAACAAGTGATGCGACTAACCAGGGTTGTTTGGATGCATGACGAAAGTCGAAGACATATGAGGAAACAAGGTGACCGTGTCCCGGGTGTTGTTGAACATCTTAACCGTGTTTTCCTCAAAAAAGATACCATGCATGTCTGTTTCCGAGCCCATTCCAAAGGCATACCACACAACATTGTCTCCGGAACACATCCCCAGTCCAAATAGGTTCCCGTACAGGCGACCGTTAACAGCTAAAATAAACAAAAAAATAAAAAATAAAAAAATCAGAATAATTCCTTTTGATTGTCAAAATACAGTCTAGAAGCACCAATCTTTACCAAATTACTCAAAACTCAGCATGTTATGGTAGATGTTGTTACCGTGCTTTCTGTTGCTCTCCAAGAAGTCTGGATCTTGCTTATTTGTTTCACTGCTGCCAAATCTTTCAATGTTCTTGTTCAAATACCAGCTCAAGTTTTCATCGATGATTGAAAAAAGGAGGAAGAACTCCTTATCCACGCGCTTCTGTAAAACAATAAGCACACAGAGTCAGGATGTTTAGATTTTGTTTACATTTGACACAAATCTAAAGGTACTTCAGGCATCCGTTCTAAAACAATCACAGACTTAAGTTTAGGAAGAAAGTTCATGTGCATTCAAGTTTCTTAAATGTGAATTTTCTGCACGGATGAGAATGCATGTTAGACCTGGTGTCCATTCTTTCCCAGAACATTGGGTTTGCACACAAGCATAGGCCCACATAACCCAGAGCTGGTGTCCATGACGGGATCAGAGGCTGAGTAGTACATGTAGGGAATACAATCCGGATCGGATGAAGAGGGGCCTTCCAGAACTCGCCATTTGTAGGTGAATTCAGATCCTGGATGGACATGGGCTCCTGGATGGTTAGTTCCTATGAAGAAAAAGACAAAAGGAGAAACAAATCAGATCTGAGATGATCCACATCTACACAGAATCATTATTTTTTTAATTCATAATTTTCTTTTTTTGGTAAATAAAGACATTCTTGCCCAAGTCTGCCTTCTCATGGGAAAACATGGAACAAAAACCTACAGTTCATCAGTAGTTTCTCCATTAGTCTGTGTTCTGAATGAATCTTTCAGTGTTTTTCAGATAAATATTCATGGAAAATTACAGCATCCCAAAAAATGACTCCTCATGTTTTTGAGTGTCTTTACTGAAGTAACTGATTCATCCCTCACCATCTTCATAGTCGGTTCCCTGGAAGTGTTTTTTATAGTGAAGTCCATGAGGATGCATACTGACATTGTGGTCTGCCTTGTTCCACAACGTCACCAGGAGAAAGTCTCCTACCTCGCACCTCAACACTGGACCTGAAAAAACATGGAGAAAAAGCTAAAGGTTGACGTATGATAGAAAAAAGACAAGATGGTTGACATTTAACTAGGCCTTTGGTGGAAAACAGAAGACTTACCCATGAGTCCTAAATGTCTGTCATAATGAGTTGTCGGTTTTTTAGTGGTGAAGGTGGCATCTGTGTACTGTACAAACTTCGTTTTATAATATCTGGCTCCAATTCTTCCATTGCTTCTGCCGAAATACAATTCGGATGTGCTATGAGAGGAAAGAGAGGAAAGTATTTTACTGATTAGATTTTCAGTAATCATGTTGGGACCTCACACTTGGTGTTTCAGGGGCAAACCCTATCTTGGGAACCAATGCTTAATGTGAAACTGACTCAGTTGTAGCCATTGCCAGTGTCAATCAGCACCTTTTGGAGAGCAACAGCAATGATGTTGCCGGAGCATACCATTGTTTACCCACCTGCCCGGCTCAGTGAGAGATGTATTGCTGATCAAATTTTTTCCTGTTGGAGCATAGTTCCACAGGATTGTCTCTGCTGCCAGGTAGTAATGCCTCTCTATGCCAAATTTTGAAGTGGAGCTGGGCTTAGTTCCACATGACACCACATGATAAAGGGCCTGCATCCCAGCTGAAAAATAAAAAAAAGACACTTACACAAAGAAAAGGGTTTGTTTATAGGCTCAACTACAGGACACCAAATGTAATGTTTGTGGAAAAAAAATATTGCACATGTTGTTTTTTAATATTTAGCTTACTTTTGTTACAGTTGGCATGTGATCATCACATTTAAAGAGCAAGTCACCACCTACAATAAACTTACTTCACTCCCACTTCATGTTTGAAAAATGCAACAAATGCTGTTGCTTGGCAGACCGAGAGGGCGGAGCCGCTAACAAATACACACACACAGAGGCTCAAAATGGCATTATGACATCATAATCTACCAGATGACATCATAGCATACCTCTTAGCCAATAGCGGTGGCAGATTTAAATTCAAATACAGTGCAGAATTTTTCCCTGACGACGGCGCAACACCGACAGTTTTAGGCAGAATATTTGAATTTTAACCAAGATGCACTGAACTGCCAAATTATTGACTACACGTGTCTGTAGCATGATTAGCCACTCCTTTATATAGTTTATCAGCAAAAAAAATGTGATTTGGGGGTGACTTGCTCTTTAAATGGGAAATAGCCTAAAAATGTTAAATCAAAATCTCTAAATAACATTTAGATTTAACATTTAGGTTTAGACTAAACATTTAACATATAGATTAAAATTTAACATTTACATTTGATTTAAAGCATCTCAAAAGATTTCTAACACTTTAAGCTATTTTTAAGCTGGTTTCAGTGGATCTTCCCTACAGCCATAAACTTCAGTTAGCTCGTGTTAGCGTTAGCTCAGCTGCCGCAGGGTTGTGTACAACAGTTGTAATTCTGCTTTCCACCAGTAGAAAGGAGAATTAGAACATGTATTTAGTGTTAGCTTGGCAAGCCATCCTATTTATGTGAATATATATTCTATCCAAGAGCAATAGGGAGAGTTCTGCCGTGGGCGGGATCTACGGTTGTCTTTTAACCTGTCTCCACATGCTATTGGACAATAAACAACGTGGCATACTCACCTCTACAGATGTCAGCCAACCAGGCAGTCCACATTACACCATTAAAGAAGACACACATACATCCTTTTTCAAAATAAAGAACTTAAGGACCTGTATCTGCTCTTGACTCAAAGAAAAGCCCAAGTCTAAATAGTCCAAAGTTGATGCCAAAGCCATTTCAAATAAGCTATCGCTATTTTGTTCTGCTCCGTCACATCATCACGCCAACAAATAGAGCGCTGTGATTAGCATAACACAATACTGCTCAGGCTAATGGTAGACCTGCTGAAGTCCCAATGGAGCGTGGCTAGATCGACGTGCAGAACAAAATAATTTTGCTTCGGCAGCTGATGGCCTAGATCTCTAGTATAATTTAGTGTTGCTTTAACAATTAGATTTAAGCAAAAAACAATAAATAAAAAAATTAGATGTACACAAAAATGAGATTTACATTAACCATTTAGATTTGCTAAAAAAGTGTGAAGTGTAAACATTCTGTTATATGACAGTCTTTAGGCAATTTTCAATCTAAATGTGATGAAAGTGTGCTAACTGTAAAATAATCTTTTCCGCAAAAAATTTACACTTCCCACACTCTATACTTGTTTTCCTTGAGAAGCTATGCGAGGACATCCAGAATATAAATAACTGTCAGCAGTTTGATTTACTAAGTAAATTCTACAGAACGCCAAAATAATGACATCACTTATGTAACTGATGAGTGAGAATTACTGGTACTCCTGTTGAACAAGTATGTCTCATTCAGCGAAGGGCTCAATGGACTTTAGAGCCTGTTAAAATGCTCATCCAGGCTAGTGGAGCTCCCGCTGTGGGAGCACTCGTAACACAAAGCATAGCTAGCCAAAGCCAAAGGTCAGAGCTGATGCACAAGCCAAAGGTCAGATATCATACCTAGAAAGTGGTCATTAACCTGGCAGCTCAAGAGCCACTTTCCTTTCCCCCTTGGGATCATCTTGGCTGTAATGAAGGTGGCTGGAAACAGGCTCACGGTGTCGCAGCGGTGGCCGCGGTCCATAAGCGTGTTCCCTTGGTAAGAAATGCTGTGAATATCCACCTCATTACCAAGTCCAGCCATATGACAGGCCACCGCACGGTGCTGGCAGATCTTCAGTCCAGGCAGATTACCGTACATGTACCCATTAATAGCTGTTGACAAAGGGGAGGACAATTTTCGAGAGTAAAAACATGGAAACCATTTGTTTTAAACACTAATCTTCTATCAGTGGATTGGGAATGATTATTTATGAGAAAACAAAGTCAGAAAGAAATGTAAAAAGTTGTTACAATGCATCATGTTTGACTCCCGGAAGCCTGGATCATTCACATCGACCCCTCCTGGATCAGTGCAGAGTTTCACGTTGTCGTCTATATACCAGCTCTGGTTTTCGTCCACCACGGTGAACAGAAGGTAGAAATACTGATCCACATCATAGCGAACTGACTCTTCTGGATTATTTTTATTAGATTTCCTCAAGGTTCCTGTAAGCACAGAGAAATACAAAAACACAGTAAAAGGTGCATTTAATCTTTTTTGAAGTGAAATGCGTGGGCGTACCTTCTTTGCAGGTGATAAGTGGTCCGACAAGTCCTGAGTAAGTGTCTCTTGCCGTGTTTACGTGGGAGTGGTAGATCCAGGTTATACAGTCGGGATCGTCGTCCGTGGGGCCGTGTTCTGGTTTGACCTCCCAGCGGTAAGTGTATGATCCTCCTGGAGGTACGTGGTCATCCATTTTGGAACTCTCCTGTGTCCGATCTGGATAAAGAGCTCCTGACAGACCAAAAAATAACATTAGTGCTGGATAATTTAGTTTCTTATTAAGTTTAAATTTCCATGCCCAACTCTCACTATATGCTAGCAAGAATATTCTTGCTTCCGTTCTTTGGAAAATGTTCATCTTTTGTTATTTTAACACTGACAGAACAAAGATCTTACTATTCATGTAACATCGGTCTTTAAGTTGGTGCAAATTAGATGAAAAACCTATTTTTGCAGCATAGATAAATCATATTTTATATGAATTCAAACATTTCTCAGCCGATGTTTTGACACCTTATTTGCATCACTTTTTCAAAGGTAAATTTTTGCACTCCAAAGGCTTTTTAAAGGGGATTTAAATCCAGATAATTTCATCAATTTTAATCTTTTTTATTCATCTCTATGCTCTTTTGTCTTTCCAGAAGTCTGAAGACATTTTTCACACATTTTTCTCAACATTTCTTCTAATTCCACTCATTTGTTTGTTGCATTTTTGGCTTTTAAACCCTGAGCAGCACAGCAAGTCATCTGTAAAGAGACAAAATTTGGATTATTTCTCTTCATTTCTAGAGATCCTGTGCTTGAACTGCATAAATGCAAATAATTCTGAAAGCTTTCAAAGGCCTTGTATTTGTTAAATTTTGTCTTGATCCTTTTTGACTCATTTTCTTGTTTTCCACATGACAAAGCTTATAAAGAATCAGCTAATTTAATAGCTTTTCTTGTCTTCTCTTCTTCTGTTCCTACATCTTTCCCCTCCCTTTTCTGCTCTTACGTGATTGATATGTTCTGTAGACGTTCCCAGAAGCGTAAGAATCAATAAAGTGGATTTTCTGAAATAGATCTGAATGTTTCTGACGAGAAATGGGGAGTTTGGGTTTGAGCTGCAGACTCCAAACACGCAAAATGAATTTGTGACCGGACATTCCACATTTAGCACGGCGGTGAAACAGCAAGTAAATATGTAAGTTGGTTTTCTCAGAAGCAGCAGGGATCTGTCACATTGGAGGGGCCACATAGACATTTTGGGTAATTTACTGGAAATTTCCAAGCTATTTGGCAATATTGACTAAGTATTGTTAAATTTATAATAAAAATAATCAAATACCATTTTATAAATAACTTTATAAACAAAAAAGTAAAAACGTTGAATGTTTCTAATATTTTTAACAACTACCTTTCAGCTATATATATATATATATATAGCCATGCCCTGATGTGGGGCTGGGGTGTGCGTCGACATGGTCAGGACATAGAAGGGGGTGCGCGGCTAAATAAGTTTGGGAACCACTGCCCTAGACAAAGGTTCCCAAACTTATTTAGCCGCGCACCCCCTTCTATGCCCCGACCATGTCGACGCCCCCCCCCCCCCCCCCCCCCATATATATATATATATATATATATATATATATATATATATATATATATATATCAGATGTCAAGCTAAACAGGCAGGGTTATAAAAATTTCCCCATCACTTTCATTTTTTAAATACTAATTAATAAACATTCGATACCATTACAATTTCCTTTGATTTCATTTTAAATAAATATTTAGAGTGCCCAGGTGGCGCATAAACAATGCAATTTAACGGTTTTCTTAAAGTAGGAACGTTTAACCTGTGCGGCCAGAGCGCGCTCCTTCCTTCTGCTCTGCGTAAACCTGACCTGATCACCTACTTGTGTGTAATCAAATGTCAATAGGGGACAAGATATAGCCATGATGTTCACTTTTACCTCAGACCGACTTATTGCTGTTTTATGGTGTGGCTGAATCTGCGATCCGCTGCCACGCTGACTGGAGTAACAAATGCTGCAGTAACATGAGATGTGGTCAGGTTCATGAGGAGTCACTGGCTGGAGCGGACCCGACTCATCCCAGAAGCTAATATCTTAATTTGACCTTGAATGAAAAATAACCTCTTAAAAGTTTTTATCGTGGTGGAGGCAGCATTCATTTCTGCCTTCAGTCTGACGGCGCGCCGGAGTTAAAGCAGCGTGTGCGCTTATTGAATCTGTGTGTGTGTGCGCGCGCACGCGCGCGCGGCACAGCCGCTCCAGTCACCGCGTCTCGCGCTATTTAAACCAATGTTGTAAAATGACTTCTGCCCAGCCCAGATGTGCTCACTTGTGCACCTGTGAGCCGTGGTTCAGCCGGAACGCGTCTGACCTCTGACAGACGCACTCTGAACTTCAGATCGTCAGCGCGCTGTCAATAGCCTGAATGGGAATCATTTCTTGTTATTTTGTTACATCCACAATGTTCTGTGTGTGAGGTTTACAATGTCAGAACACCTGCATGAGACAGAGTGTTAATTACAATTGGCCAGAATGACTCACCACCTTCAGATTTCTCCAACACCGTTAAAAATGATCAAATACGGAACATATCGGCGTGCGCAGGCCAGAGGGCTGAAGCTCGGCGCATTGTTATTATGAAGCTAGGGCACATGTGGAGGACACGCACGCGCGCGCAAAAGTATACTTGTTTTCAATTACATTTATTGTGCCCACTTACTTTTTCTTTGGCCCACCCACAAATGAGTTTCTACGCTAATGGTGACATATGACAGACTTCTCTGAGCTCCGCAGCCATTACACTTTTCACCTCGCGCACCCCCTAGCGGCAGCTCGCGCACCCCCAGGGGTGCGCGCACCACACTTTGGGAATCCCTGGTCTAGGGTATCTCTTAGCCAATCGCAATGGCAAATTTAAATTCAAATGCAGTGCAGAGTTCTTACCTGACAATGGCACAACACTGACAGTTTTAGGCAATAAAAATTAAAATTTTAACTAAAATCCACCAAAGTGCAAAACTATTGACTACACGTGTCTGCAGCATGATTAGACACACATTTATAGTTTATCAGAAAAAAAAAGTTGATTTGGGGGTGACTTGCTTTTTAAGGTTCTAACATTGTGCGTTCCTAATATACAATAGAAGACCAGAGGAGTGCTGGCTTTCTCATTTGCCACCTCAAAACTTTGGAATGAACTTCCACTTCATGTGAGTCAGGCCTCTTTGTTAGCCCGTTCTAACGCAGCCTTGAAACCCCATTATTTTATTGCTGATTTTCATTAATTTGCTGTGTTTATTTTCTCATTTGTATTGCATTATTTTCACGTATTCTGTTTTCATTGTTCACCTGTTGAGCTCTTTGGTCAGCTTCCATGCCATTTTTAAAAGTGCTATTGAGATAAACTGGATTGGGTTGGACTGCGGCTGGAGTAAGGTAAGCATGCAGGAGAGTCTAGCAGATGCAAAAACTGAGAGAATTATGTTTGTCATTCTCAGATTTGTGCATCAAAAATCTACATTTATTTAATCAAACACTCAACCTCTAATGATTTTGCTGCTTTCTGTTATTTAAAGTGACCACACCAGTCATATTGCATGATTGCATGCTGCTATAAAGACTTGCAAGAAGTAAATATAAGAGGAAACTAGTGTTTGTCCTTGTTATGGGAAGCGTTAAAGCCTGAACCTAAACACCCATGATCCATATATAACATATTCCTAATGACCCTTTTACTAAAGATTCCCCAAAATGAAATTTTTGGTCCGATACCGATTTCCCATAAATGAGATCACTATTATGGCCGATAACTGATATACTGACATTAATGCTTCTGAAATCAGCTATTTTGTATAAAATGAAAATTATTAAAGCTGAATTTACATTATTATGTACAAACACCACACACATTTACACTTCTGAGATGCTGTCACATGGCTAAACAATCACACATCACCCCCTTCACCATCTGAAACAGATAAACAAATGGAACCAAGATGGAAAAAATATCGGTTGTTAATATCGGCCCAGTTTTATTTATCGCACCGATACTGATATGTTACAAAAATGACTAACATCAGCCGATACCGATAATGATACCGATATATTGTCCATCCGTACACTTTACCTTCTGCAGTCTTCCGGTAGAAAACCCCATGGGGGTGCATGGAATAGTTCTGTGACCCAAAGTTCTTCATGTGGATGATGATGGTGTCATGGACCTCTGCTCGTAATATAGGCCCCAGAAAACCCAACCATTCTGGCCGGGCAGCCTGGGTTCTGTAGGAACAGTCTGTATATTCTCGGTACATAGCCTTCTTATAGACCCGACCGATACGGTGAGGTCCGTTCTCCAGGTAAACCTTTGCATGCCTGGGATGAATAAAAATGATAAAGGGTGGGATTAGTAGAGAATGTATAAGAAGTCAAAATTGGGGTTAAAAATTTGTGTTAACATGGTACAAAATGGGATTATACTTAGATTTCACAAAAGTTCAATAATAATAAATGATGTCATTTGTATAAGTCTAAATTTAATAAATTAGGGTCAGAGGTTAAATAGAAACAGGTGTAATCCTGCATCACAAACTGCATCTGGCTGCATCCCTGTAACAACTGGATGTGTGATTGTTGTGATTGCACGTTTTGAAGGGTAATAAGCAGTTACTGAAGCTGCAGCGAATGCAGTTTCACTACAGCGTGTCCAGCTGGAAGCACAAGGAAGGAGGAGCGATAGATGAAGGCATCTCAAAAACATAAACATTCATGTACTGTAGGGATATTTAAAAAATGCTTGATGGATTCATTTTAAGTGATGGCACTATTAGAGATCTGATCACCACTGTGTGATCAATGGTGCATTTAGTGTAAAAGGGATTTATGTGGTTAACACGGTCTAAAAATAGCCATGCAATTCTTTTATTATCTGACTCAAATAATGTGCTAACTTCATGGCTCGCTAATGAATTATGTGCAAAGTTTTCATGGTCATTAAATGTAATGATAAGCAGCTGCATTTAAAAGGACTATTGAAGAAAATAGCATCATTAGATGATAAAACCTAGTATTTAATTCACATTAATATGTGACAAAACGCATTAATAGTTGCTTCTCACCCAGTTTTGCTTAAAAAATGCCTTTTGCATGATGCCATTCTTATTTTCCCAACTAGTTGTAAACTTTGGATATAAAAAGTCTTGTTTGCATGTTAACTAGTACTCAGACTAAAGCCTTATCTTCTTTCCAAAGTGCACCACTTGTTGTGAGTTAATCTCAGAATTTGCTGATGCCTTATTTCTGAGAGATTCTCAGCAGATGAAACATCAAAAGGAACCAAAGAACAATGATAAAATGAAAGAATGAGGACCAAAACTGTCATTCACCTTAGACTAAACTCATCTTGGTTAATTCAACAGCTGAATCTCGTTATTTCAAAGCATTTTCAAACTATTAACTTCTCTGGATCTGAACACTTACTCGTCTTCTGCGATGGTTTTGCCGTTGATGAGGTTTTTTCCACTCGGTGCGTAATCCCACATTTCCTCCTTGATCGCCACACAGTAAACCCACACCTTGCCTTTACGGTTACCGTCCGCTCCCCGCAGCAGAACCAGCACCAAGCAGCCCGCCAGCAGTCCCAAGGTCCGTGCCATGTCCGGATGAGTTGGACGGATTTGAAACCGAGAAGAACCCCCGGCTGAGTGGCAGTGCGCGCAGGAAGCAGCGCTTATGAAAGGGAGCACAGTCGGTCCATTCACCCGCAGGGACACCGGTGGCGCGACCGCCTCCACGTGGTACCGAATGGGCAGGGATAAACCAGCTCACTCAGCCCCTCTTATCAATTATAATTTAGATGGAATTAAACTCGTCTGTTTAAGATTTTAACCCGTTTGTGACAAAATGCACCGGTTTCCATCCATCCCCAAGTTTTCACTTTTTCTTTCTCCATCTCCAAGAAAATCCCTCAATCCAAGTGGTTTTGACTCATTTCCCGACCTGTTTTTGTTGATGAAATATGTGATCTGTAAATTAGAAATCAAAAACCTCATGAACTCAAAGGGTGAATCAGGGATGTACATAAATCGGGAAAGAAAAAGCAACGAAATCATAGGATTTTTTAGGTTATTTAATTATAGCCTGTCCTTTATGCCTGATTTGTTCCTATTTTAAAGGTGTGGAAAAATATAAGAATAAATCTGTTTGACATTAGTCCCAATAAACTCATTCTCAAGGGTAAAAGGTGCTGCCAAGGAATTTGGACCACAAATGACTAAAGCCATACTTTGCAGCTTTTTCATATTTTTATCTGATGTATGCCTAGACAGCACACATACGCTGCAGATAATCATAAATTTTTAGCTGACGTGCCTAGTGCTGTAGTCTGGTTCCAGAACGTTTCCTGCATGTTTTAGGTCATGAACACAGCTGAAGTGTTTGATTTAGGTGTAGGTAGACCGGCAAATGGTGTGTCATGTGTCTATGAACCTGCTAACCAAAGCTTAATGCGAAGACATCACCTTCAGTTCCCATCAGAACAAATCGCTTCTTCAGATTTGCTGGTTCTGATTAACATCACACGTCATCCATTCACTGTCTCATCCACTTTAGTTACACCATACATTTAGTTTTAAAGTTAGTCTAGTTTAATTTGTTAGTAATACAATTCTTAACTTTTAAACTTGACTCTCTCTCTTCTGTTGTCTCTGAACGAATACGAAGTTGTTATCTAATCCCTGCATTAAAAAGATCCAATCGTCCGGTTTAAATAACCTCACAGATCAGTAAGGTGGATTTCATATTGCCTATGGAATCCTACGCCTTATGGCTTATTAAATAACACGTAATTTAAATCATTACATAGGGATGAATCATTCCTGTAGAAATGAATGAAGGCTGAGGAGACGTGTCAGCAGTTAGATTGTGATGTTAAAAAGAGAAAGCACAGCAAGGAGAGGAGTTTAACTTTTGTTTTTAACAGACACTAGCGGGTGCTAAAGGCAAGCCAAAACTGTCTAGTATCACTTTAATCATGATGCAGTTTTATTGCTCTTCCTTGAACCGTCACCTTATCGTGGTGGAGGAGTTTGAATGCCCTAGTGATCCTAGGAGCTATGTTGTCAACTCCCACCTCCGTCAGAGCATTGACCACGTCCCGAGAGCAGTGGGGGACATCGACTCCTAGTGGGCCTTGTTCCACTCTGCGATTGTTGAGGCGGCTGTTGCTAGCTGTGGACACAAGGTGGCCGGTGCCAGTCGTGGTGGCAACCCCCGTACCCGCTGGTGGACACCAGAGGTTCGAGGAGCCGTCAGGCTGAAGAAGGAGGCCTACAGGGCGTGGCTGGGCTGTGGGTCTCCGGAGGCAGCAGACAGGTACCGGATAGCCGTGGTGAAGAGGGAGCTGAGCCAGAAAACCAGGCTCTCAATTTACCGGTCGATCTACGTCCCAATCCTCACCTATGGTCATGAGCTTTGGGTAATGATCGAAAGAACGAGATCGCGAATACAAGCGGCCGAAATGAGTTTCCTCCATAGGGTGGCCGGGCTCAGCCTTAGAGATAGGGTGAGGAGCTCGGACATTCGGGAGGGACTCGGAGTAGAACCGCTGCTCCTCCGGATCGAAATGAGTCAGTTGAGGTGGTTTGGGCATCTGGTCAGGATGCCTCCTGGACACCTCCCTGGAGAGGTGTTTCGGGCATGTCCTGCCGGTAGGAGGCCCTCGGGTTGACCCAGGACACGTTGGAGAGGTTACATCTCCAATCTGGTCCGGGAACGCCTTGGGGTCCTGCCGGAAGAACTGGTGGAGGTGGCTGGGAAGAGAACGGTCTGAAGCTCCCTAGTTGAGATGCTGCCCCCGCGACCCGGACCCGGATAAGCGGAGGAAGACGACGATAATTTTGTTAAAATTTAAATGATGGGCCCTTAGATTCATCATGAATTTTTTCCACTATGCAGCTCCCTTGTCCAAGGGGTTAAAAGGTTGACCGGTTCCAGGATGCTGCATTTCTTATTTCTTTTCAGTTTTTGTCAGATTTTTTTTGTCTTAAATACACAATTTCCAGATCCTGTTCATGTTTTTTCACTAGATTATTCCTATGTTATAAATGGCCTCTATTTGTGTATTTCCTTCTTAAGTTTCTACAACCCCCCAAAGGTGCTTCACAACACAATCAGTCATTCACCCATTCACACACACATTCACACGCTGGTGAGGATGAGCTACGATGTAGCCACAGCTGCTGTGGGGTGCACTGACAGAGACGGCCTACCATACACTGGTGCCACTCGTCCCTCTGACCACCACCAGCATGCAAGGCCTGCCCAAGGGCACAACAGCAGTGTTCTCTGGTGGTAGCCAGGATTGAATCTGCAACCTTCCGATGAGCTACTGCTGTCCCTTTATAGTCCTTCAGTTGTCCATTTTAATGTTTTAAGCATAAAGTATTGTGCTTAATAAATGGATTAGAGAAGCACAGCAACCAAAGTCAGGGGAAAAAATATTTTAAAGCTAAAGAAAAAAAACTTTAGACTTGACCAAAACCATTACACAACATTATTAGAAAGTCTGGCTTTTTGGAAGAAATGTGTGAAGAAATTAGAGGTGATTAAAACTTTTTCCAAAGTTTTATTTACTTTCTCTGTCTTACTTATTTATCTCATATTTTGCTTGACAAAATGAAAATGTTCCAGAGTATTACGATGAAATCTAAACTAAATGCTCCACTAGTGCAGGATCACTGTGCCATTTATACCCTGTATTGATATGATGCCTCCCCCTTCAGAATACACGTTTATGTCATCATAATGGCATGTTGCCTTTTAAACATTTAACTCAATGTCAAAATGCTCCTCAGGAGTACTTTTCCTGAGTTTGTGGGTGTCTAGAAACATCAAATCATGAGTTTCCTGCTGAGTTTGTGTTTTGGCTGCAGTGAAACATTTAAATCCAGTAATCATCTGCGAGCACATGGTGGGACAAGTGGAACCGAGAAAAATAAACAGAAGTACATCACTAGTCAAACTGTTTTTTTGATTGCAACTTTTAATCTGTTCAATCAGCTTCCACAATAATCTGCACTAAGAACGCAATAATCCTGACAGTGAGAACAATAGCATGTCAGATAAGATGTTTTATACAATCAGCATAAGACTTCAGACATGTTCTAGCCCTCAGAACAGTCACGTGAAAGTTGATTACGTTATCTTTTGTTTTAATGACATCATGCCCAGCTGTTTCACATTTCACGAGCTTCGGTGAATGGAAATCTCCAACATCAAAACTCAGGTGTACTAAAAAGAGTAGAATAATTGTTTGCTCTTCAAATCTGAGTGAATGCTGTTTTAGAGTGAACATCATAGAATAAAAATTGTTGGGTAAAAACAGTATATAATTTTTTTTTTTAACAAAAAAGCTTGCACACATAATCTCAAGCAGCTTGATTTATCTTTAAACTTTCAGTTTCAGAATCAAACTTATTCAGGACGAAACTGAAAGAGAAATTTTAAACTCAGAAAACATTATATATCTTATAGAGAAGATGATGTCTTGTTGGGTAACTGCCACAACACACAGATGAGTTGAGCGGAGGTGGGGATCCACATTGAAGAAATGTAAAATCAACATTGTTTAACTGAACAATCACACGATAATAAATCACAGTGCATTTAGTGCCAACCACAGCCTTAAGACATGTGTTGAACGTGCCCAAGTCCATACTTATGTGAGCACCATGTGAGCACCTGTGTGTGTACACGTGCCTGTACATGTAAGGTTTCTCTATAGGAGCGTCCAATAGAGTGTGAGGGGCCACAGATCTGCTCCCCAAAGATGTGTAGGAGATGGAGGGAGCTCCAAGTCCCAGAGATCCAGGAGCTGCCCCAGAGCACAGGGACCCCAAGGAGACTGCGACCAGAAAAGCCCCCGCCCCCCTCGAAAGGCGCAGAGGATTGCCCCAGGGGGCCACAACCAGCAGCCAGCAGAGTTCTGGGAGACATCAGCGGCAAGCCCACAGGCCCGCCCACAGCCTCCCACCCCGTAGCTGGCCAGCCGATCCCGGAACCCAGCGACCTGGGACCCAGGGGCGACCACCCCCGCCACGGACCCAGCAGAGCCCAGGGACCCAGATCCCACCAGGCAGCCCCCGGGATTAATCAGGCAGAGGCCAAAAATCTTAAACCCCCTGACCCGGGAGCCACGAACACTCAGGCAGATAAAGGCACCACACCCCACACCAGGTGTGGCAGGGAGAGGGGAGATGAAGATGTATAGCATCAAAAGAAGTCCCAGGAGAAGGGAGGAGTCAAATGCCCCACCTGACATTTACAGTCATACACAGACACAGTCACACACTCCCTCCCTCATGCTCACACATACACATACAACCAAAGACTTACAAAAACGCACGCCCACCATACACACCCTACTCACTCTGGTCCCGGTACTGCTGCACATGGGGTACAACCATTACCGTTTCCCAGAGTTTCTTTCTGCTGGGGTGCTGATGAGCAGGCTCCCCTGCCCAACGCTGAGCACAGCAACCCACCAACCCAGACCCCAACCAGACGACCAGATATGCCTACTAGCCTCCAGCCCCAGGAAGCCAAGCGACAACAGAGGTCTGCTAAGACCCCTAGTTTCCCTCCGCCTGCTCCAGTATAGTGTTAGTGCGTGTTGATGAGGTGATTTCCATGGCTGTGGTGAGCAGTCAGTGTGGGCATCATCTTGCCTACGCCAGCTGATGCCACCACCCCACCCCACTTGCACCCACAGCCATCAGTGTCTAAGTGCAGTTTAAAATTGGAAGTGGGCACTGGCATTCGGGATGAGGCTGAAAAATCCCCTTGCCAAATGCCGTTGAATGTGCTCACTCCCAAGGCCCTAAGTGTGTTTGCGTGGAATGTCGTTGGTGGAAGTGTTTTAGGTGCAAATAAAATTGAGGGGCAGGTTGCCACAGAAATGCGAAAATGGGATCCATACCCGCACTCCCTGACTTGTCTACCCCCCAAGGTCCTATGTGCATGTTTGTGTGATGATGTGAGGGAGCAGGAGGAGAAAAATGTGTGGGGATGGGGAGGAATAGCTGATTGGACTAAAACCCTCCAGAGAGCCAGATCCCCCACTGGCCCCAACAGGCACCCCTGTTGCCAAAAATGCCACCCAGGGCATGGAGTCTGAGGGCACCAACCCAGCCCCACCCCAGCAGAACAGCTACTCCCATCCCTGCATTTGCACAACTTCCAGAATATATAAGACATAGGACAGGTAAGGTTGGGTCCTCCCCCTCCTGGACATCCCCCTCCCCTGTGATGGGACAGCAGAGGAGCCAAGGTCTACCTGAGGCCCCTGAACACGGGGCAGGCACTGCTGCATGTTCCCACCTTCTTCCCGGCAGCATACATGTCCCGACCCCCAAGGCCCCGCCCAGATCACCCCCCCCCCCCGAGCCCCCCCCCCCCAGGCCTGCCCAGGGGCAATGCAGCTGCCAGGCAGCGACCCATGGCCACCACCAAGACCCCCAAGGGGCCCCACTCACAACCGCCAGTAGTCCACCCCCAGAGGCAACCAAAGCACCAAACAATACCGAAACTTTAAAGGTTGAGCTCAACATTTGCAGTTACATCTAAAAACAGTTTCCTGATTTTATTTTTCTGAGTGACCGTAACAAATTATGTCATTTTAGTGACGCTTTTCCAACTCTAAATTTGGATCTCCGTGGCAAATGAACGCAGCACACGTTCCCGTTGCGTCCCTCCGTGTCTTGTGCCCGCGCACGTCAGCGCGTCACCGCCCCTCCTGCAGTTTGTTTCAGACATGGCTGCTCTCAGTAAGATTCCACACAGCTGTCACGAAGTCGGACACACCTGGGACCCGTCATGTGTCCAAGCTGCTGTGGACGTCACCAGCGGGGCTCTGGAGGTCTCCTTCAAAATATACGCCCTTCTCTACCTGGTAAGACGACTTTAGCCACAGTCGCGAGAGGCTGGTCCTGCTAGCTAAAGTTCACTAGCTAACCCAAAGGCTGTGGCTCTGAGAAAGCTTAGTTAATGCTACAACTCAGGGTCTAAGATCGAGAAAAGCACAACGAGGTCAAAACATTCTGTTAGTGTTGACCTCGCAGCTTCTAAGGTCACCGTGATAAGGGCAGCAGGAGGATTTACCTCGCAGCAAGTTAACAGCAGTGCTTCATTAGCATATTTTTCATGCAGTTCAGTTATATAAACAACCACATATTCCACCTGGTCTCTAGGTGCAAATCTGATTTTAAAATTGGGACGCAGCTGCTGTTATGCTCCGGTTTGTTCAAAATGATGTAATTGTGGCAAGTATGAGCTAGCGATATAAATAAATTAGGAACAACCAGATTGCAACAACGCCACTCTGGCGGGCAAGTCGGATGGAATAGCGGCTCTCGGGCAAACCAGACGGGCAGCCACAGGTCGTAGCGCGGCTGAATCAGATCAGCCTTAATATGGTCGCCACACACACACGGGCAGATATCTGACTAGGAGTACCAGGGTGCAGTTTGACACTGTTACAGTGTAACAGCATATGCAGTTCCACTAATCGCAGCTTGTAGTTGGAGTCTCAACACACTAGCACCTGTGGTGCCCACAAGAGATGTCCTGCTGGAGGCTCGCCCCGCTCTGCTATCCGTCCAATGTGAGCCACCTGCCTCTTTACTGAGATGGGACCATTACTGATCTGTCTGTCCCATCACATAATGAAATATTTGGTTAACAGACTTGGGGAAATAATGTACCTGATAAGAGGCTAAACCCCAGCCAACATAATTGCTAAAAAAGTTAATTTTATGAACGATGAATTAACTCTAAAAGCCACATTTTGGAACCCAAACTAAAGTTAAAGAGCAAGTCAACCCCTACCAGAGTCTAACTCCTCTCCCACTTCATGTTTGAAAAATGCAACAAATGCATGGCAGACCGAGAAGGCGGAGCTGCTAACAAATAGCATAGCGTAGCATAGCATAGTTTATTTATATAGCACATTTAAAACGCAGCATGGGAGCTGCCCAAAGTGCTGCACAAAAGAACTAAAACAGAGGATAAAAATCCCAATCAAAAGCAGATAAAACATGATAAATACTAAGAACACATTAAAACAATGATACAATAAAACACTAAAGCGAGTCACTGTCTAAAAGCCAAAGCGTAAATTGGGTCTTTAAACGAGATTTAAAAACCGCCAGAGATGGAGCCTGCCGAACTCCAATGGGCAATGAGTTCCATAGCTTTGGGGCAGCATGGACAAATGCTCGTTCACCCCGTGATTTGAATCGCATCTGCGGTGCGCACAGCAGCAAAAGGTCAGCCGACCTCAACATGCGCGTGGGCACATATGGAGTGAGCAGGTCAGAGAGATAGGGAGGTGCCAGGTCATTGAGAGCTTTAAATACAAAGGTCAGTAACTTAAACTGCACTCTGAAAATGACAGGGAGCCAGTGAAGATGTTCCAGGACAGGGGTAATATGGCTACGTCAGTTTGTACTCGTCCAGAACCTGGCAGCAGCGTTCTGGATGACCTGCAGCCGATTCAGGGCGGATACCGGAACACCAACGAGGAGGGCGTTTGCGTAGTCCAAGCGAGAGGTAATGAAGGCATGGATGACTGACTCCAAATGCCTCAGTTTCAGGATTCATCTGAGGCGAGTAAGTCGGCGAAGCTGATAAAAGCAAGACCTCACTACGGAGTTTATCTGTGGGGCCATTGTGAGTCCAGCATCCAGCATGACCCCGAGACTTGCCACACACTGTTTGGGGTTGAGGGTTAAAAGGTCACAAACAGGGTGAGAGCCATGGTGGTTGCGGCGGTCAAGAACAATAAACTCAGACTTCTTTTCGTTTAACTTTAAGAAGTTGGATGCCAGCCAGCCCTTCACGTCATCTAAACATGCAGCCAAATTCGAGCCCGCATTCTTCTCGTCCATTTCTACGTATAGTTGACAGTCATCAGCGTAAATGTGATAGCTCAGGCCATGCTGATTCAGGATATTGCCCAGAGGCAGAAGGTAGATAGAAAACAGCAATGGCCCAAGAACAGAACCTTGTGGCACCCCCCAAGGCAGTGGAAGACAGGAGGATGCACAGTCACCAATCTTTACTGAGATGGAACGGTTTGACAGGTAGGAGCGGAACCATTTATGCGCCACCCCCGTCACCCAAACCCAAGCCGATCCAGTAAAATATGGTGATCGACCGTATCAAAAGCCGCTGAAAGGTCTAGCTGAAGCAGCAGTACCCTACAATACACACACACACACACAGGCTGTGTCTCAATTCAGGATCTGCATCCTTCGAAGGACCCAGCCTACTCGGCCGACGTGGGCTGGGTCCTCCGTCGGCCGAGTTGACCGGATGTTAGCGGCTGTAAATTTGGACAGGCCTAGCCTTCATGAATTACCGCCACTCCCTCGGCGAACATTCCGTCGCCTAGCAACCATGGAACCGCTGAGCTGAAGGGAGAAGGATCTTTAAACGATGGAGCTCAAAGTTTTTTTTAGCTTTTTAATCATTTCCTTGACTGTTGGAGAGCTAATTCAGAGAAAATACTTTCGACAAGCTGAGCCTGAGCAAAGATGTGATAATAGTTTTTAATATTTTCTAAGGGTTTTAATTTGACCAAAACCGATTTATCACCTTTTAAGACTTTTCAGACCCAGCGGATACCCTGTAATATTAAACAATTCTCATTTGTAAACAAAAATAAAATTCAAGAGTTTAATGCAGAACTGATTTTATTTATATATTTATTTTATATGTACATGTTTTAACCATTTTTTCTAGCAAAGTAAAAAGCTGTCAAAGTTCTCCCTTCTCTCCTGTGCCCTCTGCTGCTCTGCCTCCCTCTGCAGCCTCATGTCCTCCCTGATCAGCTCCAGAAGCTGGTCATTGCTGTCACCTTCCCCTGGATGCCCATTTCCTCCAGAATTGTCTTAACAAACATGTAAGAAAAGAAACAGGAAGAGAAAAGAGGACAACGGGTTATTCCTTTCATGTTTTCACAGAAAAAACTAAACTCAAACTAGTTTTTAAAATATGAGATATTATTGTACCTCCATGCCACAGCCACCGAATACTTTGCTCCAGTGATCATGTGGTTCATCTTCGCCCTAAGCTTAATAAATTCCCTGGTTTTCTCTTTTGTCCCTAAAATACAAACTCCTATTAAAATCAGGGGAAAACTTAGCGGGAGAAGTAAGACACCGAGCGGCCGAACATACGAGCCGAGACCGCAATACAAGCACTTTTACTGTAACATTTCAAACTAAAATAACGTTCATGTATCACAAAAAGTCCTTAACCTAACAGTTTTCAAGTTTATACCGACATTTATATGCGCAATCCTCTCCGATAGCTCCCGCTTCACTGTCCGCCATTGTTTTTAAAAAATCTGCCGTCCGGCCCGCAAGGCATCTTGGGAAATGTAAACCACTGAAGGATACACCGGACCCATCCTTCATACAGGCGAAAAGAAGGCCAGATTCGTCGACAGCATTTGAAAGAGTCTTCGAATTGGGACAGGCCTGGTCGCGGCGCTGTGACGTAACCGGCCGACGAAGGATGCAGACCCTGAATTGAGACACAGCCACAGGCTCACGACAGCATTGTGACATCATAATGTCCCACTTTACATCATAGCATACCTCTTAGCCAATAGCGGTGGCAAATTTAAATTAAAATACAGTGCAGAGTTTTTACCTGACAACGGCACAACACTGCCAGTTTTAGGCAGAATATTTAAATTTTAATTAAGATGCACTGAAGTGCCAAATTATTGACGACACGTGTCTGCAGCACGATTAGACACTCGTTTATTTAGTTTATCAGCAAAAAAAAGTTTATTTGGGGTAGGGTTGTCACGATACTAAAATTTCAAACTCGATTCGATACTTGAAAAAACTCGATACTCGATTTCGATACTATTTGAAAACACCAATTTATTGAACAAGTTTATTCAAAAAATAACATTCCTCAATTTATATTGCAAAAATTAAATGTTAAAGGAGCATGGGGCAGGATGAAGAAACGAAACTCATTAGCGACGCACTCGGCGCTGTGAGTAACTGCAGCCCGGCACGAGAGCACGCACAAACTCTTCACGAGAAAAAAAAAAAGTTACAGTGATGTACGGCCAGAGCGCGGCTCGAACAAGACACCGTGTCGAGCGATGAAGTAAGTAACATTGTTACTTCTTAGGTGTGTTCTTGCTGTGTCTTTCTAAATCCATTCTTTCGTTCTTTTTTAAACACAGAAACAGTTTTGTTTACCTGTTTGTAGCTACAGTTTCGCCGACGGCTGCCGGCTTCTTCAGGCTGACGCTGATGGTGGCGCGTCACTTCCTTCTCCGTTTATCTGCGGGCAGCAGAGGACGTTGTCGCCCTCTACTGCCCGCTCTCCCCTCTCCGACGACGAGCTGGGGGCCGTAAAATTACCCAATTTTATATCATTTCTACCTTATATCGTTTATATTGCCCACCCCTAGATAAGAAGACATTGCAACTCACACACTGTTGAGTAAGTTGTTTGCTTGGTCCTCATCAATTTGGACTGCATCCGTAGCTAGATCCATGGATTTGAAACTACAGACAACACAATAATATTTGTTGTACGTAAAGATAAATACTGGAACTTACCTGAAATGGTACTGATTCTAAAGAGATAAATGTGGAGCCTAATACATCTGTCATTAATTCTTTCTGCAAATAACAACAATCTGCTGTGAATTGACACTTCACAACATAAATATATATAATGACATATATTTGCTGAACTATTGTGTTTTTATCTTTTTTACACATATTACTTACAGCAGTAATTTCCTGCATATATGGCAAGACTTCTCATGAACATATTTACCTTTCTTCAAAAGGATCCAAATCTAGGTCATCAGCTAAGGCCTCAACACCAGCCATTAGAAAATCTTCCCTGTAAAGATAATGTCAGAAGTGTTTGGTGGTGTGATGTTAGTTCTGAACCAAGTGTGGATATGCAAGGTGTACTTTAATGTATGAAATATCATAGCACAAAAACGTGAATATTTGTTTTACAGAAAAGATACTAACCCCTCAGACACAGGTTCAGTTGGAGATAATCGATGCCACATTTTAGCTGCTGTTTGCTTACTGGGTGTCGAGGTTGACTGCACATTACCTCCCTGAATTGCAGTTTCAGGAGCCTGCTTCTCCTGGTAGCTGGAAAACACATTTTTAAGCAAAAATGTCAACAAGTTGGTTGAGACTCTACACCTTCTGTTTACATAGATCAGTAATGGCTAAGCTTCTTTACCTGTGGCACAACTAGTAATATGAAAATGCAGGTCAGTTTTAAAAAAAAATTATTTATCATTTTCACAAACATATTTTATTCTGACCTACATTCAACTGGACAAATTTAGAAAAATAAATACAAACTTCTGCACAACTTTACTTTTAGTCAAACGTGTTGTTATGGCTGACTTATTATTTATTCTTATGTAGCACAGCAATAGCGCTAGGAAAATATATTCTGATGGGGTTCTGTTACACAAACCCCACGAATAACATTATCTACTGAAGTAACAGTCCTGCTTAGAGGTTGGACTGTAGATCAAATATGACATAATTCTAAAGACTCATCTTTGGTTTGGAAAATGTCCGTTCTCTTCTGTGGTACATACAAACTGAAACGTGATCGCAGCTAACATGCTAACGCACGCTAGCTCTCTCCGGCTGAGCGGTATAATCAAATCAAGCTCTGTTTACTTTTCTCGTCAGAATAAACGGAGCATCCATTTATCTCCAAACACATGCGGCGTGTCGTCCACAAAACGTAGAAGTGATCTGATTACACCTTAGTTGCTTTTAGCTTTTTTAAACTGATCAGGAAGCCATATGCTAAACACTGTTAGCTTAGATAAGTTTCTTGTTCATCTGCACAAAGATTTGTTAGATTACCCAAATCAGCATTATCTAAATCCATAAGTTTAATTTTATTTTCTCAAATTGTGCAGATACAGCTCTGATATGTTTACCTACTCGTTACTGAAACCTACAGCAGAAATAAGGAGACCAACACTTACCTGGTCACTAGAAAATGTGCCATGTCCGCATCCTTTTTCAGGCACCAAATCCAGTTGAAGCGGCCTCCATTTTTCCAGAGCGTAACCAATAGATATTCGGGTCCCTGACCGACTTTTATCATATTTTCTTTTTGACTCTCGAGATGCCGCTGATAAAACCTTTTTCTTTGTGCCACTCTTTAGTGGGCTTTGAGTTGCGCTTGGTCGCTTGCTAGTTGTAGAATCCATTTCCAGGGTTCTTCCTCTTCTGTTTGAGGTTTTAACGTGGCTAGTAGTGAAAGACGCATTACCGCCACCTAGCAATCTTCCAAATGTTTTTCCGGGTTTGAACCTTGTCGAGAACGCGCTTGAAGCGTCAAATAACGTCACATCCTTAAAACAGCGCGGGAAATTCGGATGCGATATGTTTTGCATTTTGAAGCACACAGCCTGATTAACAAAATGGAATGATAAACTGGTTTCATCATTCTTTTTAGTTTAAAATGCTTCATCACCCATAAGCTTCACAAGAATGAACATTTACTTTTTGTTTTTGGACAATTCTGCCCCATGCTCCTTTAAGAATTAAGTGTATAAAGTGCTTAAACCTTTCAAGTATCAGCATTTTTTTAAACGTGCATACAAAAACTGGCCAAAGTTAACACTTAAAATCATGAATTGTCTCACTATATATACACTATTTGCAGAGTGATGTTTTGCTGCTTAAACTCTTAAGTAGCATTTTTGTCATAAGATGTAATGCCATATGTTTTGTTCTGTACTTTTGAACAACTATGTTAGTCAATAAAGGGAGAAAACGAATTTCTCCACAGTAGGACAAAGGTACAGCTACCGGTGATCTTAATAAAAACAGATTGGCGCACGGCAGTGACGTCATTAAAAGCGCGGGTTAGATTAGCCGCGGCTAGTCTGTTCACGCCTAGAAATCCCACTCGCTCCAAACGAACAGGGAAATCATGTTAATGATTCCTAACAAAACCTTTCGACATTGAGATGTTTTGGTGCAGATAATGTCTTATTTCGAGGCTGCACCATGGGTGCCCGTCCGCACCCGTTATATGGATATACACTGACGGCGATTCGCCAATGGATCTACGGTAAATACCCCGGGGAATCCAAGTAGCACCAAAGTTGTCAGCATGAGTAAACAAACGTACTGCATGCTAGAAATTAAGTCCGGGTTGCAATAAACGGGAGTTTTCCTTTAAGCACATAAGCGTGAATATACAACTACGTGTCAGACTTGGTATGCTAATTCAGTTGGGCTGTGAAGCGCCTCCCAAATTCGCTGTTTATGTTTTTGTTTATTTATTTGGCAGACAAAACTTGGATCGGAGACAACTCGCGTGGGAAATTGCAATGTAGCCATGCGGCGTCTTCTTCTTCTGTTTGTCTGGGAGGCGGAGGTTGCTTTACGACATCTGGCTGTCGTGCGTGTCGGTGTACTTGAAGAAGGCCGTGTATAATAGTCCATAATATCGATACCACAGGGATGGAATATCTCATTTAGATACCACTTTTAGTATCGATTTATATCTAGGTATCGATTTTTTGACAACACTAATTTGGGGGTGACTTGCTCTTTAATGGTGACACACAAAGTTTTCATTGTATTGTGCACGTAAGATGTTTTTGTGCACTTTTGTTTACACACTGTTCTAACATTTGATCCCATTTTTGTTGAACAAACCACCACAATTTAGGTGAGAAAAGTTGCTGTTATCCTACCATAAATGCAGATTAGTCCCATCTAAGATGGTGGTTTTGGATTACGTGAGTCTGAAGCATCACAAAACTAAAAGTCCCTTTAAAATCTGTCTCTGGTGGGAGTTTTTATAACATTTACCGGAGCTGGACTCAACTTCTGATCATGAGCATCAATTAATATTAGCTGAAGCTTTTGATCACTGAGGTACAGCATGTTTCAAAGCTTCAGTTATTGTTGCAGATAGCAGCCGTTCTTCGGAGGAAGAAGAAGGACTACTATTTAAAAAGGCTTCTCCCTGAGATCCTGCAGTCTACGTCTTTCCTGACGGCCAATGGAGGTCTTTACATTGTTTTCTTTTGCATTCTCAGGTTAGTAGGTGGCAAATACACAACGCTGGCCAGTTAAAAGATAAGACTAAGTTCCTGGATTGTGTTTCATTAATCTCACAAAACACAAAGTGAAGCATTGTAACATTTAAACACCCCATCCCACCCTAAATAAAATCCAGGAACAAATGTGCAATAAAGTTGGTCTAAAAGCTCAAGTGCTCTTTTGAAGTATATTTCCTTTTATGTTGCTTTAGGAAACTGTTTGGAGGGTTCTACTCCTGGTCCTCTGGGTTTGGCGCTGCTCTGCCTGCCTCCTACCTCGCCATCCTGCTAGAGCGCAAAAGCAGGCGAGTTATTTTATATCTTAAATAGTTTTCATCTTATCATTTACTCTTGAGTCATTTTGAATGTGTGTGGTTTTTCTCTTTTACCTTCACGCCAACCAGGAGAGGACTGCTGACGATATACATGGCAAATCTTGTAGGTCTTTTAATTAGAAAATTTCTTATTTTCCTTCAGCTTTTGCCTCACAGAGTTTATGTAATTTGTTCATTTAAATTTCTTTTGTTAGGCCAGTGAGACTTTGTTCCGCATGGCAGTGACACGAGGTTTCATCAGACCTATCAAACATGGCGAGGTAAGCCTCAGTGTAGACCACCATTGCCAGGTATGATGTCATAGCTGCTGCTAGCAAATGAAACGCAACCATAACATTTTTTTTTTGCATTATCTCAGCGTAAGATATCGATATGATCTTACCTCTTATGACTGGATGTTTGTCCATGAACCTGATTTTGTTCCTCCCTTTAGGTGCTTTTGTTCTCCATAACTGCATCAGTCTTCATGTTCCTCTTCAGGTTAGAGCGCTGCGGCCATCATTACCCTTTAAAACAAGTAAAATTTTCAAATAAATGTGATTTTATTTTGCAGGAGTAATGATGGTCTCAAAGGCTTTGCATTTTCTGCATTAAAGTAAGTCAACCCTGTTCCTGTTAATGCTTTAAAGGGATATTTTGACCGTTATGACATAGATCTGTATTTGTTTGCAGATATTTACAAATGCACTTTATTTAAATAGCTTTGTTTGAAAAGCTTCGGTTCAGAGATGCAGCTTTCTCTAAAGAGAAGCTGCTCAGGAAGATGAGTAATATAAATATTTGTAATTTATACCCAGTCATGCTTCAAAATAGTCCAAATAACCCTTTAATTGAGATTGCCTGAAGTGTTTAAATGTTCTTACAGATAGGGGTGCATTTCCTGTCACAGATTCATTATTGGGAAAGAAGAGATTCCATCTCACCCGAACACGTCAGACGCTGCCGTGACGAGTCCCCCTGAGCGTTTGGAGGCTTCGGCAGAAGAAAGACCCAGCCTCAGGAGGACAGCTCTGACCACTTACACCAGAGGGCTGCTGAAGTCACTGTGAGGGAAAACGCACATCCGTTCAAACGAACACCAGCTGGTGGAAAGAGGCGCCCAGTAATAATACACTGTTTTTATATATTTATTTTTTATAATCCAGATGCAAACGTGGTCCAAGACACAGATGCTGTAAACATTACCAAGACAACTGCATTTCCTACTGCGTTAAAGTAAAGACCCATTCCTTCATGTTAATATTTGTGCTCTCTAACAGATTTACAGTACTCGGATAGTTTATAACGCTTTAATAACCGGCATTTGTCTTTTATTCCTTCTAGGGGTTCGTCAGGATGTTCAGTGTTGGTTATCTGATCCAGTGTTGTCTGAAAGTGCCCTCAGCATTCAGACAGATGTTCTCCAAACCTTCACGGCTTCCCTCTGTCTTCTACAACAAGGAGAACTTCCAGCTGGCGGCCTTCCTCGGCTCTTTTGTCAGTATTTATAAGGTACAGCCGTTGCTTTTGTGATTCATCATTGGTCCACCCATCTCGCCACATCTGGAAGCGAATGGCACTTTGTGTTTCTTCCTCTCTCAGGGAACCAGCTGCTTGTTGCGCTGGGTACGCAACATCGACGATGAGCTCCATGCGCTGATAGCTGGTAAGAACTGGTAGTCTTCCAGTAGAGTTTCAAAATAAAATGGTTTTAATCTCTTTTGTTTTTCAAGGCTTCCTGGCTGGGATCTCGATGTTCTTCTACAAAAGCACGTCTATAACCATGTATCTGTTCTCAAAGCTGGTGGAGGTAAGTTATCAACTCGAAGGATGTTTCTGCGGATTTAGACATGCCTCAAGAACAGAAACGTCTTCTACTGAGTGATCACATGCTATCAGACAAACTCACTGGCTGCTCTGAGGAGTGCATTCAAGGGCCTGATGTACAGAGGGCTTGTTCAAAACTTGGTGTGTACGCTTTTCCATGTGAACTCTGAGATGTTTAGAGAGGACCATGTTCTGCTCCAAAGTGAGACCAACTCGGCAGCCGCTTTTGTGTTCCAGGACAATCCTGTTGGGACTGTGCCAGCAGGCCAGCAAACGAACCTTTAATTCTAGCGTGCAGCGTGGTTGGTCGGATGTGAATTCATTTTATTTGCCCTAAAATGAACTCCCACTGATCCGCATCATTCCAGCACCATTGCTAGTCTGTGATTCAGGAGAGTGAGGCCATGTTTTCTGATGAACCTGCAGTTTCACAGCGTTCTTCCAATAGTTTTGTCAGTAAAGGTTCTCTTCGTTCTTGTGTTTATAGACATGATTTTTAATTTTGCAGAGAAAAGGACACATGCAGGGCACATTTGTTATCTGTTTGCATGCTTAAATGGAGGATAGGAAATAAGCTTGGATCCGTGCATAGTTCAGTAAATCAGGATTTATCTGTGCAGATGTTGAAGTGGGTAATCCACACTAGCCCTAAAGGTAGATCTGACAACATTTAGCATGCCTGTGGGTCATGAAACTGTAATTCTTCAGTCTTGAGAGGCCTTTCATATATATCCTAAAGTTTTAAATGATTGCTAACCAATGGGTGATGGTTCTGTTTGGGATTAAATGCTGACTTTGAACCAAGTGCTCATCTTGAACCAGTTCTTTGCATTTGACCTCTTCAGAGCTGCTTTAGCCTAGCACTAGCCGTTTGTTGGTTTACTGCCACTTGTATCAAGGCCCTGGCTACATTGGCATCATCCAACTTGTGAGAATAAAACGTAAGGAACTGTTTTACTGCTGAGAACAGGGCAAACCCTATCTGCACTCTGATCCTTGGTAAATACAGTCTTCACATCATAAAAACAGACTTTATGACATTAAGGCCCGTCTCCGAGTTTGCTCAAGTCTGTGTAAAACGGGCACGTTGATAGAAACTTATGGAGTTAAACCAATCTCCAGATGGACTTCAGCTCATCTGCGTGGAACATTTTATCAGTAACTGCAAGTTTTCTCTCTCCTCAGACCATGTACTTCAAGGGCATCGAGGCCGGCCACTTTCCTTACTTTCCCCATGCAGACACACTCATTTATGCCGTCTCTACAGCGATCTGTTTTCAGGCTGTAAGTAACGGTTACAGTTCCTAGCAATGAAAGCTTCTGATTGGTTGTTCTCCCTCCCTGCTGAGTTTGTATTTGACTCGTGTTCACACAGGCGGTGATGGAAGTGCAGAACCTCAGGCCTTCATACTGGAAGTTCCTGCTGCGTCTAACGAAGGGCAGGTATGAGCGCTAGACGCGAAAACAAGACTCGTGCACTTCTTTATATCATTTACGGATCATTTCCTGTGTCCACGTAGATTTGCTCTGATGAACCGGGAGTTGCTCGACGTGTTTGGAACTCAAGCTTCCATGAACTTTAAAGGCTTCGTGCCCAAACTGGACCCTCGCCACCTCGCAGTGCCCGGCCTAACCGCGCTCCCACCTGGAAGTGACATCCACATTGGTTGACTTTAGAAGAGATCTTTATCTTTACCTTAAGACAAATGGACAGGTTTATTGTTTTTTGACAGTAAATTCAGGATTTTTCCCAACGTGAAATACCTGGAACTGCTTAGGAGGAACGTAGTGCTCAGAGTTTGGATTTACTTTGGAGGATGCAAAAAGACGACGATCTGTCCAAAGCAGGGCACTGTGAGGGTTGATGGTGGAACAGACTGAATACTTAAAGATAAAAACAAATGATCTGCTGTTTTTATACATTTCACAAATATGCTGAAGCTGGGTTGGGTGGAGCAGGCTTCCTCTCCATCATAGGAGTCTCTTTCCTTCTTAGCTTTAAAACAACTCAATTTTTACAACTGTTCTTATGATCATGGTGACTGAACTTGTCCGAATGTTTGTGTTCAAACCATAAAAGACACAAAAACACAATTATTTAGTGTCTTGATTCATAATTTGGTTGGAAAAACCTCAAAGGTGTTTTGGTTTAAAAAGAAAACTGGAATTTAATGTAATTTTGTGAGTTTTCTGTTAAAACAGATTAGAGAATTAATTAAATGCAAGTA